CGTTTTGCAGCTTCCAATTGCAAAGTTACAATAATATTGTAAAATTTTTAACTTTTATTTGTTTATAAAAGTGACATTAGGAATACGTTTAATCCAGAGACAATATGACGGAATAAGGTGCTACGAACAGCAGCTCGCTTCTACGCTGTCTCGCTTCTACCCCCCAGGGGTCTAGCCATATTGGTGTCGAAAAGTATTCTACATACACTACCGCTTTTGCGAAATTGTACTGTCGAAAACGCTTCGTTCGTAGCCAAGAGGCATGTCGATACATTACCGCAAAGTCGACAGCGTAGATGCGAGCTGCTGTTCGTAGCACCTTATTCCGTCATATTGTCTCTGGATTAAATGTATTCCTAATGTCACTTTTATAAACAAATAAAAGTTAAAACTACAATATTATTGTTAATTTGCAATAATTGCAAATTCCAATAATTGGAAGCTGCAAAAGGGACATTAGAATGTCAGCAAGGTCGGAACAATTTTCGATTTAAGTGGAATTTACGGAAGGTGTAAAGTGAATATATGAATTTTAATTGCATGTTTAAATTACTTATGGTTTGTTTCATGTTTTCTCAGATATTAAAGGCTACAAATAAATACAATATTTTGAAATTGCATAATCGCGATAGGTATATAATAATTAGTAGTACTCATACTTTGATATTTTTAGGATTTGACCTCACAACTAATCAACTAAACAATAGAAATAGTACTGTGGATTGATAAATAAAGAGTGAAAATAAGGTTGACTAGAAGTTGATAAGGAATAGAAGGATAGTCCAAGAAATTAAAAAACAATAGAAAAAAAACGTAGACTAGTGTGAACACTGAAATTAGAGTTTGATTTAAGCTTTAATTAGGTTTGGTGTTTGTGCTTGAAAATTTTTAATGTCAATTTGAAAGCAGATTTATATATAAGTGTAGATTTTATTAGTGATTTGCTACTAGTTGGAATTATCTCTGTTTATGTCCAACAAACAATTTTAGTTTAAGTTAGAGTCATAAAGGTTGATTGTTGTGAATTGAAAAGCAGCAAGTACTCAATGAAATGAAAAGAGGGATTAATAAAAATTATAAAATAGAAACTTAGTCTGGTATGAAATTAAAAGCCTTACTCAACCTTTGATTCCATATTGATGCTCCAACATCTTAGATATAAATTTAAGTTTGATGCTGATTTTAAGTAAATATTTATGTCAATTAACTTTTGGTTATATCAGTAATTTGCTACTAGTTAATATTTAAATGCAAAATCTGTTTAAGTAAGAAATGAATAAACATTGTATGTTATGTATTTGTCAGTTTTATTTTTAGTAATTTACCTATGTCTTCTTTAGTAGGAAAAGCCATTAAAGTGGTTAACAATATTAGTTTATTTTACTAGAATATACAGATAATGCATATATGAATGACCCGTACCTACTAATAGTTAGGAATATTAAACAAATAGGTAGCAAAATAAAAATGTTTCAGTTATGGTTATTTTTTATTAAAATAAGGCACCAAATATCTTCCTTAACATAATGCAGTCTACATAGAAAAATAAGCATATGTAACAACTTATTAAACAATACAGACATTACTACTGAAGACACACAGGTGCACCAAATTCAATGCATTACTACATAATGTAGATAATTAACTAATAAATGTAAGTGTTAATTTGCAGCAAAGTCAATATCTTGTTTGTGTGCTGTTATATACAAAAAATTGTTCAATTTGTGATGATTTCATAAAATTACTATGATACCTACAGTTATTATGAATACATCCTGGGCGATTAAAAAAACAGTGATTGTTACCTTAACACAACAATTGTAAATAATAATAGTTATTTTAAAGATTTAATTCTTCCCAAAATCTACAAATCCAGTTTGTTTATAATAATATCTCATTAACATTCAAACTGCTGAACATATTAAGATTAAATGTGGAAGAACATAGTTTCAGTTACTGTTTCCTGTTCATGAGGTAATGTTACTTAACCAACCATTATTTCATACTCCACTTGTCTTATTTTTTACATTATTCATAAAATGCTTCATTCCCCATTTTCAGGTACATAATATAACACTTAAATTAATTAAAAGATAAGACTAATAAAACTTGACCATTTGTGGTTTTTTTAAATATTTTTAGTTGTCTTATTAGCTTCTCTTTTTCTGAAAAGAAAATATTTTAGTTAGTACTTTGATCAAATAGAAAACTGACAAAGTAAACTAAGATCGGTCCAAGGTTTGTTCAATAGGTAACTTTAATATTAAAACTCTAAACTTAAAAATATACTTAATTTGTCACTTTGCTGCTTATTGTCAATTAAAGTTTTTAATAACCAAACAATGTCAGTAACTCCCAAGGGACTTGAATTCAAACTTCTCATTCATTAACAATATTATAATAACTTCTCTAGTATATTGACTTAGTAAATAATTAAAGAAAATATCTGCTTACCATTAGGTACTTAGTATTGCTCACTAGATTTTATATTTCCAATGTTCATAAAGTATAAATCCACTTTATTTGATTAATTTAAATCAATATTATATCATTATCAGCTTCTGTTATAATTACAATAAAATATATTTAGAACTTCTAATTATGTTCATTAGTGTGTTCATCTTTCTCATCTGAAATATACAAATAAAATGTACAATCATTTTACTTTGTGATTACATAATATATGCAATATTAAATGGTATATGTATTTTTCAAATTAAAGAAAAATTTCATGAACTTACATGCAATATAAATATCAAAAAAATATATCCAATATAACTAGGATTTACCTCTACTAATTTGCTGATTTTCTTGATATTTTCATATTTATCTGTGTCTATTATGTTATCCTCGCATTGATTCATAGAAAAACTAAAACTCTTAACTTAAAAATATTAACTCTAGTTTAAATTATTACCTATAATTACACGAGAACGGTAAAAAAAGACAGATAACAAATTAAAACCATTTCGTTAAAACGTCCAAAATATGACATGTTTTTAAAACGGTAGCCATTAAAGATGGCAATAGTTGTACTGAATTATTGCAAACAGCAGCTTTTGAGATCACGCTAAAACATGGCGGAGAAACGCCGTTTTTTCTACACTGCCGAAACATTAATTGGCCGTTGGCTACCGAATAGCGTAAGCGTTAATGTGTGTCTTTTCGTAGCACTGTCATGGCGTCGCTTATTGTATCCCGACTCACGCATTTAGGGCCTAGGCTACCGACTGTCGACACGAGCTGTCATTTTCATACAAATTTAGTTTTCGACTTTCTACATACATTACTGTTAAGCCATCTTGGCTAGACCCCCAGTATAGCTGGCTATAGAGAAACGGTTTCACAGTATACTAAATTGACGGTACTCTGTACAGTGGTCGCAGTGTATATTGGAACATACCCCAAGTTCGTTTGTTGTGGTAGATTTTTGTGAGTTTTTAACTAGCTTAGTGCATTTTAAAGATTGTTTACAATGCCAAAAGTTGTAAAAAGTTCGGCTCGAAAAATGATATTGAAAATGAAAGAGTTCTGTGAAGCGGAACAAAAGAATCAAGGTGTTTTAATACCACTAAACAATGTTCGCCGCCATAACAGGTACTTTTTAAAGTTGCCACATAATAATTTTTTGCTGTATTGATGGGACTTTTATGATATAAATTCATTTTTGCGACAAAATTGAACAAATACATAACGAATGAAACTAGGTAACTGAAATTAAAAAATATATTACATAGTTACATAAGCATTATAAACTAAAAGTTACTATTATTTTTAATTGTTCATTAATTAATTGCAGGTAATTGCTGTAACAAGAATTACAAATGAAGGTATAACAGCGGCGAGTACTTTGAAATAAATTGTCACCCCGGGGAAGAGTATCAATATAAAAAATAACAATTATATCTACGGCTAGTGATACTGAAACAGAATCTGATTCTGTTTCCATCCACTCTTCAGACAGTGATGTTCCTATGGCCGCTGATCTAAAATTATTCAATAAAACTCTGAATAAAAAAATTTATTGCTTTTCTTTACCCTATTTTCTCATCCCTGTAAGTAGGTAGAACACCGCTTATATAAGTAAATAAAAATACACTATTTACATAACAGAAATATTTTTTCATAAAAGTATGCTGAAAATATGTAGTATTATTTGATTAATTAAATATGCTAAATGTAAAATAGGTAAATTTTTAACTTATGGCAACATTGCGTCATGCGATTACAGCGCTGCGTCTAGGGGACTTCTTTCATGAAAAGGACTATACCCTGAGTCCTGACACATAACGCGACTCTCTTCGAGGGGCTCTCAGAGTGTGTACCACAATATTCACAGGCTCATTAGTGCGATTATTATGTTTGTGTGGCTTTTTACTCCAAAGACAGGAAATCTATACTGATATTACGGAGAGGTAAAGTTTGTAAGGTACAACCTCATGATTAAATAATCTCTGGATCGGCTGAACTGATTTTGAACATTCTTTTAGCAACAATTTTCATGGGCTTTTCTATGGACTCCTTTCCTCTTTGATTTATTTTCATGTCTTCTACGAAAGACTATAGCCTGCGCTATGGGCGAAAAAAAATTACTTTTATGTCAAACTTGACATTTTAATTACTGACAATTAACCAAACAACAATTAACGTTATCTGCGGAGTGCGGGCTGCATTTTATTTTTACATATATTTGATAACTTTTATGTACCTATTTTGGTATGTACAACTTGAATAAAATTAATCGATTTATCTAATTTTTACACAATGTTAAGGTGAGGCTTACTATTTTATATTTTGCTACACACAAACTGAGATTTACATTATGTGATATAACAACTCGTATTTATCATAAACCTTTTGTTTCAGATAGTATTCACCTTTTAAGTCATAGTACAGACCTGTTACTGTTTGTTTCTAGATGTTTGGTATCATTTTCAGAATGATAATGTATAAAATATTACTGTAATAGGCATATCTGCAGTTTTTCATGAGTTACTAACATGGGTAACCAAAATAGTTGCTGTTGTTATCGTAGCCCATCACCTATCCGCAAAGATATTGTGAAACTAGAAGATTATCTTCCAGAAGGTGAAGTTAGTTCAAATAATATACAGCATATCAGTGAAAGGGAGCCAGATGATGGTGATATTGATCCCTCTCAAGATCCCATTGCTGGTACTATTTTTATGGAGAGATCAAAAGCTTCTATTGAAAATGGTATGACAAGAAAAAGAAGCCAACATCAAATTGCAGAAAATAAGATGAAAAAAAGCAGTTCCTGTTCTACAATTTATTTAGATGATAGCACTGTTTCACAGCCTAACTTGAAAAATACTGTCAAATGTGTTGCTCTTGCTATCTACTACCATATAAAAAACAGAACATCTGAACGTAGGTTAGATATATTTGATGAAAAGTTGCATCCTTTAAGCAAGGATGGGGTCAGTGATGATTATGATAGGTATAATCCTGAACATAAACAAATTTATAAATTTGTACGAACGCTGTTCAATGCTGCACAACTCACAGCTGAATGTGCTATTATTACATTGGTTTATTTAGAGAGATTGCTGATATGTGCCGAGTTAGATATAGCTCCATCGAACTGGAAAAGAATAGTATTGGGAGCAATTCTACTTGCTAGTAAGGTGTGGGATGATCAAGCGGTCTGGAATGTTGATTACTGCCAAATTCTAAAGGATATCACAGTGGAGGATATGAATGAGTTAGAGAGGCAATTCTTAGAAATGCTTCAGTTTAATATAAATGTACCTTCTAGCGTATATGCAAAGTATTATTTTGACCTCCGAACATTAGCTGAAGCCAATGACTTGGCATTTCCTAGTGAGCCTCTTAGTAAAGAAAGAGCTCAAAAATTGGAAGCAATGTCTAGAGTAATGGAAGACAAGATTTCTGCAGAAATAGTTAAGAATGGTTTAAAGAAATGGTCAAGTTTAGACAATGTCAATTCTGGTGCTGGAGTAAGGCGCAGTGTTGCCATACTTTCATAAGTTCTTGAAGAAATTTTACAATTTTGGATTTTCAAAATGTATATATTTTAATATTGCACCAGTTTATTATTCAAAATTGTGTAAAACATTAATGCTTTTATACACCTTGAGATTTGCTATTTTAATTTATAGCAATCATCAAGGAAGACAAGTTGGTAAAGTACTTTTAGACTACAATTCTTAAATATTATTTTATAATGAGACAGCCAATAGTTAGGGATTAATGATCTGATCTCTTCATATTTGAATCATGAAATGTTAATTATATTAATTCTTAGAATGAAAGACTTGTAAATTGTGGTCCAATATATTTTGTATTATATCCATAAACTACAGTAACTTGTTTCTTTTTATTTAATATGCTTCCAGTTGCTTTTAATTATTTTTAAGAAGCACTAAAGATAGATTGCTTCCAAAGCTTTTTTGCTTAGTATATTTAAGATATTGTCTAGAATGTTAAATTTGTCTTGACTGAACTAAAGTTTTGTGATTGTGGTATAAATGTATTAGTCACTTCTTTTAAAAATATTCTAATATTGCATTTAGATTGGAAGTAGAATGCGTATGAATCATGCCAAATTATTTTATAATCTAATACAATTAAGTAAGCTTAATATGTAAGGGACTTTAAGCAGTTACTATGTTACTTATGTTGGCAATAACTATATTTTATCTGTACAATATAGTATAGGAATTGATTTATATTATTAATACCTACTGATTTATTCCATATGTAATTCAGAATTCATAATTATTGTATCTTATTAAGAGGAATAAACATTTTATATGAGACTTTCAACATGATCTTTATTTGGATAAAATTATTATCAAAGCGAACTAAAAACTTAAGATTATAATTGCAAATGTTTGCACTTTATCAGCCTGTATCTACCTACATTGTACACAATATTTGTTAAAACAAGATATGAATAAGAATTTACCTTTAATACTAGTAATATTTTTGCCCTACAATTTGTTATTTCTCAAAAAAGTTAAAATAATTGAAACAACATCATATAAAAACAAATATGTATTATCAGTCGTCTCTTAGGTTAGTTCTATAATAACATTCACATTTTACTCTTAAGTTTGTGAAGAAGCTGGTCATTTACATTGCACACAAAGAGCTAAATAAGAATAAAGAGGTAAATAATTACAATATCAACTATGCTAAAGGTTTTAGGTCTTTTAAATAAGAACTGTAGTTTTCTAGTATATCAACTACATCACTCTTTTTGTGTATTTCTTCATCATATTCAGGGCCTACAGACCATAAAGTCTCCAAATCATAAACTTTCCGAGTTTTCTCTGAAAATATGTGTAATGCGATATTACCTGTAAAGAAAATTTAAAAATTATATCAACATAATATTAACTTAATAAATGTAAAGTATAGAAAAGAGAATGGAATAAATGTACCTAAATCTAAAGCAATCCACTGATCAGAATCCTTTCCTTCTAAGCGTGGTATATAGTCAGATTTGTTACATTTTCTCTTATATACTTTTCTCACAAATTCTGCTAAAGCCTGAATATGTTTTTTACTTCTAGCTGTCACAATACAGATGTAATTAACATAATTTATGTGTTTGGGAACAGTAGCAACAAATACATCTCTAGAGTTTTCTCTATGCAATAGGTCAACTAAATCTTCAATTTCAAAAACACCATTCTTTCCCCCTAAAATAAAAAAATATTCATTTTATTATATTATGAAGATTAAATATTCTTTGACACCATTACAATTTAAACTTACTTTCTAAATTAATTCCATCAAATTCGTCACTTAGCAAAGGATATTGATTATTTAAATTAATTTCATCTACTGTATGTACAATTAGTGGTGAATTTTTCTCCGTTATTAGTTGATATTTACGCCCAATGCCAGGTGAAGTTTTATTAGACGTATTTCGAGGATATTTTAAGGCAACACCACTATTAAAATTGAGTTTATGTAAATCCCCAAAACTTTGATGTCCCAAAATTCTTTTAAGGCTACTGCTAGTTTTATACATCTCTTTTCGATTACAGAACGTTATAAATATCAAAATTTGTTAAATTTTATCGTGGTATATGTTAAATTACTGATTATTACACTTTTTATATAACATTACAATGTTATAAAATTTAGCTCGATTGGTACATAATAATTTTGTTTTAGCTCTTGACTTTTTAGCTTTGTTGGTTATGCTTTGATTGTCTTATTTCTACTGACAAATGACATATAAAGTAACTTATAATATGACATCTGCAGGCACAAGAACAACTGTCACGTTAGCACGTATATTATTACTTATTCCTATATTGCTAATCTAGCAGAGTTTTAAATGCGCCACCGCTCGAAATTATTAATTGTATTTATCATTGGTATTTAAGTTCAAGTCAAGTACCAGGGGTTTGAGGCAAATGACTTGGTAACGTGGCAATGCGTGAGCTAGTTTCACTTCCATACAAATTCGGTTAGCGTTAGTCGGTCTCGACTCACGACTATCGAAAAGTGATTTCGAGATTCGTCTCAAGCCCCTGGACCTGTTGGAATTTCATCACTCTTCCGAAGGCGTGACGACACCATCAAATTTTCAAAGATTTATTGATTTTAAGGGATATATATATATACAAATAATATATAATAAAAAGGATTCAAATCACTGGTTTATTAATAAAATAAAATTTAAAGTTAAAAAAAATACTGCAATGGGCCATTTTGTCTAAAACACCAATCACAGCGCGTTGATGTCACGCTTACGTTAACTTCAGTAACTTGAAACTTCGCTGTGTTTTGTTGTGATTTCGCATTTGGATTGATTTTTGATTAGTTTAAATATGATTTATATACTAATTACTTCTTATATATATGATTTATCTACTATTTACTTCTTATATATATGATTTATCTACTATTTACTTCTTACGCTACTCGACTCAACAACACAAATCTATTACAAAGGAACCAAGATTTGTTTAGGCAAACAGCCCAAGTTTGACCAGGTTTGATATATAAATGTTGGGACTTGGGCGATTTCCTCGCAATAAGAAGACCTTTTTTTCTCGGCTGAGTTTAGAAATGTAAGAACTTCCTTGTAAGTTTTGTATTTATCTTTAACGCGTGAAACAAATACTACCAACTAGTCATACTCTTTTGACCAAGGGAATACACCACCGATATTATTGCGGTGTGATAGGTACTTAGATGCCTGAAATTATATTCCGGCAACGTGCTTTCCACAAAGCTATATATTTCTTGGACATTCATAGGTCAACCGGGTCTGATGGAATCCCCTTAATTGTGCTGCGTACTTGCTCTTGAGTTGGTTCCAGTCCTATCAGGATTTTTCCGGTACCTATACTCGCTCGGCACTGACCCAAAGTGCTGAAAGACCGTTTCAATACATCCGATCCCTAAAAAAGGTCTGATCCGTCCAACTATCGCCCTATAGCTATAACCTCCTAGTTTTCCAACATAATGGAAACCATTATTAACTGCTCCTGAGATATCTAGAGGGCCACCAGCTGATTAGTGATGGTAAATACGACTTTCGTTGTGGTCGCTCAGCCGGTGACCTTCTCGTTTACCTGATACATAGGTGGGCAGAGGTAATTGTCTCCAAGGGTGATGCGCTGGCGGTAAGTATCGGACATAGCGAAGCCTTTAATCCGGTGTGGCAGCCTATGGGTTTCCCAAGAACTTAAGCAACTGGATTTCCAGCTTTCTCGCTGATCGGAGCATCAAGGTCGTCATCGAAGGAGCATGTTCCCACGTTAAACCTGTAAACGCTGGGGTTCCACAATAGGGGTCGACTAAATCCAGTCCAATTGAGGAAGACACAAGTCTGCGCATTTTCCGCTACAAAAAACCAAACCGGAAAACGCGCTTTTGTCGCTAATCCTCTCTTCGAAGACACACTTCATTGGTTGGTGGACTCAGTTTCCGCACTTAGACGCTCATTGGGTCGGTTCTGCGTAAAGTCCTGGGTAACTAAGCCAGCCTAGCTCCTTCCAGAAGCACAGAAGTCTCTTGGACGTTCGTAGGGTTCACGGAGCGACCTCACTGTTTCGAGGGTTTTTGCACGTTGGTTAGCCACTGCCACGCATTTTAGGACTACGTGGGTGACGGATTATTCTGCGCTGAAACAGCCTCTGCTCAAGGGGCTGTCTGTCTCACCTAGGATGAACAGTTGTTTATTAAGGAGTGTGTGGCCCGTCAATAATAAAATATAAAAAATAAAATAAATAAAATATAGGGACCTATCATTGTTTTGAGATTAGTTCTGCTGAGGCTTAGAAGTCGCTTTGTCATTTGCGGGTTTGCAGGGTGTTGGTAAAGCCATTTTGGATTGTCTGCAGTCCGTGTTTCGCGACCGTCGGAGATGTTGGAGTTCTGTAGATTTTAAGCAAATCCAGGTTCGCACTTGCGAGTAGGGCAAGGGAAAGAGCGGATACGAGCCTGCCGGCAGTCATTCCGGAGCCGTTCCTCGCAAGCTAGTCGGCAGCATCATTGCCGAGAGATCCACTGTGTCCTTTTATCCACTGTAGGGTAAACCTGTTTGTCTGGGTTATTGCTTCCAGTGCATTGTGTTCACATGGCGCAGCTATGAGGGGTTGATACTCAATCGCACTGTTGAGAATCGCTGTGTGGGACGTAGCTACTGTAGTATTTTTTTCCTCATATACCCAGGAGCATAAGCCTGATGGCGGCTAGTGCTGCCTCCTTCTGTATGTAGAGGTCTAGCGGTACACTAAATATAACAACTTTGTTTACTTTCTTCACCGGCTGAGCATAGAAACATTTGATGTTTACCTTAACGTGACGTCACACCTGGCTTAATGACTGAGAGCTGTTTTCGCGCGCTATTGATAAAATTCTAGAAAAATGGCTTTGAAACTTAGTTAAACTTTAGTTTATAACCGAAATAAAGATTTCTGGTAAATAATAGTCAATGTTTACCCGCATAAGGAAAGACGATTTCAAAATCTTTCTTTATAATAAATAATAATAAGAATGTTTTTACATAGTATTACAATTTAGACGACCCTTACGTATTATGGTACCACATGCATTTTTCTCATAAGTCTACATTTACTAACTTGTCGGAATATACTATTTTTACTAATCTGTTTATTATTAAACATAACTAAAAATATTACCAATATTTGATATGCAAAATACGAATTTAACAAATCCATAACAAAAATAGATTGTGAGACTTGTTACGCAGATATGTTAAGACGCCCTGTGCCCAGAATCGAATGTTGGTAAAGGTTTTAATTTATTTTGGCAATTATAAAAGTTTTAGTCAAGACTTATAATTACTTATGTTATACTGTTGTGTCTTAATGAAAGAAATATAATTTTTGTCTATGTCTGTCAAGTCAATCAAGGAGCTTTAACTGCCCTGCTATAAACTATAGATTCAGAAAAAAATAAGGTGTATGCTTTTTATTTTTTTCTGTACTAGTTTCCTTACTTAAACTATTTAAAAAATTGATAAAATAATACACATGTAAACAAGCAAAAAACGGTTTATTTATTTTATTCAAGGTTTAGAATAGACCTTCTATGTCTCCAGTGGTAGTGTTCAAGTCAATGTCATAAATACTGGGGCGAGTGGGCAACCCAGGCATCTTGGAGATTTCACCGACCATAGGAACGACGAAGCCAGCGCCCACAGATACAAATATGTCGTTAATCCGTAGAGTGAAGCCAGTCGGCGCTCCTTTGATTGTAGGGTCACCAGTCAACGAGTTTGATGTTTTGGCCATGCAGATTGGGAATTTGTCATAGCCCTATAAATTGTCACAAATGAGGAAATACAGCTTATATTGGGATATGAAAAAGTTATTGTTTTGGAATATACATAACATCAACCAACGCTAAAATAAACCGTTGTATAAATTCAATAATTGACGAGAAATACGTGTTCCCAAAAATAATATCAAATGTATCTAACAAATCAAGTAAAAATGCAGGAATTAAAGTTTACACTTTGCTTATTATGGCTAAACATTAAAATATGCTAGAAATATACCTTCTCAGTGAACCGCTTAATCTTATCCAGTACATCATCAGTGTATTCAATCTTTCCAGCTCCGTACATCTCGAACGCTATCTTCTGTATCTTGTCCTGTATGGACAGATCCAGAGGGTAGAGGTAATTGAAGTTGGAAGGTGTTTCACAGGCCTCGATCACTGCATCAGCTAATTCCAATGCGCCGGCGCCGCCCTTAGCCCAATGATCGCAGATCACTGCTCGGAACGCGCCATTCTTAAGGGCGTACTCTTTCACCATGTTAAGCTCTGCTTGAGTGTCGTTCCTGAAATATAATTTCGAAATTTTGTTAATTTAAGCACAGTTACAATAAATTTTTGTATGGAATACGTGAACAATGCTCGGCGGGCGTATTTGAAACTTAACGAAGACAATATATAATTCGAATAGAATCGGTATTTACAAGCTGTTCTGAAAAGTTTGTCGAATCGTGAAAGTATGTTTTATGAGGGTGATATATGTATGATAGCTTTGTGGCTTCAGCGTGGGACTCTCATTCCTGAAGTCGTAATTTAGTTCGCCGGCTGCGCGGTAATGGTGGCGAAATGGCGCGACAACATTCCCTCGTATGGTGAAAGAAAACTAGCCTGACTCATATAGTGGACCGCATGTGTGAGGCTGACTGATCACCAACTTGGCTATTAGAAAAAACAAATGATCCAGACCTAAAAGGCTTTTTTATATATAGTATAATAGTACGCGTAATATAAGTGTGAACTATATATAATATAATAAATTAATATTTACCCATGTTTGTTGATAGCGATTACAACAGGTACGTTGAATTTTTTCCCGTTGCTTATGTGTTTTCCTAAATTGCAGAGACCTTTGTTCAAAAGATCTAAGTTTTCCTAAAAATGTTTTATAAATATTAAAAAAAACATTTAATCATATAACCGGTCAAGAAATTTTCGTGCATTGTTACTTCTCCTTAAATTGTTGAATTATTTACAAATACAGTTGTTGAATTGTTTAAAATTAATTAAAATAATATCTTTTGAATCTACAGTAAAGTGAATATAGTGTCGCTTTCGAACTCGACAATACTTTTTATCACTTCTATGAGAAAATACGTGTAATTAACGAAGTAGAATTACATCTATTTATTAATCGCAATTTGAGAAGGATATTTTTTTTAAAGTTAACATTTAAAATTCGAATTTAAACAAACAGTCAACAATATTTATGCGTTTTTCTTTTTTTTAATTGTTCCGCGCGCGGATAATTTATTGACAGCCAGTAACATTTACTAACAATATCTTCGTTCCAAATTTAAATTCGCAGTGATTAAAATATATTTTAGTCTATGTTAACTAGAAACCACCTAGCTCTTTATGGAATAAAAAGTATGTCCAGATGAGATACAATCAACAAAATTAACACACCCATTTACATTTAAGGTGCGCAATACATTCAATAGGTCACTTAAAAATATTATGTATGTGTGATAAATATTTTATACACGACAATATGTTAAATACATGACCTGTGTAACATACACATATTTTGTTTAATTGCGAAGTGATAAAAGACAATACATTATCTATGTGCAGGTAATTCTAAATATGCTGACCTCCACGTAGACCTGATGCAGGGGCAGTCCAGGGCTGACGGTAGGTCCACCTCCGTGCATCTTCAGAGCTCGAACCGTGCATACGATCACTGCGCAGTGCGGCTGATCATCACCAGCACGGCACTTTATGTCGAAGAACTTCTCCATGCCTTAAAATATTTTATAATTCTTAATAGGAAATTCTTCCTAATTCTTATGAAAGACAACAAATTCCTAACTGTGGGACGAAGAACATGTGTAGGTATCTAAGTTCTATTGTTGGAAAGTTAAAAATCCGCAGATATGTGTTATCTCTATGCTCTTCATGATTTAGGGAAATCATAAATAATAATTATCTATAAAAAAAATATGTTAGGGGTGTTAACGTTACGCAAACGGCTATTTTATACATACAACATACGTTCTAGATAATTCTTAGTTCGAAAAAAATTCTTACCAATATCAGAACCAAATCCAGCTTCGGTGGCGACAAAACCGTTCTCCTTGACGAGCTTCATGGCGATCTTGTCAGCGATAATGGATGAGCAGCCATGAGCGATGTTGGCGAAGGGACCCGTGTGAACCAGCACTGGGGTACCTTCCAGGGTCTGCATCAGGGTTGGCTCGAAGGCGTCTTTCAGGAGAACCATGAGAGCGCCAGTTACACCCTGAAATAGTGAGATTGAGGTAAGAACTTGTATAAACAATCATAAAACTGAAAGAATCTTACATAGGTTAAATAAATTAAATATGGATAACTAATGCAGAAAGTAACTTAATTCTATTTATTTCCAACACACAAATATGCAATATTTACAATGCATTTAACCTACATAGAAATAATAATAAAAAGTTGATAAATAGACAATTTAACAAATTTTAAAAGTTGTGTTCTTGTGGCCTTGTATGTGTGCCTTTGTGTACCTTTAATGCTGGCAGCATTTACTTGCTGTATTGCGATACTTGATACTTTTTGCAGAAAGTGATTTTATTGTTACAAAAAAATGCGCAACAAACTTTTATTAAAAGATTTTCAGAATCCAACACGTTTTTGACATAAGGGGTTAGATTTAGCGTTCTGATCTTAATATAGACCAGAACATATTTATTTCTCTATCGTCATACTAAATTTACTAATAATAGGTACGCCATGCTAAGAATAAGCTCATAAAATTAGATTTAAGATTGGTTGACGTTTAAATACTTAAGTTTAAGCCTGTAACAGAATTGCCGGGTTTGTGAGGTCTACTGGGGCCTTAGGCAAGATGTCTTAACAGTAGTGTATGTAGAAAGTCAAAAACTAAATTTGTATGAAAACTTTTCGACACGAACTGTCATTTCCATACAAATTTACTTTTCTACATACACTACTGTTAAGTCATCTTGACTAAGGCCCCTGGTCTGGTTAATTATATATATTAAAAACATATTTTAGACTTTTTTTATATAGCTTTCTGGCAGTGTGAGTACCTTTGCGAAGCTTAATTCTATTTTAGAAGGACCTTTAGTTTAGTGGTTCGTAAATACTTCCCTTATTTTTATTGAACAGGGACCAAACAGGCAGGAGGCTCACCTGATCTTAAATGAGCACTTGGACTCTCTTAATGGCAGAGGGGTCTCGAGTGCGTTCCCGGCCTTTTAAGAATTGGTACGCTCTTTTTTAGAAGGACCCTAAATCAAATTGGTTCAGAAATACTTCGTCGGGCACCTGGTGCCATTTTTTATGTATTACCTTTATTAAACCTTATATCGTTACATAATACAGTGTATGCACAGTATATCAGAATACAAAATCCCAAATTTGCGTTAAAGCATATACTTACAAGATCATCAGCAGTGACCGGGTTGCCGCGTTTGTCCAGGGCAACTACCATGTTAGAAAGTCGGTCTTTGATGTCTTCAATGTCCTTGCCCAAAGCTAGTACAGCCATGATCTCTGAGGCAACGGAGATATCGAAGCTGGTCTCCCGCGAGAAACCTTTTTCAGTTGGTGATTGGCCAATTGTAATCTTTCGGAGGTATCTGTCGTTTAAGTCCACCACTGGAATAGTATTTAGAATGTTTAAACAATGTTTGGTAAGAATAATTTTAAAAAATCAGGTTTCAGGTAGTATGACTCATATATGTTTAAACTTATTAAATTATGACGCACGGGAGCCATTGTTCGCAATAAGTCTTCCTAATAAGTAATCCTTAGAGAAAACATTGAAATAATGTTTACTTCAATTTTAACTAACCAATTAGTAGTTATTGTATTCCCCAGTTTAGTTAAGTTTTGCAGTATTTGGTAAAAATAAAATTTTAGATCTCGGTGTGTAGCTTCTTTTTATTAATGGATATGTCATATGATGTATGCTCGGAGACGTTGCGATGTGAAACATACTGATTTAAAAACTACGCTACTACTTCTGTATTCTTCTTCTGAGAATATGATCAATGACAGAGTCGCCGAAATGCATTTTCATTTCCTCTATCAGCTTATCAAAACAGTTTTACAAAATTGAGGGTAGTACTGATAATTACTGTTTTTACCCGCAAAAATTCAAAATAAAATTACCTCTATTCCACATGATTTTAGTTGTGTCAATGTCAAGTCTTGCAAACTTGGTCCTCTCTTCCGGTGTCAATAGGTCAGGGTCTGTCTTGTTAATGCCCAGACGGTTCAACCTTCTTAGCTGAATTGGTGAGAACTTCCTCACTCCCTTGATCTTTGGTACCAATCGGTCATAAAGTGGACCGTCTTTTTGGGTCAATTCGTGGAATATCCTGGCATCCATTTGAGCAGCAAGAAGGTTGTTTGCTGCAGTAACTGCGTGGATGTCGCCAGTAAGATGCAGGTTGAAATCTTCCATGGGGATGACCTGATTTCGAGAAAGAGTTTACTAAGCGGGTTTGTATTATTGTTTGTGTTAGTCTAAACTGTTTACCAAAAAAATTTAAGGAGGCTAATTTATAAATTTTCTTAAAATGGTGTTTGCATTAAAAAAGTATTATTATAAAATGCTAATATATTAAATAATAACTCTAACGCTTTAGCCCCAAGCTTGTTATATTCTATGTCAAGTCAAATAACGTATACACTACATATACCTGTGAATAACCACCTCCAGCGGCTCCGCCCTTGACTCCAAATGTGGGACCCTGGCTGGGCTGACGCATGCAGGCGAAGGAGTTACGACCTCTGTGAGCAGTCAGGGCTTGAACCAGACCCAGTAAGGTGGTACTTTTACCCTCACCCAAGGGTGTTGGAGTTATACTGGAAATTATAGTATTGTAAGTAAAAACATATATATCAGTTCAAAGCTATGTCATAGATATATATAATAACATAGAAACTTTGTGGATTAAAAATAAGCTTTCATCTGTAATATATTTATTATATTATAAACATAATCAGCCCACAGTTAAAACTATCCTACAATTGAATTCCTAACATATTACGCGAGTAGGTAAAACTATTGAAAATATACGTAGTCGGTCCCTAAGTTCTGTCATAAATAGAAATAATGATAAAAACTAAAGTACTGATCAGTTTTTAATGAGTGATATATCAATTAATAGTACATAAATTAAGAAATAGAAATAGCATAAAATTATTCGAAATGACCTCCCTTATTTTTAATACAGGCCCTTAAGCGCCGCGGCCAGTCGTCTATCGCAGCACGCACCATATTCATGTCGATTTCAGTGACTGCTTTTTTTAAAGATGACTTCAGACACTCTAAATTTTTATGGGGTTTATCACAGACCTTCCTCTCTAAGACCTGCCAAATTTTATAGTCCAAAGGATTAAGGTCTGGACTGGAGGAAGGCCAATCCTCATGTCTAATTAAGTCGATGTTTTGACGCTCAAACCAGGTTTGAGTGGTCTTGGCTTTGTGTGCAGGCGCAGAGTCCTGTTGGAACACAAAGTGATGTCCCGAAAATAGCGTGCTGGGCAGGTCTTTGACAAGCTGGTCCAAAACCGCGTCTTTGTTCTTTTGCACTGGTTTTGACCCCCTTTTCGCAAAAATGAACCTCAGTTGGCCCGTAATAGGACACTCCCAACCAGACCATTACTGATGATGGATGATGTCCATGTTGCACCCTCGGAACTTTATTTCCAGCTTCTTCAGAACTCCTAGCGTACACTCTATCATTCTGTTTATTGTACTTCTCTTCAATATCGAAAAATTTTTCGTCCGTAAAGAGGATATCACGGTGTCGGTTTTTCGCGTACCGCTTTAACAAACCCCGCGATCTCTTAAGCCTTATTGCTTTTAGACGAGCATTAAGTAGGTGCCCACTATTTTTTTTTGTATGCCCGTAGACCAAGATCTTCATTTAAAACCTTTTTTACTGTTTTCCTACTGACACCCATCTGCAAAGCCAACTTCTGTTTTCGGACAGGATTACTTGCTATCCGCGCCTTGATAGCTTTGATCACTGCTGGTGTCCTTGCGGAGCGTGGCCGGCCAGTTCTTTTCTTGTCCTCAACACTGGAGACTTCATTGTACCTATCAATAGTACGGTACACAAACCTAAGCGTTATATTTAAATTTTTGAGCAACTTGAAAATGGTACTCGCCGAGTGCCCACAGCGGTGCAACGCAATAACAGCTATTCGGTTTTCTTTCAATGTCCACTCCATCTTGAAAATTTACGGAAAGTGATTGTTTTTTGTTTTAAAACAATAGTCAAACAATCAAAAATAGAATGCAATAATTTTTTTATAAAATCATGTTCGTAATTTAAAAATAATGTGCCAGTGACAGAACTTTGGGACCAACTACGTAATATATAGTTCAGAAGCTTTCCTTTTTGTCATGTAACTATATATAATATACATTGTCTTTATATTTACCACCGGAGATATATCGATATTTTATGAAAGAGTAAGCAATTAAAAATAAAACTATAATAATAATAAAAATCTTACCCTGCAACTACTATGTATTTGCCTCCCTGTTGGTCCTTCAATCTGTCGAGTACTTTGAGCGATACCTTGGCCTTAGTGTTTCCATACTGGGAGATTTCGTTTGGGTACAAGCCTAGTTCGTCGACTAAAATGCCGATGTCCTTTGGTTTTTGCGAACGAGCTATCGCTATGTCGCTGGAATTTAAAAAATTATAGCATATCTTTTTCTTAAAAGCCCGGCAACGCACTTGCGAGCCTTCTGGCAATGTCAGTGTTAAGGCGGCGGTATCACTTAACATCGGATAAGCCCATTGGCCCCTTTTAGGTATACATATTTAAAAATCACGGATTTTATGAAATTAAACTAATCATTTATGTTTATATATGTAAAATTTACAATAACGTATACGAGGCTTTGATCGTTTCCGTGCAATGAAAAGGAATTTTATACTTGAAAAATAATACTTTAATAGAAATAAAAGGATACTTTTTTAACTAGAGGGTAATTACACGTACTTATTAAATTTTTTTTTCTTTAATGTGTCGTATTTACCTAATTATCTTATCTAAGTAGACCTTGTTAACTCTTTAAAGATTGACAACAGTAAATGATATAAAAACCTTAATACCTTGGTGGTGGTGATAGAATGTTAAGCCGCAAAACTTTAAGCGGCCAAACTGGTGCGATGAGCCGTTCGACGTACCGCTGGGCAGCCGTGACTGTGTTTCGCATTAACATGGCCACGGTCATTGGCCCAACTCCACCGGGCACGGGCGTTACGTGCGAGGCTACTTGTATAGCCTCCGCGTACGCTACGTCCCCTACTAGTCGTTGTCCACTGCTCTTTGTTGCATCTGTCAGTTAATTAGACAATACATTAACTTTTTTATCAATAAGACCAAAAAGTTCATGCCATGAGCGAATTAAGAACAGTCCTAATAATGTGCCTCAAGCCGCTTTGGTGTGATTACCAAATCCTCGGTCTGTGTATGACATATTGACAGTGGTAAAAAATTCAGAATGGAAATCGCATGTCATTTAGGACAAAACAACTTGAGGGAGTAAATAGTCAGCGAAGATCCATAGTATAATCATTGTATTTCATCCTTCAAGAAGAGTGTACCAATTCTTAAAGAGCCGGTGACGCACTTGTTAGTTTTCTCGCAATGTGAGTGTCCACTGGTATCACATAACATAAGTTGAGCCTCCTGCCCGTTTGCTTTCTATTACATAAAAAAAATTGTAATCTGCAAGTTTTGACTAAGAGTTTCGCAGTTTCACAGGTATCAAAAATGTTAAAAGATTTCAATAAACTATGTTATGTGAACAACGTTAACTGCCTTAAAATTTAAAAATAAAATCTCAAGTAAATCAAAGAAGATTTAGTTTTTTATTTTTTAGTTTGAGAGATTTCTTTGACTAGAACACCAACCATAAACTACAATTACTTAATGTAAAAAAAAGTAAAGCACAAGACAAACTCGTATGAATTGAAGATCGAGCAATCCAAAAATGCAGATAAAAGTCGCCGATTTTAATTATTTATTTAAAACATTATTAATTATCTGATTGCGAAATACATATTGAATATTTTTTTTAAAGGTATGATTTGATAGAAAAATAACTCAACACTGTTATAATTGGCTGGTTACAAATGGTAATAAAATCCGATAAAAGGTTTATTCGAATGAAACGCATGTAAAAACCATACCATTTCCTCTGCTCACAAACTCATACTGCCGATTTATGAATCGTAATTCAATAGAGCATATTTTGAAAACAATTCTACTGTTGGAAAAAACATGAGGAATTATCGTCATGAACATAGGAATGATTCTCTGTCATATTATTATGTAGATTACATTTGTTTCGAAGTGGAATCATTATCTATGTCTTGATAACAGTTATTGATAAAAATATTAACCTGGAATTGGATTGATCCCACAGTCAATGACAACTGCTCCCGGTTTGATCCATGATCCACGAACTAATTCCGGTTTGCCGATACCGACCACCAAAATATCAGCTGTTTTTGTCTTGAAAGTAAATAAATTATTTATCAATACTATATTTTAAACAAAGGAAACGTAAATCGCTCCTTTTCAGTAGGAAACGATTCCAAAGTAATTCTATAAGTCCATTTAGATATATTAATTATATAAGTCCATTTAAATATAATAAATATATTTGTATTTTAATCATAAAATACACTTACCACTTCATTTAAATTAGCCGTCTTTGAATGGCAAATGGTGACAGTCGCATTCTCCCATTTGAGCAACTCGGATATAGGAGTGCCGACAATTCTGCTACGGCCCAAAACTACTGCCCGTTTCCCCGATATGGAGACTCCAGTACGTTTGATCAGCTCCACGCAACCTGCGGGAGTGCAGGGTACGAACCCTGACAGATCTCCTAAAGCTGCTCGACCTTCGTTCAACGTGTTTAGTCTGTATAAAGAAAAGGCTATAATATTACATGTGTAACATAAACAGAATTTGTGTATAACACTGAAAATTTAAGAAAAACTTCTTCATAATTCGTAATTAAATGCGTAAAAAAACATTAACCCCGAATTTTAATTTACATTTCAGAAATTTCCGACCTTGGAACTTGTCTCGTAAGTACGATATCTACACACACAGGTACAGTAATTGATGAAAAGGGTGACTGCCTCGGTGAAAGCATCGAAATCCGCAGCAGAATTGAGCCAACGCGGCACGCCTTTTCAAAACTAAAAGACGTTCTTTGTGACAAGTGGCCAAATATACCTACAGCTTAGAACGTGCATTGCGCGATGTTACGTCTTCTCTGTGCTGTTCTACGGCTCATGAACGCTGACAGAGACTATGTCCAAAAAACTGGAAGCGTTTGAGATCTGGGTATATCGACGTATGCTTATAATATCTTGGACAGACCACATACGACATACAACCGTGCTGGACAGAATGCAGAAGAACACAGAAGTGCTTATGACGGTTAAGAAAAGGGAACTTGAGTATTTCAGACACGTTTTACGTAACACCAAAAAATACGAGCTCCTTCAACTAATCACGCAGGTCTTGGTTAAAAAAACCTAAGACAATGGTTTGGTCAAAGCACCAAGTCATTGTTTAGAAGCGCGGCACCCAAAATTAAACGCCATGATGATCGCCAACCTTCGCAAAGTGATGGCACTATAAGAAGATTTTCGATATTCCATAAACCGAATTTTAAAACCAAAACTGCCATATGCGATATATTAATCTTTATACGGTGAAATACCAAAAGTACACAAACGTATAAAAGGCGCCATATATAAATATACTAGATGACGATTAGTATCGGTCATTGCGACGTTATGCGGCTCAAAGGACCAAAACCGCAAATTTGATTATATCACCGTGTAAACCGTATGAATTGCTAACTAGGATAGTGGACTGTATATATATTTATTACAATTGGTTAATCACGTAGTATTAAAAAAAACATTAGTATCTATAATCTATATAGTATAGTCTAAAGTATTACCCCCACTCTTCTAATTGTAATAAGCACGAAAATGATACTGACCCATCGACATCTTTATGCGGCGAAACAGCATCTGTAATAAGGTGGTTGTCGATGGGGTGAATGGAGTCCACAGGCATCTGGACGATGATACCGTGAACATCTGGTGATTCATTCAACTCGCCCAGTCGGATCAGCAACTATAAAAGAAGAAGAAAAGTTATATTAATTGAAGATATATTATTAATGAGATAAATTAATTAAAGCACACACAGACATGCAACAATGATTTTCAGTAGGCCGTTGCTATCGTAGAATGACAGCTATACATAATTATGTTAATTAACAAAACAAAAATATTTGCAAAAAAATAAAATTATTTAAAAAAAGAATAGAAATTAATCAAATTACAAACAAACAAAATGTTTCCAACACAGCCGACTGACAATCCAAAAGATAAGTTTTACATTTTATCTTGAAAGAAATTTTAACCTGTTACAGCTATATTATAATACAAAATGTATGATAGCGTCTTTGGTCTCTTAAATTGTACTCTACCTGGATTCACGAGTTAGGGGGCGTCCATAAATTACGTGAGGTGTTTAAGGGGGAGGGGGTCAAGTCAAATCTCATTTAATCTTACGTTGGAGAGAGGGGGTCTCGACAAATATCACGCAATTTTTTTCTGATTGAAAAAATTTTTTTGGAAAACGGTTGACCCTAAAGGCCATCTCTGCAACTTCCCGCTAATTCCATACCTAAACGCTCAACATTTCACTTATTTTGTTTTAGTCGTAAATAAAAGCACGAAGCAATTTTTTTTCTTTTTACAATAACAATCCGTAAGAAACCCACATTTTGAAAAATCTCACGTGAGATTGGGGGTGGGGAGGGGGTTGATTAAAATCTCACGACATCTCACCAGGGGGAGGGAGTCACAGAAAATTTAAAAAACACCTCACGTAATTTATGGACGCCCCCTTATAGAATGTAATCCTATAAGTAGATAAAAAAAAATATGTTTTTAAGTTCTTAAAGTAAATTAACGTGAGATAACCTCATGATCTGATTAGTTTATTAGTCTGACGAATGAAACAATAATTTTTAAACCTTAATTCCCAGGAAAATAAAAAAATATAGGTATTAACGCTAATATCAGCGAAACAGCAAAGATGTCATTATAAAAATAATTGAATTTAATTAATACGAACTTAATTGTATTTAATCAATCAATTTCTATTTAATTAATTCGCATTTAATTTAATCTACAATTGGCCTTTATTATATGCGAAGATTTCATATTTTCATTTTTACATACCGTGCTTTTTTAGTTTCCCTTAAAATTTTCTCCATCCAAAAATCAAGCCAAGTTAACTAACTGATTAAAAAAAATACATAAACAATAGGATAACGACTAATAAAAATGTGGAATGATATTGATGACACAAAGAAACACACTAACAAAGATTAAACATTCTAAATGCGCAAACAGTTATGCGAAATATGTAGTTAGTTTAAAAATGAGATCTAGGTAAATTTGTCGAATCACGACACCACCTTAGAACAGCTCCAATTTTTTTCTATGGTTCTTTACGACTTGTATGTAATACCCCAAGTAATATTAAGGAAGTGCATGGCTTTTGACCCCTTAATTTTTTTTAAATCTATAATATTACATGCATGATGTAAATGATATTGTCCCAATGAATTACATTAGGTTATGGGCCTCATATCTCAGCGGTCTTATTAAGCGACCTTGGTAGCTTCTTTCATTAATTTCACAAATTATGATGTTAATTAATTTCTCTGGAGTTAAAGAGCACGCGCCACTGAAATATGCGCGATGAAAATATGTAAAAAAAAATTTGGAGATGTTTTAAGTTGGAGCTGTGATTCGACAAATTTAACTAATTATAATGTTTTAAAACAATAATAAAATCATTATGTACTGACTCTAGGATCTTTATATTTTTTCATTGGCGTATTAGGTCACAACTATCAAGCAAATAACAATGCAATAAATAACTACAGTGACAATCACTATAATTGCATTTTAATCGTAATAATTTATCAGGGATAGGTCGAGCTTTACGATTTAGACAGTAGATCGATGCCTTGACCCGTTGTTAATATCAATAACATTAAATGATTATTTCTTTCCCTATGTGGACTTTGGGGTATATTTTTATTTATTTGTATTGAAAATAAATACCTTACATACGTATTTCCAAGAAAACTAGGTACAGCATTGATCAAACCGATATTATTTTATGATGCATTTTCTGTTTAATATGTATCGTCGAAGGATTTCTTAAAGGAAAAACTATTTATTTTTATTTTTTTCTAAAATATAGAACCTTTTGACGTTCATAAGTGTACATTGCGTTATCTAAATGAATGAATGGTTTTTGTTTTTTTTTGTTTTCTTTGTTAAAATTTATTTTTGTTTATATAGCTTAAGAATTTTCTAGTATTCTCTTCAGAACTCTTTAAAAAGGTTTTCCTTTAAATTGTTATTGCCTTGAGTTATTTTAATAAACGGCACAAATAGTCTTTCCTCCAACTTTGATTCTAATACCTTAGAAGTAAGAGACTCTTGGGCCGTTCTTGTGCACATGCGCTAATCAAATATTTAAGTTGGCGCCTGGTAGATTGTACAGGTGACCTCTAAGTTGGTGCTTTCTTCGCTCAAAGAAAAAGTACAGCAATACAGCGAGAAAATGCTGCCAGCATTAAGGCTAAAAAACTCTGTCCCACAAGGACCAAACTTGATTTTCTATATAAGAATTTTAATTATTGTTATTACTATGTAGGTTAAGAATATTGTAAATTTACTGTATGTTTGTGTGTTAGAAAGAAATATAATATAAAGTCTGTATCGTATATTATAAGTATTAAAATGAAGTATCATATCGTAGATTTGTAATGTTTTAATGTTACTTCTTCTAGAAATCAAGTTGTAATACAAAAATATATTGTTATACCTATTGCATAAATTTACGTAATTTTGTGAACAAACAGTTTAATATTAAAGTCAAGGCCCGGGGTCGCCTTCTTATCTTTAGTTTATTTTGACAGCTATTATTCAACTGACGTATGTTTTTGAAAGTGGTGTGATCTGGATTGTATTTCTTGTTATTTTTTTACCTATCTTTACCACCGGACTTACAAAATTATCTGGAATCTGGATATTTTTTTTATCAAAACTGCTATGATAGTAATTAGTAATTACTAACAAACAGAACAACAATTTACTTAAATTTTTCTCTACCCACAAATTTATAAAATTATCTTTTTGCATTTACGCATTAACAATTAAAAAAAAATTAAAATTTTGTGCCTTCCAAACCAAAATCATTTCATCAAATATAATTCCGCAGACGCATTCCAAGCGTTCTATGAACTAAGGAAATATTTTAAGTTGGTTATAATACCTCAGCCTCCGTACAGTCTCTTGGAAGTTTGATATGTTCAGCATGGATGCCGATATTCTCGGCAGCCTTCAGCTTCATCCTGATGTAGACGTTGGAGTCTTCCCGACCTCCGACCTGCACGATCGCCAGGCGAGGCTTCAAGCCTGGCACTTTCTTTCGCATCTCCGAAACTTGTTTGCGAAGATCATCTTGGATTGATCTAGAATATTGATAAAATATATTTCTATAATCACACTTATTAGTTATACATAAATGACGTTACGTAGAATATTTTATCTACTCATATTTTTTGTGCTTTTATTATAATGCTTACATAATATAATCCTATCTAAAAGGTATGAACGCAAGAGGATGTATGATAATAGTTACAAACTAGAATAGGGCATGCATTTGAAATTTCTTTGTTGGCATAATTGATAAATTACCTAGCTACTTCGAGTCCAGACACTACTTGTGCCACCATTTTGACAAGTTAACTCTGGAGCTATCTACTACTGAATGGTCGCGAGTTAGTAGATATTCAAGATGTGATAACCTTTTGGCTTTATGACGGATTGTTTACTAATTGTTACAGAACCAACATCTTTCGTATTAACCGCAAATTAATTGATGATTATTGACGCTTTAAGATGGACCACAGAAATGATACCGATTTGAAATAAATGCTTAAATCTAAAATAAAAATCGGAAAAAGAATAGGAATTATAACATATAAGAATATGGGTGCATTAAAGTGATGGTTCCTATCTGACTGGACGGCTTATTTTGAATATATTATGTTTATATTGTGAGTGTAAAATTTAATTAACTTTTAACTACCAAGGGATCTGGTGCAGGTCGAAGAGACCAGTAAAAATCATCTACGAAAAGAAATGCTGGCAACTGATTATATACATTAATACAGAAACCTTAAAAAAACGGTCATTTGTACTTTTTCATTTGCGTAGGTCTATCAGCGCCTCCGCGGGTGGATCTCACATGGATTATAACTTGTAATACTTGAGTTCGATTTTTCAAACATTATTTGTTAGAGATCATAAATGAACTGACATAAGGACAGTATAAGGGAGTTCTAATATTAACATTAACCGAAATTAAATTTAGCCGTTTAAACAGGCACTAGTAACACCATTATAATATTTATATAATACACATACAATTAACGTAATATAACACATTTTCAAAAATATTACCGTCTACATTCTTCGCAAAACTTTCTAACTGGCGTATTTAGCACAGTGTTAAATTTGATAAAGCAGTTATAAGCAAATTTCATGTTAAAGCTGAACTGTTATTCCTATCAAACTATATTTATTTACAATTCTATTGTCAAAAGTCGAACTTAGATAAGCAAGTAATTAACATCTTTATTAAGTCAATATGATAACATTATAAGAAAGGAAATATAGTGGCAATAAATATGTATATTTATTTAAATTACGTAATAGGACAGACACATTCTGGCGCCTTTTTGATATTCGTTGCTTTTAATGTAAATATATGATCAGCCTTTTATGTTTACTGATACAAAATAAATAGTATTTTGGCGGAAATCGAGTCCAGAATCTTCAAATAATATGCGTTCAACCAGTGGTTTAATTTACTTAGGTTAAATATCCATTAGGTTGGAATAACCTTGATACTTGTGGACCACATTAAGTCGTAGGCTCCAAAGTTTGAATTCATTATACAGACACATCACAGACAGCGTTTACGCTGTGTTGTTGATTACTATCAATCAGTAAAACTGCTTTACGGGAAATTCGTTATGTCAATAACTTAAAATAACATTTGTATAGAAATAAACTATAACGAAATTTAATTAATTCCATTCCAAACCTACATATAGGTATAAGAGAAATCCAACTACCAGGAGATAATAATACATCATTTTGAAGTCGGTGGAAAAGGTTTTAATGTACAGCTGAAATATGCATATCATCTACCTAAATAGCTTTATTTATTGTTTTAATTAAAATTCGGAAAATTTAAGATATTTAAATTCAACTTATCATACCTTATAACACTATTACGGCCAAAATGGCTTATTTACACGAAGATTTTTTACTTAATCCAATAAAAATATATATTATCTCTATATAATACTAGCTGACCTGGCAAACGTCGTTATGCCATATATTATATCCTTTTAATAAAAAAATAGGTTGATCGTAGAGGGGTGAAAATTAGGGGTTGTATGTATTTTTTTATGCTGTATCATAAAACATAAAAAATAAAAAAATTAACTAAAAATTAAAAATAAATAATTTAGGGATGGACTACCCTTAACATTTAGGGGGATGTAAAATAGATGTTGTCCGATTCTCAGACATACCTAATATGCACACAAAATTTCATGAGAATCGGTCAAGCCGTTTCGGAGGAGTTTAACTACAAACACCGCGACACGAGAATTTTATATATTAGATATTACCTCACAATTTATCCAGCGTAAAATTTAATTCAACACCTATATTTAAATGAGTAAGGAAAATATATATATGAAATTGTGATTAACAATCTTCAAAAACATATATATTATAAAAAAAACTTACACAAGTATATTTTCCAAATCGTCCGATGTTTTCCACATTACGGCCGGCATGTTTACATGTCCAATGCGTCCACTTTGCGTCTGCGACGACCAGTTATTGCTAATTTGTACGTCGACTCAAACCAGTTTGACTTGATCAAATATCAACATATTTCGTTACGCTTTTGTCTATGTAACACTATATACCTGTCCTAGGTAAAAACAACAATTGTTAACCTGTACAAAACATCGTAGTTTATACAAGTGTTTGGTATGTAATGAATATTAGATTAGTCATACTTGCAGTGCGTTGAATAACCTAACACCAGGAAATAACAAACATTCTCTTATTTATAACGTATTCCTATGCAGTTTTTTTTCGCAGCAGTTTACTTTCCTGTCAATATACCTTTTTTAGAAATATTCTGAGTGAAATGGCGAATAGTTGCTAATAAAAATAAAGGTAAGTCACAAAATATGGTACAGTATCCTAATATGGAATCCCATGATCTTCTGTTTCTATAGATTTCTAAATGTATGATGTCCCAAGTCACCTGAAAACTATGTATTTTGTTTAGAATATCAGTCATCCTCAATCCACTTAAAACGTTATATTTTTGTAGTTCCACTTATTTGCTATGACTACTTATAATTTGAAAAATGTTAAACTGCTAATTTTCTTCGAATACTTTTCGATCTCACATAGTAAACAGACCGAACCATCGTATTGTTAGTGTTTTACAAGGTGTGAACATGTGTAACATGAACCTGGTGATATCGGGTTCTAAATAAAAGATAAGGATCATACATCAAGAACATAGGGTAGGTAATATATATTTACATATAATACACATATATTTTTTGTTCACAAGGGTACTATGTTACGTATATGAATGATATTTGATTATTATATTTATTTCAAATATTTTTATTAAATCCAGAGTACTAGCTTATAGTATTTTAAAAAGTTTTAATTTTTCATAGAGCAGTAGGGAAATGAGCAATCGGGTGACTTAGAGTTAAGAGCTAAAGGCCGTGGACACCTTTAACACCGGGAGGTTTGCAAGTGCGTTACCAGCCTTTAAGGTAGTGGAACGATATTTTCTTGAAGGGTCTACGTCTTAACGGTTCGGTTATACCTGGATTGGCAGTGTAAAGTGGTGATGCGCGGCAAGAAAATGTATTTTTATGTAAATAGAAAATAAATATAAAACGTAATGGTCGAAACAATACTTTTATTTTATATATTGCGAAAGATTTCTATATAACAGGGTTTCAATTTAAGGAAGCCTATGCTATGTACTAAATAAATGAAAAACAAGATAGATAGATGTTTTAACGTTTATTTTCTTAACACTAGATACAATGACAGAAATAAAGATACAATGACAACCTGTAATCTGTAGGATACCTAACGTTGTTTATAATTTAGATAAATACCAAATTCTTCATCTTTAATGAGGTAGACACAATTACCAGCAAATAAACGAACAGTATTCCTCCCAAACCTAATAAATATTCAGGTAATAATTAATATAGTATAACAATTCAACTTTTACTTAAAAATATTTCTACTTGTAGATAACGTACTGATCATCTGAATTGGAATCTTATTTAAAAGAAAATATGCTTATTATAAATAATAGTCAAAGTTTTTGAGCTATTGACATAAAAATCTATAACCACGAAGTCGGCTATAGGATGTTACAGAAACAAAGTAAAGGCATTTGACAATTGGCGGGAAATCAAATATGTATATTAATATTATCTGTATACTTAAACTATTTTTTTTTCTTATATAGTTTAGAGTTCTTATGGGGAAGTCTATGGAATAGATTGTTGTTTTATTCTAAATTTAAATTTTACTCATAATGTCAAATATTGAAAGGTCTAATGGAAGCACTTAGATTTGAATGATCATTATTATAGTCGGAAAGATTCTACATTACAATAGTTGTCAATGTTGGTAAATCGGTAAGGAGATTGTTAATAGTCAAATATTACATTATTCCTTTTTGTTACAATAATTCAGTCATCATTATATCAATCAAGCAATATTATGCAGACGTTTTAGCATCTGTGACCGGAATTTGTAACAGGCAATAAAAAAACGGATACTGAAATTAATGTGGAAAAATTCAATCGCCGAAATTTATCATGAATTCATGATAATGCAATACTTGGAAACAGATGACGGCGACATGTACTGTATGCTTTAAATAAGTTATTAATAGAAATGTAATAGAAATACAATTAATAGGATGGAAATGCACAAACTTAAATTACGCCATCTATGCTTAGATAATGTTGATAATACAAAGTTGACATGATTGAATTCTGGCAATTTTTAAGTTTTTCATTATATATTTTAAATAATCTTTAACATTAATGATTTGTGATGACCGATAGCTAAAATTGCCTGTAACGTAGCCTTTTTTGAAACTTTTTGGGTATTCAATATGTTTCTCGAAATCGAAAATAGAACACGCATATTTTTTACTCCAATTAATAAAAAAATATTGAAAAAAAAAAACAAAACTTTTAACGTACTTAGGTACTAATTAACATTTCATATCGTTCATACAAAAATAATTTTAATTAATATTTGAACTAGAGGAGAGAGAGACTGAGAACTTCTAGGCACGATTGTGTCTTAAGCTGCGTTCGACAAAGTCAAGAGCGGAAAGTTGAAAGAAAAAACAAAAGTTTGTTTCACAACTTCTTTTAATCAATCTAGTCTTAGGTCCATATTCAAATTTTTATCTCATGTCTCAATCTCGTCTTGAGCGCTGTCAAATATGAATACGAGCCTTAGATAACAATCAGATTCGAGATTAGATATCTACTTACGTACTCCCGTAAGTCAGAAACATCTTAGACTTAACCTATTTAGTGCTGAGGCTCGCACTAGAACAGTACTAACTTAATGTAATTTCAATTGTAACTTAATATACCTGTCGGGCCTAAGGGTAAGTTTCAGAGACAACTAACGCCCGAACCCAATAATCAATCCACAATTTCGTTTTCAATCTGAGATCAGACCGTGACAGTCGATCGATCTCCTATCTGCATCCCAATAACCAAACCCTACGAATACAATCCACTTTTGGCGACGGATAAAATGCTCTTTGTCGTTCCATTTTACCGAGTTTTCACTCATATTTGATAATCAATGTAAATAAAGTAAATAAAACCGTACAAATGACATTAAAATATGTATGTTTAAAACAAAACAAAGTTTTTTTTAATTATTTAAAAAACTGGTGTAAGTTAAAATCTGTTAAAATAATTAACTGTTGAAATGGAGCTTTCGTCATTTTCATATAAAGGTCTATCCACAGACACCGATACGACCTCCCATGGATAGCTTGTATCGACAGATGGCTATTACAATCCGTTGGTTGGTTATTGGCACACTTGTTACACCATTTGGATTAAGATTATCTCAGATGGTGGATTACGGATTGAGATAGGTTATTGGGTTCGGGCGTTAGGGCGGTCCAAGTCTGAGTGTGTAGCGCTAAGTGTTTCTAAATCTTCCCCTAGATCACCCCTTAAGCTAACAATTCGCAATATCACAATGAAATTACTTATTAGAATTAATTATATTTAAGAATTAACGATGTTGAAGTCGTCCTCCTTCTCGCGGTGCACGTTGGAGAAGAGGTGTATACGCATCGCATGTAGTGCCATGGGCGCTGTGCCGCAAAGCTTACACGACAAATCCGCGTTCGTTGTTAGAGACGCCCTGTTTATTGGTATTACGTTCATTAGACAGTACTTTAAAGAAAAAAGTTCCTAAAAATCTTTAAAAATTGGGTTCAGCGTTTGTTCGGTTCCTGGGTCTGGGGAATGTTTTAAATAACGTAAAAATATGATTCGTGTAAAACAAAAGAATAATTTAAAGTCTGGCAATACTCTTTAGGAAATAAAAAACCAAAGTGAGCAATTTGTAGGTCAACAAACCGGTTCACGAGCATCTTGAGCTCATCGTTATCTCTCTTCAGCTCCAGAAGCCGTTCCCTGGAGACAGGTGTCAGTTCCAATGGAGCATGTAACGGGAAGACTTCAGCCCTTTCCACCATATCAGGCACGTTGATGCTGAGGAACTCTTCATCAGGTATCGACTTCCATTCCCAGGCCCTGAGTACTGATTCTGGGTCGCGATGCTTGCGCCGCTTCAGTAACAATCTGAAATATATTAAAAATATATTTACATAAATCTAACATATAGAGCCTACAAAAACTATATATATATCTAACGGTAATAATGGATCTTATCGATCACAGTTAATTAAACTTTCTATGAAGGAAGAGACGAGAGAAGAAGTTGCTGGACTGTATCCAGCCGAGCAAAGCCTGGCCGAGCTGAACATATATTTTCCTCAAAAAAATGTTAATACGTATAATTAGTATTTACAATTTTCTTAACCTACAAAGTAATAATTAAAATTATTAAAAAGAAAATTAAAACAAATTTAATAAGTTTGGTACCAGTGGCAGTGTACCTTTAACGCTGAAAGCATTTCCTAAATAGACTAAATAAATATGTTATGTCTATTGAGAAATATTCTTTATAGGTAACAGCTTATGGGTCACTTAGTTTTAATAACCCATAAATAAGTCACTTACAGTTTTTTGTTAGTCCAGTATTGCACCCCCACTACTCCAAATTTTATCCTAGTTATAAGCTCATGTTTTAAACCATTAAAGACAGTTGACACGTAGCTTCAAACAAATTGTTTCATTTATTTGAACATACCTCTAAGGCTCCAACAACCGCCACCGAACTTAACTCGATCAAAACATTCCACAGAAGTAAAAAACATAAATTATAAGTATATAGCTGTCCCTCTAAGGTGAAGATGCGCTCAGCTCTTGCTTTAGGGAGCGTTCAAGTATTACGTGAGGAATTTTGGGGGAGGGGTCCTTTTGTAAAACGTTACGATGCGGGGCGGGCATTGAATTACGCGTTATTGTTAGTATCATTTTCGACTTTCCAGTACTTTACAGCACATAATGGTAGCTTTTAGCTATAAAGAGTAACTGGGTGGTAAAAAGTCATAGGATAAATAACAAAAGCAAAATAAATAACACAAAAACAGTAATTTAATTATAAGACATTCAGTTCTAGTCTAGATAATAATACTTCTCATCTGTCAAGTCCATTTTAATTTTAAACAACTTACTTCATGAGGTCTTCGCGAATAAGCTGGGGCAGATTAGCGGTAAAGTCCGCGTCGTCGATCGGCGTCTCCATTTTATTCCGAAGGTGCATCGTCAGGTCCATCAGGTAACGGAGATGGTTTATCTAGATTTCCAATGGATTTATTCCATACTTATTTTTATATGATTATATAGATATAGATAGAATCAAGATATCTTTCCAGAAAACGATTGTTACATCTAATTTTTTTGTTCAGAACACAAGAATTCTATAGAATTAAAAGTAAACTATATGCAATTAACACTCGCTGATACGGTGAAGGAAGACATCGTGAGGAAACCTTCATGCCGTAAGCACCAAAATTCGACATGTGTCAGGCACAGAAGGCTGATCTCCTACTTGGCTATTAGAAAAAAATACCTGAGATCTGAGGACCAGACTGAATAGGATGAAACGTGTATGTCAGTAGGTTCTATGTAACGATTTTAAAATTTTTATTAACTGAAAACTTCGAGTTTTAGCGAGACAAACGAACAGTTACTCATTTATCTCTATATCTTAATATATATATTTCTTGTGTGCGTGTGTATGTGACTGAACTCCTCCTAAACGACTGGACCGATTTTGATGAATTTTTTTGTGTATGTTCAAGGGGATCTGGGAATGGTTTAGATTCACAAATCAGCCCGGCAGATGGCACTGCAGTCGGTACTTTCATACTTTGCTTAATATCCTAATCGCTTTAAATATCATGCAGGACAACGTCTGTGGGGTCCACTAGTATATATAAAATTCTCGTGTCACAATGTTCGTTCCTATACTCCTCCGAAACGGCGCGACCGATTCTTATGATTTTTTTATGCATACTCAGTAAGTCTTAGTATGCATAAAAACTACTATCTATTTTTCAAACCCCTAAGTGATAAGGGGTGTCCACCCCAAAAATTGATTTTTGTTTTGTTTTTATTTTTTATGATACAGCATACAAAAAATACATACAACCCCTAATTTTCACCCCTCTACGATCAACCCCTATTTTTCATTTGTTAATTAAAATCTTATGACTTGAACTCTGAGGTTTATATAGAGAAAAATTAACAGAAAAACCTAAAAAGTTGTCATTCCAGAAAACCGAACAGTCTCTGGGCTAGCAAAATGTTCCATGTTGGTATGTACTAAAAAGGTAGGCTAAGTAAAATCACATTAAGGAGAAACAAAGTTCGCGGGGGCAGCTAGTATATATATATATAAAGGTTTAGAGAAATTAAGATAGGAAAACATTATAACCAAAAAATTAAATTATACTTACGGTACCAATATCGTCAACAGTTAGATCAGCGTCGATATTCACGAGTACATCATGTTCTGGGAAGTAGGGATGTCCCTCAGCGTCACTCCCCAAACCGCATAGAACGCTCACGTATCGACTAGCCGACGAATCACGGCGTAGCTCAGCCCTATAATAATTTAATAGGTAACAAGGTAATACGACAATATAAGGTATCAATATATTAACCATTCCAATACTCTTCGTTTCTTAGCGAATCTTTCAGAATCTATGGAACTAACTTCCTGTCACTATCTTTCATAAAATCAGTAGCGCTACCACCTTTTTAGGTCATCAGATTTCTGTATCTGTTTCGTGATTATTTGTATTTTCTTATAGCCAAAGGGGGATCTACTTTCTACATTAGAAATTTGCTGTCGACTTTTTGGGGCTAATGCAAGCCGATTTCCTTACGATGTTTTACCGTTCGAAAATATGCTAAATGCGCACAGACACAAAGTTCATTGGATCTTTGGAGCCGGGAATCAAACTAACGACCTCAGGGATGAGTCGCACACTGAAGCCACTAGAATGATCACGAAACAGTTACAGAAATCTGAGACCTACACCCAAAAAGTAATTTAAAAAATTAAATTGTAACGCTACTGGATGTTTATTTTTTATTATGCAACTTATATATCGCTTGCCCCGGGGAACAAAGCCGTAAGTACTAGAACGACTGTTTTAATGTGTTCTCATTTTTTCCTGATTTTTTGTAAAACAATTTATTATAAAAAACGATGTCTTTTATTCTACGGAAATTATGTTGTGCACAATGTTAGTAATACTCGTTTTCCTGATTGTACTTACCAGAAATAGATAGCAACAACCATACATATAGTTTTACTTTAGATTGTAATTCTACCAAATAATCATAAAAGGTAAAATTTTGAAGCGAAAGTTGAAAAACAAATAAGGCGTGGTAATAATATATCTCTGTTTCACCATAGTCATAATATTTATATATATATTACTAGATATTGAAGCTTAATTGACAATTTTAGGAGAACATCCCTAAGACTTTACGTTAAGTTATTTTTTAGTTTTCCAAACCAAGTTCAAATCGATTTTAATATTCTTCTAAGTGTTCTACAAGAACTTGGTTTCTTTATTCATCGGGGATATGTGCAACGGTGAAGACCAATATTAAGAAGAAAGAGAAAAAGAAAAGAGAATTAAGAAGAGACGACACCAAGAGCCAGTTGATCTGGTGCACAGATCCCCGTTAACAACGACGCAACGTACTGAATGCTGTCTCCGACACTATCGACATTTTTATTTGTTCGCAGAGTGAATTCACAGTACCGATATTGTGTATCTTATTTCGGTGTTTTATATTATAAATTTTATTTTTAATTTCCACATTATCGTATCGGTTTAGTACTATAAAGATAGTGTATGTATTTGTGTGTATAAAATAAATAAATAAAAACTTACTCAGGGCAGAATATTAGTGCAAGCAATGCGGGTAGGCCAGGTATGTTGGGCATCAATGTGGTGTGCCGAAGCGTCAGACGGCTGCTCACTTCGTTCTGACCGACTTCCGCCGCTACCAGCAATCTGGTGAAGTTATATTCTTATAGAACTTCAAAACCAAACCACCACGAGGCAAAAATATTTTTTTTTTGAAAAGCTATCAGTCGGCCATTATTAACATAGAATATTTATTTAAAATAAAGGAATTTATAAAATAACGTCGAATTGTAAAGCCCATTCTGCATTGAAGTCGATTTCAAGGGTACATCGCAGTTACGATGCAATTAAAGACTGGTTTAAAAAACGGGCCTGTTAAATTCCTTCGTGTATATGACTGTATGAGCTTTAGATCTTTGCTCAGGTTCCCTAGTCAGGTTATTTTGTTGACTCCAAGTTAGTTCACATGTAACCGTTCATTAATATTATAACATTATTTCACACAAATTATGTTGGTATAAAGTCTACACTCATTTTACACAGGCTCATAAATCAAAGTCAAGTATTCAGAAATATGATAAAAAAATATATTTTTGGGGATTTGCAAGTATTGAACTACTTTGGAATTTGGACTAAATGCGTCATCTTTTTATGTCACTTTCCAACATTGCATAGATCATTTCTTTTCAACACGTTTGAATGAAATAATAGAAAAAACGTCACAGGATGCATAAAATTAATTTACATTTTGAATGGCAATCATTTAAAAAATACGTGTTTTTAGAACTTTTTTATTAATTTTCTGAGGTTATCCACTATTATCCGATTATGGCTTGACGTTAATTTATGGGCCACCCTGTATATAATATTTTCAATACTTCAATTTATTCAAGTTACTGAATCTTTCAAAAGTTTAAATCATTCTTATATAGCTATTTAATTAACAATTATATTTTTAACTTTAACTTTAATTAGCCTTTATTGCTGACACCCATACAATTATTTAAGTTACATAAAAAAACACTTAATTCTAACACATAAATAAAATAAAACTTAATCTAATGCATCATATGACCCGTTTTTGGTAATCAGCGTGTCCTGTGACACGTGGGCCTCTTCCAGCTGTTTCCATTCTTTTCTGTTATTAGCTCTTCTTGTCCAAGTTGTGCCTCCTATTATCTTAATATCGTCTGCCCATCTCTTGGTCGGTCTTCCTCTTTTCCTTTTTCCATCACGTGGTTGCCATTCTGTAATTATTTTTGTCCATTTCAACCTGCTATCTCTCGTCATGTGCCCAGTCCAGCGCCATTTCAACTGCCTTATTTTCTTTATAATGTCTTCTACTTTGGTCGTTGATCTGATCTCTTCTGCTCTTTTTCGATGTCTCAGTGTTACACCCACCATGCTTCTTTCCATTCCTCTTTGGCATGTTCTCAACTTTAGAAGATGTTTCTGAGATAAAGCCCAAGTCTCGCAGCCGTATGTAACACATGGTAGGATACATAGATTGAACACCTTTTTCTTAGCTACTATTGGGAAGTCTTTACTTTTAAGTACTTCCTTGAGTGACCAAAATCTCTTCCAGGCGCTAGACACTCTTCTTTCTATCTCAAGATCCATTTGGTCATGAAATGATATTATTTGCCCTAAATATACGTAGTGGTCTACATATTCGATAGCATCTCCTCCTATTTGTATCATAATAGTTTCTCTATTTGTCATTATTTTCGTTTTAGATTTGTTCATAGAAAGCCCAACTATCTTGCTTGCTTCTGTCAGCTGTTGCAGCATAGTTTGAAGCGTCTTGGCGTTATCTGAAATGATCACTAAATCGTCTGCGAATCTTAGGTGGTTCAGTTGTCTGCCGTTTATGTTTATGCCGACCTTATCCCATTCCAAATTTCTAAATAAACTCTCCAAAATGGCTGAGAAGAGTTTTGGGGATAAAGGATCGCCCTGTCTCACACCCCTGGCTATAGGAAATTCTTCACCCGTTGTCTCTAGTTTGATATAAGCCGTGCTACTTGTATATATATTTCTAATTATACGTATGTATTTTTTTGGTATACCTTGTTGTATTAAGGCTCTCCAGAGGGAATCGTGCTTTATAGAGTCGAATGCTTTACTGTAGTCTACAAAAGCGATGTATAGTGCTTTCCGTATTCTTTGCACTTTTGTATTAGCTGTTTTATAACATGTATATGATCTACAGTTGAGAATCCGGATCTGAATCCAGCTTGTTCCATGGGTTGTTGTTCATCCATTACCTTCGTTATTCTTCGCAGGATCATTTTGGAGAAAACTTTATACATGTTGGACATAAGGCTTATAGGTCTATAGTTTTCTATGATGTTCCAGTCACCCTTTTTGTGGAGCAGTGTAATTATGTTCTTCGTCCATTGAGAAGGTATGTATTCCGTTTTTAGTAAGGTGTTGAATAGTTCAGTAAGTTTTCTTAGGTTCCCTGGTGCTGCTGATGATACTTTGATCATCTCATTAGTTATGTGATCTGGTCCAGGCGCTTTTCCATTTTTTAGGCTTTTGATAGCATGCTCCGTTTCTGAAAGGAGAAATTTAGGTACCTCTTCTTCGTCTTGTTCAAGATTTACTGAATTCTGTGAGGTATTATCAGTCTCTAGTGAGTAGAGGTTTCTATAGAAGTCTGTTGCAGTTTTCAATATATCTTTTCTTTTTGTCTGTTGTTTGCCTACGTAATTCTTAATGTTCGGTATCCATTCTTAATATTGTTACTAATTTTCTTACTTACTATATATCAGAATATCAATTTTAGATTTTGCTTGTTTTTTCCAAGTTTTAAGAGCTGTTTTCTTTCTTCCATTAGCTTTTGAGTTTCTTTTCCAATTTGTTTCTTGTTAGTTTTTGGGGATTGCGACTTAGAGTTCCAAGTATTTCATTTACTTCATTGATATATTTTCCTTCTATCTGGTTTTTGACTTCATTGTCAGGGATTTGTTTTACTATCATTAGCTTTGTTTTTGTGTTGTATTTATTTCTACTTTTCTTTGGTTCGATACATTTTATGGTGGCTCTTACTAATCGATGATTGGTGTTGAAGTTGAGTTGATTTAATACACTAACGTTCTGGAAGGGTTTCCTATTGTTGGTTCCGATGTAGTCGATTTCATTTTTGTGGCGTCCGTCCGGTGATATCCATGTCCACTTCTTCGCCGTAGCTTTTTTGAAGAAACTGTTCATGAATGCTATATTATTTTCGAGAGCGAGATTGAGCATTCACAACTTTCAACAATTATACAAATTATACAAAATTCAACAATTATATTACTTAATTTAATACGATAAATTATCAATTAAGTGAGATAATAAATAAACCTTTCATATATTTCCTGTGGCTCCGTGTCCAGTAGTACTGAGTTGACGGAACTGCTCTCTATATTAACTGGTTTGTCATGGCTCGCGTACATTAGATTGTGTACGGTCGTTTCTAACGGGCTGAAAACATTCCATAGTTAAATATACTTTTATTTTATACTATTAGATTTACTGTTTATAGATTAAACTTTCGATTTTTGGGTGAAATGGTTCACTGACGCAACATTATCTCTTGGAAACCAAAATAGTTTATTATGTTAAAAATGGTTAATTAGTGAAAGTGAATCCTAAAATTACCTTCTATTATCATATTACAGTAAGTTTGTAATCGGAATTGAAAAGATTAGCATTTGTGAAGTTCAAAAAAAAATATTCCTGTCATGTCAAATTTTGTCTATTAAATTGGCGCTACTATAAGTAATGTGACAATCTTGTCATTAGCGCTGTCAAATATATCAAACTTCATAAAAAAGTAAAGTATTACTTATACTATTTTTAATTGTTGTGAATGTGAAGGCTACGTGGATCATGGTTTTTTATTTATTTCATCATTTTTCTCAGTTTTAGTCATAGTCTGACAGTTTGAGTAATTTATGCGGCCTACCCAAATGTCTTGTCTTTGGACTTGACAGGTCCACTCAATCTGTGTGGTTCTTTCCTCAAAAGACCATTTCAGACTGCAATCTACATGGTCTTCACATAATCTTGTTATGTCTGGACTTTAAAAGAGACTGTGACCTCTGAGTTTGTTTCGGCGTTTCTTCTCAGAGTAGTCAGATAGGAAACGTCGAACTCATCTAGTTTAAAAAAAAATATGCTCGACGTGTAAAAGTGTTTCAACAAACCTACTTACAGAAAATAAATCATTTATCATACAGAAAAAATGGTTCGACACCTAAAGCTTAATTTAAGCTTGACGTAAAATAATATTTATAATTCGTTTGGGTATGGACTACACAATTCTAATGTATCAATTGCATTAAAAAATTAAGGAAAAGGATCCGGTGTGGAAGACGCCTAAGAATTATTATTACACCGGAAATCAAACACAAATCATACATTTTATACGCTATATAACTTAATTGAATCAAAAATAAAATTCACAATGATTAATTAATGTTATAATTAATAATTGGGAATGCGCAAAGTGTAGATTTATATCACGTACCTTATTGGTCCATTAAGGCAAACGTCAGAGACACATTCCTTATAACTGGATGGCCCCATCTCGGTGACATGTTTATAGGCCATTTCAGATTGTTCCTTATTGTAAGCCCGTTTTTGAGACATGTTCAGTTCGGACGCAGTCTCTCTTAAGTCGCGGTTTAACTGTAGATGAATACAAATAAATTATGATAAATGTTTAAATTTAATTAAAATTCGGATACATGTTAGTTTGAAATCTAATTGGATTCGATCATAATTTTAAGCAAGCAATAAATTTGGTTATAGAAAGTTATGATCCCAGGGGAAGAAGTCAGGAAAAATGTGTTAGGTATCATATACTATAGTATGTGCGCTGTAGCATGGTGCGGGCTTTATTTTTCGTTTCACTCTAGTATTTCAGCTGTACCACATTCGTATTATATTTAATCATTAATATCTGTAGTAACTTAAATTAAAGCCAGAATATACAAGTCTACAAAAAAAATTAAGCAACTGTCACCCGCACCATGCTACACCGCACATAGTATAGAGTATGACAAAAGAGATATCGACCCTAACACTAAGCCTAATAATCATAAAGCAGGCAACACAAAAATTTCAGGAAAGTAGGAAAAAATTGATATTGTTAATAGGGCGCTACTACACTGTCTATACTTATAAATAAACGGATATACAACTGGTTAAAAGTATGAAAACATAATTAAAAGTATTTACAGTAATGTTAAAGTCCCTTGGAGATTAACAAATATGTCAACCCATATAAAAAGCGAATATGTTATAGATGAAAATCCGCAAAGCAAAGAAACTTTAAAAACACAAAATTATGATTTGAACATACCTTTGATTCATAACTTTCCTCACACTTGACTGCTAAACCTTTTTTTATTAATTCCTGGTTGATACTGATCCGACCGCCCTCAGCCATCAGCTCGATGGACACCACTCCGTGCGTCACCGAATATACCTAAGGAATGTACAATTTAATATAATGTTTAAAGAACTTTATTTTCTCATTACAAAAAAATATTTTTTATTTACATGAGAAATTTAATATTATATACGAACGAGATACACATCGCCATCAGCTAGCCCAATTTTAGTCTAATGGACTCATTCTGATGTGTATCTTTAATGCCCTTTTGAACTGATTAATCACCCTAATGTTACGAACCTTAGACGGCAACTGATTAAACAATATAATATATAAACGTTTAAAAAATATATTAATAACTAAGTATTACGAATGGTGTAATAATAATTCTGCGACTGTGCTAAATCTGTGTATTTTAATATTACTCATACAACATCGAATCACTATATCATAATATTTTATATCGCCCTAATTTTATATTAAAAAATGTTCTGTTGAATAATTGTGTCAAAAAGATGTTTTAATGTGTCAAAAGGTATTTGATAACTGCAATCTCTTAGCGACACCCTCACGCGTATTCACATACATAAAGACTACTATTTCTTACAAATTATTGAAGTGAAACTTCTTTATCGGGGTTGGAAAAAAATTTAGTGTAACATTTTTGCGTTACGCGTCACATTTTTCCGTTACGCGCCATGTTGCTTTTTGAAGTCAAACTTCTTTATCGGCGTTAAAATATGACATATAGTATGTTTTTGACTTTGAAGTTTGACAACGGATTACATTTTCGAAGTCAAACTTCTTTATCGGCGTTAAAATATGAAATATAGTATGTTTTTAACTTTGAAGTTTGACAACGGATTACATTTTCGACTTGAAATTTGCTAATCGCAATTTGCAGCAATTAATTTGTAAATTGTATGCTAGGCAGTGTATCAAAATTTACTGTGTTTAAAGAAATAGTTTCGGACCTCTAAACTTAATACAAACCAATTATGGGCTCTGCGTACAACAAAGGTTTTATATAACAGTCAGTATTTATTGCATAAAATTTCACACAACTAATATTAAAGTGTTATATAATAATTTATCCCTTGCAGACAGCCTGAGGAAGTGGTGCCTCAACCTCGCGGGATTTAATAAATATGGACGATAAGGTCATAAAGAAGTTTCACTTCTTACGTGTGTACCTAGTACACGCACACATTTTTTTTATATATCACTTACATTCCTTTTGTTTTAAACCATATACCACAGAAGAGCTGTGGTCTAGTTACCCACAACACAGGGCGTGTTGTGGGTAACTATTGTCGGGACTAGCGTCAAATTTTGTTATGAATAAAGATTATTATCAATAATAGTTAAACTGAAATTGTTCAATTGTATTGGTATAATTGCGGAAAAAGGTTTTGCTAAATTTCCTCTAATGAAGTTTAGCTCTTCAAAAAGAGAGTCATTGAATAAATATCTACAATAATACAGAATTGTATGGAAACGAGCGTAAACGTAGGCACGCAAACCGAAAATATACATCGTTTGGAAATCTGATATCTGAAAATAAAAAATGTGATCCAGAAGCGACGCTCAGATTGTGCGTTCAATCTGAATTTAATATTTTTTTATTCGCTAATTCCAGTAACACCCGGTTTATTTTAGTAAACAAGTATATTTTACGTCTTAAATCAATATGTACTGGTATTAGTCTTAGGATCTCTTATACCTTGCCAATAAGTCGTCCCTTGGAGACCAATTCAGTGAAGACTTGGACGGCACCAGGTGGCCAATCTCTGTGCGCGGTCAAAAGCGGCGCAGGCGCAATCTCAGCTAACACACAGAGCATCGCTAAGGGCGGACTGTCCATGCCATCAGGTAACATTCTCAAACTGCCCACGTTCACACGGCCCACACTGCCGTAGTCTATGTAGAAGACCTGAAAAGTAAATGTTCAAAAATATATTAATATATACGATTTTTTTGTTTCTTTAAAAATATACTCAATTTTTAAAAATACTTTTACCAATAAAAATGTGTATTAACTAATAGGAATAATAAAAAAATGTCGCAAACAAAAATTTGTGATTCAATTTATTTGGTAAACGCGATATCGACCAATACCAGGGTTGGAATTGAAATATTTTTGTGCTGGATTAATTGAGAATGTTAGCTTAATAACTAAGCAATGGAGGGGGCAATACAAATCGAATTTACATACGAAAACTAACTACTGATACAAAATCTTAAAATCGCTTATGGTTCAACATGATCTGATAAACGTTCAACGTTCATTCCTTCAAGTGCAATTCACGGAGACGCGCCCCACCAATTTTTGGTTGAGGGGATCGTGGGGTGCGGGAAGTTTACTCCGAACGTCAGTTGCACTAGTTTATAGTTACTGCAGTTAAAAAAACCCTTTTAGGAAGGAAGATTTTCACTTCATTTTCCTATTTTGAAAAAAAGGTTCTATACGAAAGTGAAACGGCGAAGAGACGTGACATTATTTCATTTACTGCATTTTTTTAAATAAATAACTTTTGTCCTGAAGTTTTTGTATGTTTGTAAAGTCTTTGTGTATGGACCTGATACACAAAACTCTATACAAGAAATAATAATAAAGCGATTACCCAGTCTAGCTTAATATACAAAATGTATATAAAACACAAAATCATCAAAAAACTTGTATCAAATTAATTGACTTTTTTTCTTTAAGGATAAGATTGAGAAACTTACGAACTGTGCCTCCCGTAACTTCAATACAATTTTTACATGCCGGAATCTAAAGCGCTAAGTCTAAATCTTACCCTTATTGTCTGGTAAGGGATATAACAAGAGAGATAAATAGGCATGTGGCAATATTTTTGTCTATGAATTGTGTTGTTTATGTTACCAGGCCATTCAAAAAAGTTTCCGTTTAACTTATTTATGTCTGTGGAAGAACTGTTGTAAATATCAAAATGAGGCTATATACATACTAGCGCCACTTGTTTTGATCTATTAATTGCCATGTGTCTATGCTATAGTAAAATGTCAGTCGCTTCTCATACTAAGCGAATCCACACACGTTGTTTCATTTTATTATAAGAACTTACTGTTAGCAGTGAGACCGCCCTTTTACATCCATTGACCTTGTTTTACAATTTTGTGATTGTTTGTGATGTAAATAGTGTTTATTATATATATTACTAGCTGACCCGGCAAACGTTTGTTTTGCCATGTATATTATTTCTAGGAATCATTTTTTAGTTCAATAAAAATAACTATCTACTATAATAAAAAACAGGTATAGTATGTTTATTTTTGTCTGATGTATCATAAAAAAAATAAAAAAATAAAAATTTGTCTATAAAAAAATTAAAAAAAAACTTTTTTTTTTTTGGGTGGAGACCCCTTATTTTTTGGGGTTTGAGAGGTAGATAGTATCCGATTCTCTGACTTACTGAATATGCATAAAAAATACATAAGAATCGGTCGAGACGTTTCGGAGGAGTACGGGAACGAACATTGTGACACGAGAATTTTATATATTAGATATATACCTCTAGCATATCCTTGGACAGCATCCGCGTGATTCTCGCTCTATACATCTTAGTCCCAGATTCATCTACGTAAGGGGCTGCGACCAGCATATCAATGGCCGGTGACCCCGAACACGGAGTAAGGGGTTTACGGTTCAACTTTTGCTGGATCATGCGAAGCTCACTCGCGGTTGATTCGTCGGCGTATTGCACCCAGAATTTACCAACGTTTATAAGCTGAAAATTGAGATCACTTTATTTGCAAATAATATTTTTTAAGCAAAATTCTTTCTCCCTTCGAAGATGTATAATCTTCCTTAAATGAAATGGTAAATTAAACTAGAAAGGGGCATTTATTTATTACAATTATCTAATGTATAAAATTGCCCTGTCAAACACTTTGTGTATGGTGTACTAGCGAACGGGGCCGCTTCGCACGTACAATCGTCACTTGTATAAGGTATACGGGACAACTATATAACTAAACCTTCATGAATTGTACTAGATATTCGTGAAAACCGCATGCCGTGCAGTAGTTTTTGTTTTTATATACATAATACTAGCTGACCCGGCAAACGTTGTATTGCCATGTTTTTTATTTCTAGGAAACATATTATTAGTTCAATAAAAAAAAAAAAAAATAGGGGTTGATCGTAGAGGGGTGAAAATTAAGGGTTGTATGTATTTTTGTATGGCACATTATAAAAAAAATTAAATTAAAATATCGTCCAAAAAATAAAATGTTGGAGGTGGACAACCCACTTAGGGGTATGAAAATAGATAGTAGCCGATTCTCAGACCTACTGAATATGCATATAAAATTTGATAAAAATCGATCAAGCCGTTTCGGAGGAGTATGGTAACTAACATTGTGACACGAGAATTTTATATATAAGATAAAAGATATACATATGTTGTCATTGACTATTTGTAAGCATTATCAAGCCTTACAACTTTTCTCTAGAACTCAATCATATCATCGCTAAAGCAGCGTTAAATTCGACTACCACGAAAAATTTCTTCCCCTTTTTCGGATAATATATATATTATCCTAGGCTCATCATATATGGCTTTCTATAAGTAAAATACAACAAGCCTTTGTAGGCTTCACAAACTTTCCTCTTTATAATGTTAGAATATATACGTTAAGTCAATTAGTTAAATGTTTAATAAATAATCTTAGCATAAAATCTAAATAATAGTAATACGAAATAAATATTAAAATATTTAATTCAATAAAAATACGTCTTTACGGATATTTGCGAACTCATTACATTCGCAGCACTCTTTTTTAACACAGAAGTTTTTTTTAAATTCACTCGCGTATAAAGACAATGTTTAAGTTTACCTGAGATATTGTCATGGGGAAATGTGTGTCATCGACTTCCGGTAGTCTCGGAACCATTTGATCTACATTACGACTTATTTTTAAAGCCTCCAATGCTTTTGATAAGTCATTTGCTTTGTTCAAACTAAAACAAAAATATGAATACTTTTTTATTTACATCAAGATGTGATTAAACTTACAAGTGTTTAGTTTTTATATTGGTAATAAGAAACTTTTAAACGTACTTTTTATGCTCGGCATAGACAAGAATTAACCAACATTTATTTCTGTATAGCACAGGCGATTAAGACAAAATCACTTTCGACAACGCTAAACGAATTTGTATGGGAATGATATTAGCTCACGCTTATGTCACGTGACCATTTAATGAATTCGTTCGAATAAAAACAGTTTGGTAAGTCGAAAAGTATTTTTGTCTGCCCCAGATTTTTTCTCTATGAATAGATAGATATAGACTATAGAAAAATCTAGTAAAACCCCACGAACTGCGAATTTTACCCAATATTTTAATATATGGAAAAAGTTTTATTTGGTTGGTCACACCACAAAAATTTTTCGACTTACAGATCGATTGAAAATAGATTATTAAATTTTTGACGTAAAATGTTTAATAATAAGATAAACCTACGGTAATAACGGTATCCTCCATTGCATTTTTAATTGACGCGCCTTAATAGCTTTGTACACGGGCAGAACAACTTGGCCGGGTATGGTCGGGTCCTGGAATCAATAATTTTGAACTTTGAAATTTGGCAACAGCTCTTCATTTATACACATCATTAACTCCACACGCATGCGCAGAAGTGCCTAAGTGTGCATACACACTCAGTTTTAAGTTTAAACCGCCTGCCTGGAGAACATAGTTGATTGTGATTGGTCGAGCCGTATCACAGTTAAGCGAGAATGTAAGGCAGGGTTCACACGGCATTGTCTTGCACGTTTATGCAATATACGTCTTAACGAATAAATAATGGCACATGTATTGTACATAGACCCATTCACATGGCGTTTGTACTGCAAAATATCGTAAACCGTTTATACGTTGAAACGATTACTCAACGGACTTGTCAAGCAAATCGAATGAACTTCAACGTATTCGGTTTGCAGTGGCACATAATATAGCTCTGTCCCGTTCTCGCTCACTGTGACAACTGTATGAAGACTGCGGCTATTTGTATTTTACACGAATGAAAATCTACCGTGTGAACCCGGGTGAAAGTGCGTTAAAAAAACGAATACAAAGAAAACGTGCAGGACAATGCCGTGTGAACCCTACCTAAATCAAATGACGATCGCACGTTCTATTCGGTACTGATTGGTCAACAGCATCTCTAAAGTCCAATGTGTGCGTTACGATACGTCACTATACGTCCGTTTTTTTTATTTTTTATTTATGGCTCTGGCACGATTTGTGCATTAGCCAGCGTCAAGTATAAGATTTTTTATAATTCGTGCTTGTCTTTTAGACATTCGACAGTGTCCTCTGTGTACGGTTTAAGCACTCGCCCGGTACCGCACAACCCTCCCAAAGGCCGAGAACGAATTTAAATTAAAACTTGCCCTCGAACCGGGAATCGAACCCGGTACCCCTCACCTAGCTGTCACTTAATAAGACCGCTCGGCTATGAGGCCCCCATACGTCCGTTTATACCCGGATTTTGTTTTTCTACCAAGGAATACTTACACCACCACGAGCTTGATTGCGTTTCATCCCGTGATAATTGTCGTTGAATGTCAAGTAGACTTTCCTGAAATAGATAAATATGATGTCCATATAAAAATAAATTACTGTTCGGTTGTCTCGCTAAAACTCGAGGACCTCGAAATGGCTGGACCGATTTGGCTAATTATGATCATGAAATATTTGTGGAAATTCCGGGAAAGTTTAATCGGTGGGAAACATAAATAATAAGTAAAGAAAACGAAAATTGAATTTGTCCATGAAAACTGTTCCTAGTTGGGAAATATTTAATGTCTGTTGTTTTTTAGAAAAAAATTGTGACTTGGTTGTCACATAAATATAGATGCCTTCAAAAAATGTTGTTCATAGCTGTAGTATGAGTTCTGATAACTTTGGTCTGTTTTAAAATGTTGTATTAAGTTAACACAAATCTACCTATGTCGGTGATACAAAGTTCACCGGGACATCTAGTATATAAATAAAACTTACTATAATGATTATGATAACTATGATGATAAGGCAACTTTTACAGTATATGATTTAAACGCTTGTGTCTAAAATGTGATTTAAGCCAAAATTGTTTTCAGAGTTTACTTCCACATTAACCGAATACAAAGTCCCTGAAAACCAATTACCTTAGAATTATATAATAGCTTTAGTTCAGCTGCCCATTATAGTATTTCCGAACCAATTCTTAAAAGGCCGGCAACGCATATGCGAGCCTTCTGACAATGTGAGTGTCTATGGACGGCGGTATTACTTAACATCAGATGAGCCTCCTGCGCGTTTGCACCGTTATATATTTTTTTTTTAAACAAACACTCACCGGCTGTTCTTATCAAAGGTGACTCTCGGTTCATCGCCAATATGATTCATGATAACATTCTTAATCGCAGTCGCGTATATATCTCCCGGTTGGTTATCCGGGAATCCTCTCAAATACACTGTGTTTCGCGGGTCAAGGCCGCTCAGTGTACGCACGGCTTCACGTTCGCGTACTTCATCACCCGCCACTTGGACGAAGTACTGCGGGTAGAACGCGCCTGCTAGGAGAACCTGGAATTTATTTTTTTAATTTAACATAGCATAGTATTTGAATGTTAAATAATATTAAAATAGTAATAGGAAGTATAAATCAATTATTGTGTGATTCATTAGAATATTATAGCTTTACTAGCTGACCGGGCAAACGTCGTTTTGCCATGTATATCATTTATAATAAAAAATAGGGGTTGATCGTAGAGGGGTGAAAATTAGGGGTGGTATGTATTTTTTAATGTTGTATCATAAAAAAAATAAAAATTTATCTAAAAATTCAAAAAAAAAAATTAGGGGTGGACTACCCTTAACATTTAGCGGGATGAAAAATAGATGTTGTCCGATTCTCAGACATACCCAATATGCACACAAAATTTCATGAGAATCGGTCTAGCCGTTTCGGAGGAGTTTAACTACAAACACCGCGACACGAGAATTTTATATATTAGATTTCATATGTATCGTAAGATGTGATGTTGTGTGCTAGAATAAACAATTTTCTTCCTAAACTGCTTTTAACATGATGTGAATAAAGTGTTATTATTATATTTAGTTTGTAGGCGTAAAATGAATTAGAATATTTTTACACATATACAGAGTGGTCCAACTAGTGACGTCAATAAATTTTTTTAGATTCCTCACACCTGGGGGGGTATACGAAAATACTCTGTATGTTCCGCGATTTTTTGTAGTTTTCGAGTTATACATTTTTTTGTGTTTTTAGAATGTTTTCTGCCAGCGGAGGTTTCAAAAATTCATATATTTTTTTGTTGTAGGTTTATTGCAGTTTTTTTTTATAAAATGATTGTCTTAAATGTTGTTCCAATAAAAAAATCTCAGCTTCCTAAAATTAGTTAAAGCTACTCAAAAAAGGTTTTAAAGATAGAAGTTTAGTTTTTAGCTGGAATTATTAATTATATATTATTAAAACTGACGTAATGAAGCAAGAAACTAATTCTTAAACACTGGACTACATTTTTATTTATCAAAGATTTTTGTAGCATACCTTCAAAACCACAGGCAGTTCCTGCCTACCCCAAGATGATTTTGCCTTTTGCGTGTCTATCTCCTCACGTGATAGACGTACACGCAACTCACGTACCATTTCGTCAAGTTCGCGCATCGCACGCACTTGTACGTAAAATCGATGGGCCCATTGTGATTCGCTTTTGCCCGTTTGCCTAAAGTACTGTTGTTGGCGAAGGTGGCTCCACACCTATTAATATTAATAATTATTTAACACTTCGTTTCAAAACTTTGTAGTAATAATAATTAAAAAAAAATGTTTATTATGTAACATAAGATACATGTATCACTTATTCCACGTCATTAAATTTGAATTTGTAGGCATCCCTACTCATCGGCAAAGAAGACAGAGGGTGTAGGCCGAGAGAAAAAGCCGGCGTAAAAAACTCTCGGTACTCTTTTAAAATAGCAAATCATCAAACAACACTTATTTTAAAACAAATATCGCAAATTAATTAGAAGTAGCCTGTCTAGCACTAGTCCCAGGCCCTTTTATCAACTAGATAATCGTTAACTTTTTTATAGCCTTTTTAATAATAAAATATAAGGAGGGCAACGAGTGTTTATCGCTTTACTTCTTTAGAGCAATCTCTTTCATGTAAATATCGATTTAGAGTTGTCAAAGTCACTTTAATTATATGTTATATTTTGTATTTATAGAATTACACAGACCACCGTAATAAAGATTATTAAGGTTGGACTAGTTGAATCTAGTTAGGTCATTATTTTTTTTAATTTAGAATTGTACCTTATTTATAGAATCAGTCAAATTACAGTTTTAACATACTTTGTCTCTTTTCATCACAGCATACACACAATGTGACAGAAAGAGACAAAAAAGTACGTTCGTTAAAACAATAAAAATAGTCTAACACGGTTATAATATATAACTTTGAATTTAACATTTTCCCCCTTAATGAGGTATGGGACAAGAATAGATAAGTCCTTCGGCACCTTCCCCTCGATAACCTGTACTTCTTGGTTTAAAGGCACGGCAAACAGAATTCAATGTAAAGTGTAATTAATAGGTTATAAAAAAGGAGTTCATAGTAGTGAGGTGGAAACACAAATTAAACATTTTCTGTCCAACCAATTTACGATGTACACGCAGTACAAAATTAAAATTATGAGAACTACGAACGTACATTAAAATGCCATTAAGAAAAATATTGATTAGTAAAATTACCTTATAAACATTCAAAAACGCAATAGAATCACTAGTGGATCCATCAGCCCATGTTAGCTTAGAATTATACGCATTAAGCTGTTCACGGAACGGACTACTGAAGACATTCTTCACTGACATTGCAGCGGCTGTAACAATAATATTTTTTGTAATGAAAATTCAAAAATAAAGGCGAATTCAGCTTTCAAGGTTTTATAGAAAAGATAGAATCTCAAATTAGTATTAAAATTAAGTGAGGTAATAATCGTTTACCGGTTTTTGATTTAATATAAAAAATTTTAAGCCCCTAAGTCTATAAAGAAGGTGAATTAAGCTTTCAAGGTTTTATAGAATAGATAGAATTTCAAATTAGTAGGAATTGAAATTACCGGTTTTTGATTTAATATCAAATTTTTTAAGCCTCTAAGTCTATAAAGAAGGTGAATTAAGCTTTCAAGGTTTTATAGAATATATAGAATTTCAAATTAGTAGGAATTGAAATTACCGGTTTTTGATTTAATATCAAATTTTTTGAGCCTCAAAGTCTATAGAGAAGGTGAATTAAGCTTTCAAGGTTTTATAGATTAGATAGAATTTCAAATTAGTAGGAATTGAAATTACCGGTTTTTGATTTAATATCAAATTTTTTAAGCCTCTAAGTCTATAAAGAAGGTGAATTAAGCTTTCAAGGTTTTATAGAATATATAGAATTTCAAATTAGTAGGAATTGAAATTACCGGTTTTTGATTTAATATCAAATTTTTTAAGCCTCTAAGTCTATAGAGAAGGTGAATAAAGCTTTCAAGGTTTTATAGAATAGATAGAATTTCAAATTAGTAGGAATTGAAATTACCGGTTTTTGATTTAATATCAAATTTTTTAAGCCTCAAAGTCTATAGAGAAGGTGAATAAAGCTTTCAAGGTTTTATAGAATAGATAGAATTTCAAATTAGTAGGAATTGAAATTACCGGTTTTTGATTTAATATCAAATTTTTTAAGCCTCTAAGTCTATAAAGAAGGTGAATTAAGCTTTCAAGGTTTTATAGAATATATAGAATTTCAAATTAGTAGGAATTGAAATTACCGGTTTTTGATTTAATATCAAATTTTTTGAGCCTCAAAGTCTATAGAGAAGGTGAATTAAGCTTTCAAGGTTTTATAGATTAGATAGAATTACAAATTAGTAGGAATTGAAATTACCGGTTTTTGATTTAATATCAAATTTTTTAAGCCTCTAAGTCTATAAAGAAGGTGAATTAAGCTTTCAAGGTTTTATAGAATATATAGAATTTCAAATTAGTAGGAATTGAAATTACCGGTTTTTGATTTAATATCAAATTTTTTAAGCCTCTAAGTCTATAGAGAAGGTGAATAAAGCTTTCAAGGTTTTATAGAATAGATAGAATTTCAAATTAGTAGGAATTGAAATTACCGGTTTTTGATTTAATATCAAATTTTTTAAGCCTCAAAGTCTATAGAGAAGGTGAATTAAGCTTTCAAGGTTTTATAGATTAGATAGAATTTCAAATTAGTAGGAATTGAAATTACCGGTTTTTGATTTAATATCAAATTTTTTAAGCCTCTAAGTCTATAGAGAAGGTGAATAAAGCTTTCAAGGTTTTATAGAATAGATAGAATTTCAAATTAGTAGGAATTGAAATTACCGGTTTTTGATTTAATATCAAATTTTTTAAGCCTCAAAGTCTATAGAGAAGGTGAATAAAGCTTTCAAGGTTTTATAGAATAGATAGAATTTCAAATTAGTAGGAATTGAAATTACCGGTTTTTGATTTAATATCAAATTTTTTAAGCCTCTAAGTCTATAAAGAAGGTGAATTAAGCTTTCAAGGTTTTATAGAATATATAGAATTTCAAATTAGTAGGAATTGAAATTACCGGTTTTTGATTTAATATCAAATTTTTTGAGCCTCAAAGTCTATAGAGAAGGTGAATTAAGCTTTCAAGGTTTTATAGATTAGATAGAATTACAAATTAGTAGGAATTGAAATTACCGGTTTTTGATTTAATATCAAATTTTTTAAGCCTCTAAGTCTATAAAGAAGGTGAATTAAGCTTTCAAGGTTTTATAGAATATATAGAATTTCAAATTAGTAGGAATTGAAATTACCGGTTTTTGATTTAATATCAAATTTTTTAAGCCTCTAAGTCTATAGAGAAGGTGAATAAAGCTTTCAAGGTTTTATAGAATAGATAGAATTTCAAATTAGTAGGAATTGAAATTACCGGTTTTTGATTTAATATCAAATTTTTTAAGCCTCAAAGTCTATAGAGAAGGTGAATTAAGCTTTCAAGGTTTTATAGATTAGATAGAATTTCAAATTAGTAGGAATTGAAATTACCGGTTTTTGATTTAATATCAAATTTTTTAAGCCTCTAAGTCTATAAAGAAGGTGAATTAAGCTTTCAAGGTTTTATAGAATATATAGAATTTCAAATTAGTAGGAATTGAAATTACCGGTTTTTGATTCAATATCAAATTTTTTAAGCCTCTAAGTCTATAAAGAAGGTGAATTAGGCTTTCAAGGTTTTATAGAATATATAGAATTTCAAATTAGTAGGAATTGAAATTACCGGTTTTTGATTTAATATCAAATTTTTTAAGCCTCTAAGTCTATAGAGAAGGTGAATAAAGCTTTCAAGGTTTTATAGAATAGATAGAATTTCAAATTAGTAGGAATTGAAATTACCGGTTTTTGATTTAATATCAAATTTTTAAGCCTCAAAGTCTATAGAGAAGGTGAATAAAGCTTTCAAGGTTTTATAGAATAGATAGAATTTCAAATTAGTAGGAATTGAAATTACCGGTTTTTGATTTAATATCAAATTTTTTAAGCCTCAAAGTCTATAGAGAAGGTGAATTAAGCTTTCAAGGTTTTATAGATTAGATAGAATTTCAAATTAGTAGGAATTGAAATTACCGGTTTTTTATTTGATAACAAGTCAAAAGCCGGATAATTACAGAATATTTTTACAAATTAGTGTATTAATATCAGCAATAATGACGTGCTATTTTGATAGCTGCACATTTCCTTTCTAGGATTTGTTAAAGATAATTTAAAACCTATCATTTATTTCAACAATGAAGCACGATTAATTACGTCCCATGATATTTTAAATAAAAAGTTTAATAAACCAAGTAAAAACTAAAGTATTCCGTCTCTTTCTGTCAAATTGTGTTAACGCTACGATAAAAGGAGATAATGAAATTCTTAGCACTCACCCATAATAACACACTCGTCCAGACAACCAAAGATATATCCCAGCATGATAAGTTTCGACATTTGTACGTTAAGAGGCAGTTTCGCCATAATACGTCCCAAATACGTTATATCTCCATCTGATGAACTCCACTCGCCGTTGACCAATTTCTTTAAGGCACCAATCTGAAAGCCCCAAATCGTTTATTACGGGTATAAATATAATTATTATTTATTATTTTTTCAACTACAACCAGATTTATTTTAGTGCTTATGGGCCAAAGGAGTGATGGCCTAGTGAAGCCTTTATGTCTGAGGTCGTGCGCTCAAATCACGGCTGTGCACCAATGGAATTTTCATTTCTATAAGCGCATGCTCCTTAGGTGAAGACAAACGTTGTGAGGAAACTGGAATGTTTCAAACCCAAAAATCAATAATATGTGTCCGACACAGGCTGATCACCTTCTTGTCTATAAAATAAAATTTTGTGTCGTAAACCCCTTGCCATGTTTTCCGTGTTGGGTAGACCCCCTACTTACCTGATATTGATTTCCTGTAAATTTCTAACTGTAGTGAAGTTTAGTGTTAAAAATGTAATAAAAACACAATTTGTACATTTATTAATTGAATTTAAATTAAAACTACTCAAAATAAAATTTTGTATCTGTTATATAAAATATACGTAGCATTAAATAAACATAAAATAAACTATAAATAAAATAACATAAGCGATAAGTCAATATAATGTATATGTTTTGATATTATAAGATAGTATGATGTAAGTAAATAGGTACTATCAGTGTATGTGCTGAGATCCACTATCGTGGACCCCCATTTTCATTTCATGGGGTCCATGAAATTTTTTTTCGCTGACGTAGACCCCTTGCAGGTTGTCATAGACCCCTAGGGGTCGATATAGACCACTTTGGGAATCACTGGTCTAGTGGTTAGTACCCCTGACTGCGAATCCATGGGTCCCGGGTTCGATCCCCGGCTGAGACAAACATCGATGTGATGAGCATTTGGTGTTGTGCTTAAGTCTTGGGTGTTTAAATATGTATTTATATGTCTATCTATCTATAATATGTATGTATATCCGTTGCCTAGTACACATAACACAAGCTTCACCAGCTTAGCATGGGACTAGGTCAATTGGTGTGATTTGTCCAATCATAATCATAAATTTAGGGTCGTAGCGGCACTGGATTGTAAAATATTTGTTTCCACAAAGGCATAGATAGCTCTTAAAGTTATAATAAAAAAATGCTTATAAACCAAAAGTTACAACGAAACATTTCTCAATATAAAAATCTTTGTTTAAAAAGTATGATATTCACGGCTTAAGTTATTTCCGCCAACAAAATATAAGGTTATAAATGGATTATGATAAAATCCAAAATTCATCAATTTTAATAGACAAAAATCAAAACGCTAAAACGAGCGTCACAGATAATAAACAAATTGTTGGATCTATGGAGATAGAGAAAACGCTCGGACGTGCGTTCATTAAAAAAATGTAATTCGAATTTAGCTGGATGTGACTAAATTAAATATACATACCTCTTTAAGTACTAATACAGTTCGATGTACATTGGAAAGGTCTGGTGGGTTCATGGCCAATGCTAAAATATCTACTGGAGGACCCATTTGCAGAGATTTAGCGAGGAGGACGAGCCTTTCTAAAGGACATCTCGTGAGTTCAGGCGTACATTCATCCAGAAAGTTTTCCTACAAAAAAACTTATTTTGGTTAAAAACTCAAATATTTAATTTGTGTAGCCCGGGTTTGATTTCCCTCGAAAAACATCAAATTCAAAAATTGTGAAAGGTTGAAGGCACAGTTGTCTGACCATCTAATAACTAATTACGAATCTTAATCGAATCTTGAGGAATATCTGTAATCGCTGATGGACAAACACACGTGCTAAAATATATAGGGTTTTACATTGATGTATTGAAGCTATGGACTCATGTGTATGGTCTGTCCAATTGAATTGAAACTACAATTAAGGACAAATTAATAAAGTGCGTACATAGAACTTATCAGTCACCAGACGGTACACTCTCCCCCCGCCCCCCACTCTCCCAGCCCTTCCCGCGCGCTGATCACAATTTGCCTTCGAAGCCCATTGAAGTTGCAATGACGTGAAGTTAGTGTTTACATCCGCTACTAGCACTTTCATAAGGCAGTAGTCAATCACTGAAAATGGGCGTTTTAGGTAATGAATTATTTACTAATAAGTTCTAAAACGACAAGCTTAAAAATACAAGAATATGACGATTCAAATTTAACACACACATACATATCAATTATTAGAGCATAAAAATTACACACAAGCTAGGAAAAAAATACTGGCAAACAATCAAAAAAAGTAAAGAAGAAAATGTCCGTTTAGGAAAAGGAAAACCCATAATTGAACTACAAGACCCAAAGTAGACTTTTAAGAAGAAACTTTATGCGTAATGAATTCATAAACAGTTTAAATTTTTCTGTTACTAAAATAAAATGTATGATAAAGTCAAATTAATCTAGCGACTTGGATTAAATCAGCAAACAAGGGAAACAGGCCAATTATTTGCTACCATATGTATACTATAGTAAGTTTTTGAATACTCAGCAGAAAAAACCGTACAAAGACAAATTTGCCATTTATTTTTTGAATAAAGACTTATCACAACAAATCCAGCAAATAATATAACCGAGGAAAACATTGTTTTCCATCCATTCCATTGTATTCCACCAAAAAGCAATACAATCAATACATAATGTGATCAATATTTAAAAAAATGTGATCAATATACCATATTTAATATCCGGTACAGTGATGGAACTTTCAGCAACGTTTGTAGATAAAATGATCTTTCTTTGTCCGGGTGGTGCACGTTGGAATACACGTACTTGTTCGTCAGCTGTGAGCGTTGAGTGGAGGGGTAACACCCACCAACGGAGAGAGCTCTCCCCGCATAATTTCCTCCTGTTATCAAACAGATAATGTACTTTTTACATGCCTTATTATTAAACGATACTAAGTTACATTAATTTTATTGTACGTCGTATTTACGTACGAATTCTAACAAGAATTGCCGTAAGTCTTAGTTAAGTATGTGCACTTACAATTGCAATTATAATTGCACTGTCTGTTTATAAGGTTGTTTACTAGTTTGTTGCCACGACTCTACATTGTAAGGAATAATAATAATAATGCAGTGGCGCACAACCCTATATGGAGGTTAGCTTCAGATTGCATCCGTCGGTTTTCTCACGATTTTTGCCTTCACCGTATAAGCAAGTGTTAGATGCGCACATAGAAAGTGCATTGGCGCACTGTTCGCGATCGTATTTACGCCCCTTAGGGATTAGAATCGCGATTAGGCCAACATTGCTCTCTCTTTACATTGTAAGTATAAAATTGACTTAAATAAGATTTCCGGTTACTTTTTTGTTAACCCAACTTTTGTTACCTATACATGAAATAATAAAATAGTAATGATATACCCTACAAATAAACTGTATGTATATGATTTTTATCTAAAAAATTTTCAAAGCCAAATATTTTATTAATGAAAATTAAACCATTTCTAGTGATTTAGTCATTATCCCTAATTTATAAACTTTTAATATTTACCGTAATTCATCATTAGTGAGACACGTGTACAACTCTTCAATTTCATGTATCCCTGGTAGAAAAATAAGAACCGATGGCAAATTATCCTTTGAAATGTCAATGGAATGTCCTTGGCTATCGATTGACTCAAATCCATTCACCAGTTTGACTACGAGATGGTGCATTTCAATAGTTATTTCTGGATTATCATTCATCGTTGGTAGCTGCAATTTTTTTTATTGACAATCATGTTTGGTTTGAAGGCGTAAAAATTGCTATTTCCTATATCATTGTTTCACAAGCAGCGGTTGTTGATCATAGAATAAAAAACGAGAACAAACTAAGAGCCCTGTTTGTCAAAATATATTTTTGAAGTACGGGAGTTAGACTTAGCGCTAAGTTTCTGAAACCCTTTAATCTATTAAGTTTTGGAAAATTATCAATTATGCTTAAAAATAAAACTCCCCCTCAAGCATAATAATTCGAGCGATTGCAGTTTTAACTAAAGTACTTGCCTGTCGCTTTTCATCACAGTGTAAAGACAATTTCTCAGAAAGGTACATTAGTTGGACTTGTTTTTTTTATGATATATTAGATCGCTCTTGCGTTGCTTAGACTTATAAAGTAACAAATCATTAATTATAGATATTTGGTCTCAAAGTAAAATTATTTTTCTTCCAATATTGATTGAACTTTTTTTCATTTATAATAACTTTTCAATTGAACTTATGTAACTTACTTGTAATCTACAATGCTTTAATCATAATAATAATAATCAGTGGCGCTACAACCTCTTTAGATCTTGGCCTCAGATTTCTGAATCTGTTTCTTGATCATTTTTAAATCTAATAGGCAAGTACGTGATCAGCCTCCAGTGCCTGACACACGCCGTCGACTTTTTGGGTGGTCTAAGACATGTAGGTTTTCTCACGATGTTTTCCTTTACCGTTCGAGCAAATGTTAAATGAGCACATAGAAAGAAAGTTCCATTGGTGCACAGCCGGGGATCGAACCTACAACCTCAGGTATAAGGTACAGGTAGAGGTACTACCGCACGCTGAAGCCGCTAGGCCAACATTGCTCTCTACTAAGCTTTATTTAATAAAAAAATTGTGATTCTAGTTGAAGCAGTATTTTTGGTTTTGTATCTACTTATTATATTATTTACTTAACTCACCGTAAATTTGTTCAAATTATTAATGTAAAATACTTTGTGCTTCGCCTGTCCTGATTTAATGTTAATGCAACTCGGTTTATTATGATCCCCAATAGCTGGGATGTGAAAATAATTTGTGAACACTTTTGTGTTAAATGTAGCTGACATAAGTATCACTCTGACGCCTGAAGACACCGTGTACATGAGTTTTTTAACAACCAGAAGTAAAAAATCCATTTCTTGACCTCTTTCATGAACTTCATCTAATATTATATGAGTGTATTCATTCAAATTTTTGGCGCTTACTGAAAGGAAATATCATAATAGTAATCCTAATTAGAAATAACATAGACACAACATTTATTACTAACAAAACACACACACACAGAAACACACAAAATAACAATAATCAAAGAAAAAAGTAAAAAAGAATGAGAGATAGGTAACAATTTTTTTTCTTTTAAAGAAGAAGGTACGTTTTTAAGGCCCTGGCTCAGCATTATGCTGAGGAGCAGACTGTTCCACAACGCTGGTCATTCTGCCAGAGACCAAGGCAGCTAGTTTGCGCCTCAGTCGCAAAAATATAATGTAATAATACTAATACTAAGTAGAAAATAATAATAATAATATTAGTAAAAGTTAGCAGTGTAAGTAATGAAGTCTTGTGTAAAAGTGTAATGTAAATAAAATAAACTGGTTACTACATTTTGTATAATCTCTAAACCTATGCCTCGTTGAATTGTTTCCTATTCTACAAAGACCAAGGAAGAACTTGACTTATGCAAGAGCATAAAAACAAATAAATAAAACTGAATGCCTTACAGCTTGTTATATGACTTTTTCCATTCACATTACAAAATTAAATATGTTTGTATATGTCAATGTGTGGTGTCTAGTAGCAGTTGTTGTATAGTTGCTCCTTTGAAGTTATACAAGACTTACCTAATTTCTGAAGTAGCACTCCGGTTGTAACATATGAAATGCGTGTGTCTGTCGATGTTTTATTTTCAAGGGCAACCTAAAAAAAATTACCAGTATAAAAACACTAAGTACTACCAAATGGCATCAACCACCACCTCTGATATATTCTATATTGATACAGAAGCCATGACTATTTATTTTAAGTAATTGTAAGTACAGTGTTTACCGTATTGAAACCGTATGAAATATTTCTCTATAAAAATCCAGAATTGCAGGCTTCATCTTCCAAATAATAGATGCATTTGACCTGAGTCATAAAACAGTAGGAACAGTCATAGCCATTCTAGAGTATTCAATTGATTGTAAGACATTCAATTGATAAACCATATGGAGGTGAAATTAACATGGCATCATATAATTTCCAATTTGAAATAATACAAAACAGATACATTTATGGGTAGTTATGAGATTTGTTGTCAAGAGCTATAAATACAAGATCTAATGCAATTTTGACTGGATTATGAGATGGTCATAATACCTGGTATCCAACAAGGCCACCAACATCCCAACCACGTTCCTGTGCAACTCTTTTAGCAATTGATGTTGCTGCAATTCTACGAGGCTGAGTAACAACAATTTTGCACGGCATCCTCCTCTCATAGGCATCATGAAGGATCCATTGTGGCACTTGTGTTGTTTTCCCACATCCAGTTGGGCCCTCAATTATTACTATGGGGTAAGCTGTGATTCTACTCATTATCTGTGAACCAATATATGTAGAAGTATTATTGCCTCGCAATGTGTAGAGTGGTGAACAATATCTAATTCTAGAAGTGAGTGTTTTAAAATATTAAATGTTAAGTAGTAATAATAAGAGCTACTATTAGTAAAAACTTTAGTTACTTCAAAAAAAAATCTCGCAACTCAGGAACAATTTTTGCAATAATGTAAAATATCTACATACTTCCTCTTTGTATTTATTTATAGCTAGGTCCTTTGTATCTTCCTTTATTGTGAAATTATATTTGCTGTAATTAGCTGCCATAGCATCATCTGCAAGGTTGCCATTGTTACTAGGCATGACTGAACCCCAAGAAGAAAGATTCTCTAGAGAATTTAAACCATCTTGACTGTCTTGAGACGTATTCTCTGCTAGTTTACACTGTAAATTTTTTTATTACACATAATATTTTCTTAAATTAAACTTATCATGGAAGTAAGAAAATCAGTATTTGTTGTATATATTAAGCAAACAATAAACAATGTATAACTCAGAGTAGGATTTATGAGTAAGGGCCATCCTTTTGCTTTCTTGGATCATCGGCCAATTATACGGCTCAGTTGTAATTAATGCCCAATTGGTGTTTTGGAGAATTCATTCTGTTTATCTATAAAAGCAAGGATTGCATGGAAACCAGTTATTCTCATATGATAAATAAATGGTATATTAAATAAGAATTACATTAAAAAATGAGTAGGTAATCATAAAATTTGGTATTTAAATAAAATTAATAAGATTCACTTGCTTACTTTTAAATATAACTCTTGCTCCCTTTGCTGTACTTCTCCAGCATAATCTGTTCCAGTAGGAAGACTAGACTGTCTATGTTCTTCTGGACGGTTAAATCCATAAGTATTATCATTTTTGGTAACTCTGCATCCACCAGTGTGCGGACCTCGAAGTTTTCTAGTTTGTACATTTGGATTTGTGAAAAAGGACCGTACTTCATCCATAATTATTGAACCTTAAAAATATGTATCATAAATCCTAAATTATTTCAGTTTAAGATCAATTTCAAGAAAATTTCTGAAAGAATTTAAATACAAAATTTAAGTTATTATAATTTTTATTAATAGGGAATTAAATACCTTGAACACAAGAAAACGGTACATGAAATGAAAATAAGAATAGTAAAACTTATCAAATAACAACAATTCTTTATATTTGTACTTACTACTTATGAGTTATGATGAAACATCAAAAACATTTGAAAATTAAAATTTGGATGTATAAAATTGTAGGTTCGCACTTCGCAGTTTGCGGCAGGGCTGCCAGATGAAAAAAACGCATGATCGGACACCAACTACAAAAAAATCGTATACCGAGAAAGTTTGGAAATGAAAAGATCGTATATCATAAAAGTGTTTTTTTTTTTATATTTTAAATTAATGGCTGCCTTTGCCTTGAAGAGTGTAACTTAAAAACTCCATTTCTAAAACCACAAAGAGTGCACCTGGCTTTAAATTGGTTGTTACCGGGCCCTAACCAGTACTTAAATAAATCTAATTTTTCCCAATCTGCTTCCAATTCCAATTATTCCAATTATTAATTTCCAATTCTATGCTCTGTGTTTGTTCCTCTATGTCGCAGAAAGCTCTCCTCTTTTGGCAATTTTTGGAGTAACTGGCGCGCGTCGGTATTCTTCATTTTCACTACCCATTCTTGCTTCAGCGTATTGAAGTAACATAAAAAACACTAAATATGCAGTTCAAAAGAGGATATAATAACTTAGAGCTCGAGACTGCTGACAAAAACAGGTTTTTGACTATTCCAATACAAGAGAAAAATAATAAGTTTTGTAACAATGCACACAAATACAGACTATATGAAAAAAGGGTCTTTCGGCGTAAAGGGTCTTCAATCTTCATTCAAGTAAAAGAACTAGGCATACCGCATACGTTAGGTTGTTGGGGAATTCCCCGAACATAATACTTGTCGGTGCCCGGTGGAGTATATTCGTTTCATTTAGTTGTTGCCAGGTACAGAAAAATCGTACATTTTCTGTACGATCTTGATCTAGCGATCGTATATGAGTAAAAATGACAAAAAATCTTAGGAGTACGATTTAAATTGTACATCTGGCAGCCATGGTTCGCGAAAAATCAAACAGTGTTGCCAACTCTCGAATTTTCAATTACAAATAAGCAGTAATCAAAAATCGCTAAAATATTTCGTTTCGTAGCTTTTTTTTATATATAATTAAGTTTATTTTAATTTCACTGCATTTTGAAACCGGGATAAATTTTAACTAAATCGCCCATAAAAAATATTCACAACCGTATCCTCCACACAAGTCCACCTCACGTCCCAAACTCCAAAGGTCCCTAATTTTAAACACCCAAACATAAAGATATTTTATTTCATCAAGTATACAGTATTTACAATTTTCTTAACCTACAAAGTAATAATAGAAATAATTAAAATGAAAATCAAAACAAATTTAAATAGTTTCGTCCCTGTGGATGTGTACCTTTAACGCTGGCAGCATTTCCTCGCTGTATTGCGATACTTATTCGTTGAGCCAGGAAAGTGCCAGCTCTGGGGTCAGCAGTACTATCTACTAGGCGCCAATTTAAATCTTTAATAAGCGCCTGTGCACTTGAACCCCACGGCCCAAGAGTCTCTACTCCAAAGGGAACAAAATCGAAATTGGAGGAAAGACTATATTATTTATTAAAAATTGCATTCAAAGTTTACTTTATTTTTATAAACTACTTAATACAATTGCATTCAATGATTTTGTATTTTTGAAGTTATACTTCTTTCGGCGCGTTATGAAAAATTGATGAGAGTGAAATTTTACGATGCGCGCGCACCGTGACACAAAATTAACAGAATGAAGTTGCCCACGGAAGATGCTACGGCATTGGACATAATTTAAAAACAACATTCAAATAATAATAGAATTTATGTTACACATAATGTATGAGAATAGTAATAAATTTTTAATTTTTCAAATTTAAACTGAAATTTATTGACTATAATGACTCTTTTTCCAGTCTTTGATTATTTAATTGTAATTAATTATTTGCATGCAATCAAAAACTATGTTTAATAATGCCAATGAAGTGTAACTTCTTACGCGCGTAGAAGTACACCCTTTTTTTATTTGCTTAGTTAAAATCAATTTAGGTTTCGAGTAGTTACGGTTAGATTTAATATTTTTTTCAGAAGTTATCCGGTATGATTCAAAACGGCAAACGGCCTAAGAGTTATAACTCTTTTTACCTATAAAATAGTAGAAAGTTGTCTCGTTTACCATGTTTTACGGCTATCTCGTAGGAACTGTTGGGTATAATGGAACGAAAAATTAATTTATGAATAAAAATCAACATTTTCCATATATTTTAATAATATTTGTTTTGAATCTACAGTTGTTCTAAACTCTAAAGGTTCGGTCAAACAGCGAACGGGGCGGGATAGCGACGCGACGCTGGCGCGACGTCAGAAGTTGTAGTTTAAAAATTAATTAAATAATAATATAGGAAATGTCACACAGACCCGTTGCGCTCGGCGTTCGACCAGAGGTTAGGTACGTCACGTCACCGTCGCGACCTTAATACAAGAAAAGCACAGCGGGACGGGGTGCGAGCGGGGCGTGACCACGACGCTACACGTTGTGTTTTATGGGTATGCGATTTAGGTAGTAGTCAAACAGTTCGGGACGGTAACGTCGCGCCCAACGTGACGCCAGCTTTGTCTCCGACTACAAACATGTACATGGAGAGAGTTGAAAAACTAAACGAAAGTGTTGCCTGCGAAGCTTGGATTTGGAAACACCAGCTCTATATCCAGAATTGACACAGTTGCCATCTGGTTCTAGTGGATAATAGTAGGTAGCTATTGTAAATTTTTCCACTCCGACGGAAATACCTAATATCATATTCATTTTTTTTGTCAACATCTGTCAAAATTTGAACGAGAAATTATAATACATAGTATTTAGTGTTTCACCAAGGCAAAGTCCTTAGTTTTTGCAGTTTTAAACATTTACACTATATTATGTATTATCATCTGAACTAAAAAGTAGAGATGAAAATATTGCTTTTGCCTCTTTCTCTCTTCATTCTCTTTATATTGTCTATTTTTTTTTAACCCTTCTTTGGTTTCTTTTCCTTCTCTCTTTCCTATGCACGTTCTTCTATTTCATTTATGACAGGAGTGTCTGTCAAAATCAAGCTTTTTCTTTTCTTTCATTTGCTCGTTGTCTTTCTTAGCTTGGTTTTTTTTTTTTTTTTTATAGAACGGGGGGCAAACGGGCAGGAGGCTCACCTGATGTTAAGTGATACCGCCGCCCATGGACACTCTCAATGCCAGAGGGCTCGCGAGTGCGTTGCCGGCCTTTTAAAAATTGGTACGCTCTTTTCTTGAAGGACCCTAAGTCGAATTGGTTCGGGAATACTTCAGTGGGCAGCTGGTTCCACATAGTGGTGGTGCGCGGCAAAAACTGCCTTGAGAAACGCTCAGTTGTGGAACGTCGGACGTCGAGGTGATACGGGTGGAATTTCGTATTCTGCCTCGACGTCCGATGATGAAACTCAGCTGCAGGTATTAATCCGAACAACTCCTCTGAACACTCTCCATGGTAAATGCGGTAGAAGATGCAGAGTGACCCCACATCTCTACGCAACGCCAAAGGATCAAGCCGCTCGGAGAGGGATTGGTCGTCGACGATTCGAACCGCTCTGCGTTGTATACGGTCAAGTGGAAGGAGCTGGTACTGGGGAGCCCCAGCCCAGAGGTGAGAGCAGTACTCCATGTGGGGCCGAATTTGCGCTTTATATAGTTGCATGCGGTGGCCCGGAGTGAAGTACCGTCTCGCCTTGCTGAGCACACCAAGCTTTTTGGAGGCTAATTTAGCCTTTCCCTCCAAGTGACCGCGAAACTGAACGTCGCTCGATATGTCAACGCCAAGTATTCCAATGCTGGCTGTGGTTGGTGTCTTGAATGTGCATGACTTCATCGGTTATTGGTCTGTTAACTACAGATGATTCACCCAAGATGAAAACGTCTGGATCAAATTCCAGTCTTTAAAATCCACTTTTGTAAAACTTTTAGAATGGGCCATATACAGGACGTCCCAAAGTTATGGGACATGAAATTGAAGGGAAAGTACCTTAAATATCGTAGACTTAGGGTATTTTACTGAAAGAAAACTTTATGTTATTTTTAAAATTATATAATATAATATAATATTTTAATTAATTAAGAGACGGAATAATTTTTTTGTCAAGTCAATCTTTTATTTGACATTTTAATGTGTGGCCTAACGAAAAGAAATAATTCATTGTTTCTATTGTAATAAGTAACAGCTAAGGTAAATAAATTAAACAACTTTTTATAAATAATATATGTATTCGGTTGGAAGTTTTCGTTAAAGGCGTTGTACCTAATCGCTCTTTTATGAGAAAATATCAAATGTATTTTGGTCCCTACAATTTAGTGGCGAATGTGGTAAACGTAAGATTTATATCCATACACCTTTTCTTTACTTCCATTCTCACTTGACTCACGCCGAGCGCTGTTTTGCTCTCCACTCGCCTCATTTTTTTCTTCATTGGATCTATTGCCGCTTTCAGCTGACTGCTCATTTGCTGTCTCCGTACTTCTACCTGCAACTCCTTCATTTGATTCCTTGTTTTCTTCTCTATTCTCCTTTTTAATTTCATCAATAACTGCATAACCTTTTTTTAAATATTTATGTGGAATACGATACCAATATATTTTTTCTCCGCTCTTTTCACTTTTAGAGTTTTCTTTACTACTTACAGACTGACCTGAATTTTGTTGTTCATTAGAGTTTCCACGACTAGACTCATTTTCATTTTTCCCCCTGGAACCTCCACCTCCACCTTCTTTACGTCTTTCATTGGAATTTCTCTCAGTGCTTTCTTTACTTTTTTCTCTCCTGCCTTCCTGGCTATTTCGTGATCTGTCAGTTTCTTGGGCTTCACTTTGTCGTGAGTTTTGTTGATCCCGGCCTTCACTTTGGCCAGATTCTGCATTTTCTTTCGACTGGCCGGCGCTAGCATTGCTTTCTTCTTGCGAGCCCCATTCCCTTGATGCTTTCTTCATTTTATAATCGTGAATAACATGCCAAGTTCTTTTTTCGTTATCGTTTTCAGCATTGGATTCACCATTTTCCTTAGTTTCAGCTTCTTCACCTTTCTCGTTATCTTTTTGTGAATAATCTATAAGGACATTGAATCTGTAAAAAGATAATTTAAAAAATTTCATGGTTTAAATATTTGACAGCATAGTTCGTGTTTTACACTTAAAACAAATAATATTAACTTTAACAAACATACCCGATGTGATCATTGGCATGGTATTTGACTAGGCGCTTGCGTCCGTCGGGTTGTATTAGCCAGTAGTTCCCATTGACTTTGTCACCATGTCGTTTTTCCTGTTGTCCTTTATAGTCATGAGTATGAGGATCCGAAACTTTATACGAGAACTCATAAGAGGGATATGATTCCACCTTAAAAAAAATAGTAAGTCAATCAAGTAGCGAAATTTTTAAAATATTATTATTCATAAACTAGAAAAAATAATTATTTTTAAGAAAAATGTAATCCTTAAAAGTATTTCTTAAGATATCTTAAAGCAACTTACATATTCCTCTTGACGTTCAGACTTGTCATTTTCCGCATTAATCTTTTCTTCTTTGCCAAAATATTTGATAAAAGTCTGTTCGGATTTCGCAGCACGCGGTGGATGTGCTGCTGTTACACATAGCACAACATTTAGAACTGCAATTAACTGAAAAAGAAACGGTTATACTTATAGAAATATATATGTGTATTAATATTTTCTTAATTTTCTATGGGTTAGTTATAATTATATATATGTAATTTCATATGGTATTCCTGGTGCTAACAGGCTGGTCAGATAATTCTTAAGACATCTATGATGTAGACATTCTGGCTCGTGCAGCTTTGTTTTTATTTATAATTTTTATAAGCAAGTTCAGCACTATCTTAACAAAAATGAATACTATTTATTTTACCTCCTTAACGCCCAATTAAGTCTTAAAACAAAAATTCACTTACTACCAATCTACCTGATAAAGTATATTTGGAAATAACAATGTTATCATAATTTTATCTTCCTATTCCAAAATTCATCTTTCTAAGCACGAGATTTTGAAACTTAGCCAACTATGACTCCCGTATGTCAAAATCAAATGCATTTCTGACTTAAGTACGGTAGTCAGATCACTAAGTCCAGTTTCTGAATCTTACCCTAAATTCTTGGATGAAAATCATGAAATAGAGATGTTGTCTCTGATATTTTATACTAGTCTATATTGTCGATTGTCGAAACTTCACTAATGTAATCATGTATTAAATATTACTATTTACCTTCCAATCCATTGTGTTTAGTCTGCAAATATTTTACAACTCAATCGATACACGTACGTACTGTGTATTTATACAATGTCTATTCGAAAATATTAATATTCTCGTTATGTTATCAATTACGTAGTTTCACGTTCAATTATTGGGCGTGGTTGATTTATATAATTGATATCGAGAAAAAAACCACACCTCATAATTGCATCTGTTACGTTAGGCTCAATTTTGTTATCATGCACTAGTTGGGAATAAATAGTGTGCCGGTAATTGCTTAATAACTGAACCTTGGGAAACATTATAATTTTCAAATAGTGGTACTCTTCGTATAGTCAGATATGGCTCATTGGTTATACATGTCTGGTTAGTCAATGGAAACAAGGTGATTGTGTTATTCTGTGCACTTTTTTCTAGATTAAGGCGCGTTTGATCGAAATTATTTATGTGTAATTTAAAAGTATAAGATAGACGTTTTGCTTCATATCGAGCAGGATCCCTATGTAATAAAATAAAACTTATATTGAATTAGTTTCTTAGTAAACGCTGTTTATTTATTTGATACCTTTGTCAATAAAACAAATCCATTTATTGATAAAATCTAAATGAGTGTAATTACATACTTCTCACTAAACTATATTTCCCATAGACTGTTAGTCTTAGTTAGAGATGCGCTCAAAGTGCCCCACAGTTTAAGCGAATGTACTAAGATTGGGCAGTGAAGTCTATCTAAGTCGGTCTAGGAGACGAAGAAGTTTCTAGAGAAGAAGATTCGGTCGCGGAGCCAGCGGGGTGAGTGAGTTAATTAACTCTTTCGTACTTTTTGTCAAACTGTGTTTTTGCAATGAGGCTGTTATATTTTATGAATAGGTAATGTATCCTACACCAGCCAATAGGTACATTTATTTATTTATTATTTTATTTATTAACACTTCGTTGCATATACATTAATATAGTACAATTGGCATAATTAAATAAAAAAGAGAGCAACTGGCGGCCTTATCGCTTTCAAGCGATCTCTTCCAAGCAACCACTTACACCTACATATATATTCCTAGAGATTTTTTTTATTTTTATGTATGTAATGTTTGTTTTCTTGTATCTTACGATCCAAGGAAATTTAGTATCTGACGGTATGTGTTATGTTTATCACGCAAACGTCGCGTCGCATCATACGCTTGAAATAGAAATTACACGCTTTTTAAACATAACTCTGCTGTAAGCGTAAGCTGTTATATCGCCAATACTAAACCCACTGGTGAAAGAGAAAACAAAAGCCCCGCAAAAACACTAAGATTATGCATGAGGCAATTACCTACACAGGTCATAAAATCACGAAAACCATCAAATAATTTATGCAGGGCTCCATAGCTGGATCTTCGCTCTGGAACTTAATTATTGACCCTCTAATGAAAATGATACATGCTGAGCAGGTCAAGGCCCAAGGGTTTGTAGATGATGTCCTGCTAATGGTAGATGAGTTTAATGATTATGAGAGTTAACCAATAGAGCTAATAGGATATTGGACATTGTGCATGCGTGGGGCAAGGACAAGCCTAGGTTTGCGCCTCACAAAACCAATGCGATGTTGGTGACATGCAAACGTAAGTTTTACAACCCGCGCCCGAATAGGGTATCACGGGTACCCGCTTTCCTACTAGCGACGGCTGACATGAATGTTTCGCCTCCCCAACGAAGGTCGTTCATCATCATGGGGCCTTTAGACACGATTTGGGATGTGGTACCCAGTCTCCAGCTTCAGATTGCATCTGTCGTCGGACAGTCAACATGTATATGAATAATCGTTTGGTCAGTTCTTTCGATACAGTCACATACGGGGTTTGTCCTAAGTTTGAATATAATAATAAACTCGACTTTCTAGGAAAGAAGAGAATATACACTCCCCTGCAGTTTAGCTTCTCAGCCACAGATTTACGCGATCGCGTGGTTGATAGGCTATTGGGGGTCTTAAAAAACATAAGTCTTAAAGTAAACAAACTTTTTAAGTAAAACACATTTTTAAATCATCGTTTTTATTTATACTATAACAGAAATAAAATAATCAGATCAATGTTATATATATTTATACATAAATTGATTAAACATTTGACACACATGTTCAGAATCATAATTACCTACAAAATTAATGCAATACTATACAATCCAATTAAATAATACTTAGCGAAATTTTAATCATATTCAAAGTTATTGAATTGTTAATCTTATTCAAAGAATCCGAAATAACATAAAAAATATATATAATAACATATTTTTAGCGTAATTTTTCATTCACACTCGTTATACACACGATTTTTATACTCATAATCGTTAAGGGGCAACAAGAAAAATAACCAGTGGTGCTACAGCCTTTTAAGTCTGGGCCTCAGATTAGTGTATCTGTTTCGTGATTGCTTTTTCTATTAAGCAAGGCAATGTGCCTTCTGCGCCACACATATCGACTTTTTGGGTCATGCATACCGGTTTCCTCACGATGTTTTCCTTCATCGTACGAGCGAGAGTTAGTTATTTATGTGCGCATTTAACTCCATTGGTGCACAACACAGATCGTACCCTACGTCCTCATAGGTAAGACGCTGAAACCGCTTAACCAACACTGCTCTGAATATCTACATCTCTTTTCTTAACATTTTGAAATATCTAAGAATTTAAAGTACAAATTAAATTCCGTTGCTGATTCTTTTTCCGGCTAAACGGCCATATGTCGCCATATACATGAATCTATCTGACTGCATGAGTTATCCATGATAACGATACGTTACACGCAAAAAAAATCAAGTGATTTTATTATTTAATATGCTCAATGCACTAATTATATTCTGTTACATAAATACAAAACAATGGGCTCGTTACTAAAATGACGCTTAACGAAAGAAAATAAGTACAAAACAGTTTAACTAAGTACTACTTATAACAAAGGCTAGGAAAGGGAAAGAATTTAAAGTCCACAACCGTAACACAAACAAATTATATAAAATCAATTAAATTTGTTTATTATATGACAAAAATACCTTGAGGAAATAACTTTCGGGTACTAACGCCACCGCAGTAACAGTTTACAAACGCGGTCGCATACTGTGCGCCCGAGAATTGTTTGGTCAGGTTAGGTTGTGTTTTTAATGGCTTGTCGTAAAAAATTACAAATCATAAAACAAAACACTTCTATCCTTATCTGTGGTGCGGTGGTGTTAACATAAGTACCTAACTTTCCTAACGGCAATTAAACCTTACGCCCTAAATAGTCACGAATACAAAAAACAAGTTTCTTTATATTAGCAAATTTTAATTGATATGTGAGACTTAGGTCAATTTGGAATAGCTCCAAGTGCAACGTTCACCACGATAGAACCTGTGCGTGTTACTATGGTTACCAACTATCGTAATCATAATAACCGACGCGACGTCTTTAGTCCACATTTTGTAATAAGTCCGCCAAAGTTATAGATATTTTATATGCGATAAGGTTGATATGTAAAATCGATATATATGAATATGTATAGTAAGAACTAGAACTGAGCCCTATCTTTGGTTAATTAAAATTTTCATGACTAGTAAATCAGATAAGGTTTACGTACAAATTATACCTGGCCATCACGAAGCAACTGTTCTAATATGTATCTGTGTTTTTTAGTTTTTTCCAGAGTACAATAGTACATGCATGTATGTATGCGTAACCTTTGTCTCTGTTGACCATCGCTATTTATTATTGAACAGAGATTTTCGATTTTTTTTCCGAACGAAATCTTTTGTGCCTTGAAGAAAAATAACACAAATAACCATCCTAATTAAACATGTATTATGCAGTAATTATACATCATACCTACAAAATTAACCGACAACCAGTTTATATAACAGCACATTAAACTCTATAGGCATCAACATCTTAAAAGCTAAGTTGTGCAAATAATTATTTAATTTTTATTACATACAAACTGCAGATGAAATCTAAAACAAATGTGAAATGTCATAAATTGTACGAATATGGGAGAGTTCCCTTGCCTCTGAATTATATCTTAAGATCAATACCACTACCAGATCTTATTTTCAAAGGCTTACGTATAATTAATACAGTTAAAAAAGAAGAAAGCTAATATAACCACTATAAGCCAAATTAAATTAAACAAATATCTCTTTATCTGTTGCCATATAAAACTGTACAGTGTTGACAATTTTATGGGCATACCTGTAACTTCTGCGGTAAAAGATGTGTGTGTAGGGACCTGGTTTTTCATCGAAAAGTCTTATTAAGATTATTTAAAACAATTTAAAATGCATTTTACGACAGCATAAGAAATGAATGCACATAACATCGTAAGACTGCAAAGTGTCAACTGTCATTTGTCAAATGTCAACGAGTATGACCTATGAAATAGCGCTTTAATATATGGAACTGCGCTTTACGATGTAAAATATATTTGAAATAAACACGAAATCTTTAACAATTTTGGTTTACTACTATAACCTTCAAAAATATGAACGTCATTAACATTGATCATATTAAGAAATCAGTTTTCAGCACGAAACCATTAATTATCACAATGTTTCGACACATTGATATAATACACCTTATTTTTACATCCGTTGTTTATCACTTTTAATTACATCTTACAATTAATCTGATTAAATCATAGGTTAAATTAATTTTCCCGCATGTCGATTTTAAGACAGATATACCGATGATTTTAATTTTAGATTTCAAACAAAATAAATTGTGTTATCGAGAACACTTTATAAACAAGTCATATTCAACCCGTATCTCATCTTTACAATAGTTCAATGTCAAACTTTATATAGAAAAATTATTAAATGATTATACGCTAGACGGCTACGGTTAAAATTAATAGACAAGTTTAAGTTCTAAGTTGTGCACGTCAACTTGTCTTTAGATTATCTGTATTGATGACTACTTTCTGAACTATAGAGGTTCATAAACAATATACAACATTATAGTATTATTTGTTGTAATACCTATATTCTATATTTATTAAAAATATTTTTTCGATGAATACCAATTAAACTTCAATAGGAACCGCCTGTGTACTACCAGGGTTCTACATCAAAATACCACACGTAATGCCTACGACTTGTAAATAGCTCAGTATTAAACAATGTCGGTCGTACGCCACGGGATTAATGAAATTTAATCGCTGTGATTAATTGTTCAAGAAGGTTTTTACCGAGTACCATTAGAGCAACCCTGTATGAACAAAAAGGAAAACTGACAAAAGTCGAGCAACTACAACGTTGTAGAGAGATTCAGAAACGAGACTTAGCACGAACTATGACTCTGATATATCAACATTAATCAGTCAATTTTGATATTTGTAATCAGAAACGTTCGAAGTCAAACTTGGGCCTATTTTTTATATATATAACAAGTTAACAAACAGGCAGGAGGCTTATCTGGCATTAAGTGATATGTGCCCATGGAAATTTGCATTGAAAATTTACATTGCCAGAAAGCTCGCAAGTACGATGCCGGCTTTTTAGGAATTGGCTTAATTTACCAAGTGATGAATATCGACTTCGATAAAGATAATATCATTCAAAATACAGATATTTATGCACTATGTATTGTTTAACAACACAAATAAATACTTTACTACGGTTAATTCATATAAACGTTTGCAATTATTAATTATAACTCAAACTAAATGATTAAAAAAGTTCTTTAAACTAGTTATTGAAATTAATTTCCCCTTACAGTTTTCTACTCTAATGTTTCTAGCAGATTCTATTAATATGTGTATAGTATTGAAAACATTATTTATTTTTTACAGATTATTTTAAAAGTTTTCTCTGCAATATTCAAAAACAATAGAAACGACTTAACGTTTTACAAAAACGATGTTTCTGAATGCGTTTATGAAACTTGGCTTGGCCGGGGCTCGGCTTAGCCAGGACCTTAACTCTCTAACAATATCGTCTCTGAATCTCAGCCACGTGAAAGCGAATGACGTTTTTATAAAGTTATTCGTTTTTTTATTTAGTTTTGTCAAAACTCTATTAAGAAAGACATAAAATTGTATGTAGTTTAGTCAATAATAATCCCAAATTAGTATTTTAAAAACTTGTTGTCAAACGCGCTTTCCGACTCGTAGTGAACAACGACTGGTATTTTGGCTACAGAACCCAATCATTATGTAAGCATTAAAGTTGCAGAGTCGAAGTTCTAAGTATGACTCCCGTTTGTCTTAAACGTACTGGATTTGACATACGGCTCTTATTTTAAAACGTGGAAAGTTAATACCGCATTGTTACCATGGTAACCATGTCAACAAGCACGTGAACGTTTTAAAACAAGACCGTTTAGTATTTAAATGTCTAAGTAGAAAAATATTTTGTGTAATACCAAGAATATCTACAATTATGTGCTAAATTAAATTTAATATAAACAAAACTTTCACGATAGTTATTTTACATAATCAAGGTATATAAGACCAATAAATAACACGAATCACAGTAGGTGCTGGACATAGAAAAGTCATATTTAACTCAACATACATACTTTTTTTTAACTGGAAAAAACTTTTATTCAAATTTAAATAATGTAAGTAATTTGAGGTATCTAATAACCATGAGACATAAACATACTATAAACATGTATTAGTTATTTTAAAATATACTTAATAATTTAATTATCATGTCTGTACGTACTCAATGTGGTTCCGAAGGTATACGGGTGACTATTTAATGCTAAATTAATTTTCCTTAGACGGTTGTATGGACCAGCCGAGAATGCGCCTGTCGAAGCCACAACTGAAGAAATTGATACCCGATGACATGTCTTCTGACCATGCGACTGACGTCACCATGCGACGATGACCCTGGGAGATAAACGACGTAATGTAAGAATGAAGAAAGAAAGAAATATTATGTAATTTATTAAATTAAACATATTTCTCATAAGGCTAACTATACAAAATAACCATTGAAACATTCATAGACAAAAATCAAAGGCAAAAATCTTTCAGGATGTCATTATTAATTGTCATTGTCATCTGTCAATGTGTGGAGTGCGTGAGAGATTATGTGCGGTATATAGGAACTATTAAAGCACTAAGCTATAACTAAAGCTATTATAAACCTACAACCTATAGCCAGTAAGTTTTTGAAGTGAAACTTCTTTAGGTAAAATTTTTACGGAACGTCACGAAGATGTGCAGCGTTTTTGTCGAAGAAAAGGGAGAGAGCGATTGAGAATGATTGAGAGAGAGTGAGAAGGGTGAAATACCTTACTGAAATTATATTTTTTAAATTAAAATTAAAATTTTAATGACAATTAAATTCATTAAATTACTAACATATCTTCCTATTTTCCCTCCCTCTAAGTATCGGAATTCTAAAGTTTTAGATTTCCAACTTTTACATGAACAAGAGTTAAAATTTAGTTTGCCAAAGAAGTTTCACTTCTGACATGTGTACTTTGTACGCACGCACTTTCTTTTATAATATGTATAACGTAGTATTTGTCGGAAAGAAAGTTTGAATGGACTCTCTTAATAACATCACGAACCTTGTTGTCAACTTGATATGTCAATTTGCATGACTATAGACTGAGTGTTGCTATAATCATACTTAATTAAGCACCACAGAGCATGTTTTTTATTTGATAGGTCGGGCTTTATATCAATATTTCCTTTCAATTCTCCAATAACCCCACAGTAATACATTCGGTATCCAGCAAAATATATTATTAATATTATTATTAACTTGGAACAATCCCATTTAGGAACCTCCTGAACGCATACAACTAGACTAAACTCGAATAATACGAGCCTTGTAATAATTTACGTTGCTTTTGTTTAGTAAAATTACCTGTCGACTTGACCGCGGTAGTCTCGCAAGCCTTTGTCCCTGGAGATCGAACAGGCGAACCTGCCGGTTATCATGAGGTATGGCGATTAATCCACCGCTGCTCACTGATACCCGGTTAACGGATGAATCCGAGCGAATAGTCGCGAGAGCTGATCTCATGTTCCTGACATCCCAAACCTAAAATTGTTTTTTATAATTATTATTGCTTATTTGGTAACAAAATAGTTATTAGCTATAATAATAGGCTATGTATGTTGCAAACTGTATAAATGACTTAAAAAGCGTTATGGAGTCAAATAACATCATAATTTAAAATATTGATTTTTATTCTTCAGTCAAGTGACACAAAACGGTCACAGATTAGTCGAATCGACAATGACGTATAAAGCTTATAAATGTCTTCGCCTATCAAATCCTAATACTATCCTGGAGATTAAAGTCGTCGGAGACCGTTTAGGTGGAAATATAATATATGTTTATTTGTGTAATTTATGAATGATAATTGACATGCAAAAAAAGTTGACGTTTGTTTACAGGCGGGGAACGTTGTAGGGACTGGAGCAACGCCATATTGCCTAGAGAAGCGTTTCTTCTAAAAGGCAGTTTCATATGGAGAAGAATGGGCAAGAAATTCTACACTATATTTCATTATTAAATAAAAACTGTTTGACAATAGTTATTTATATTTTGAACTTTGAATTAAAAATATGTCCAGAATTGATTAGAATATTTATAAACTTACCTTAACAGAACGGTCATCAGATCCAGAAACCACTTTGTCCTCTCGAGTAAAAACGGCTGATGTCACACTCCTGAAAATACGATTTATATTAATTATTATAGAAATTATAAATTAATAATCCCAGTACTAAGGTAAGTTACTTATAACATTTATTTTAGTATTAATTAGTAAATAGTGTTGGCCTAGTCAAATAAAAATGAATGGCAAAATATTAAGTTGCTAAGCGCAAAACTTGAAGACGGACCTTTTATTTTGGATTTTTTTTATTTATTCCTAGAACTCTTTTCGAAGTCTTTTTTTTATTTAGTACTCGGGTTTTTATTCCGGAATAACAAACAGTCTCTATGGGGTAGCATAGCCAAGTGTTCCATATGTTGGTATGTAGCTACGAAAAAGGTTGATTAAGTAAAATCATATAAAGCGAAACGAAGTTCGCAGGGGCAGCTGGTAGAAGAACAAACGCTTATCCTCTATCAGTAATAGACAAGATGAAATAATGCACTTTTATTACTGGGAACACATCAAGGTGAATAGTAATAGAAATAATTAATTTTTACTCATTAAAAAAACCAGTGGCGCTACCAAAACACATCAAGGTGAATAATGATAGAAATAATTAATTTTTACTCGCTACCAATCCTGTATTTGGCTTCATTTCTGTATCTGTTTCATTTTTTTTCTAATAGACTAGTAGGTGATCAGCCTTCTGTGACACATGCCGTGAACATTTTGGGTCTAAGACATGACAGTTTCCTCACGATTTTCCTTTACCAAGTAAACACCTTTATATACGAGTATTAAATGCGCGTATAAGTCCATTGGTGCACAGCCGTGATTCGAGCGAACCTTTGGGTCGATCGCACGCTCAAGCGTTTATGCATATAACAGCATAGTACATAAGGAAGTAAGTGTGGACACAAGTCAATCTCTATAGATCTATACAAAGATACGTACTCAGTATGGCCCTGAAACACAGACACTGAATGTATGGGTTCTCTGAAGTCCCATAGACGGAAAGTAGTATCTCGAGATGCCGTCACCACTAGCCGGGAACTGTGATGCGCAGACGCATGCGTCAACTCGTGATCGTGACCTGGTAATGAAATAATATAAAATTATTAATAATTTATAAATGCATATATAGAAAATTATATTAATACATATGTAATTTTTTTTCTTTTGTCCAATATACGTTTGTTTTTATAGTCTTTTTTAGTAAGTAGTAGATGAAATGTGGTGACGGTCAGGCGCCAGGGCATCACTTAAGAGGATTTTTTGTGCCTGTACCCAAATATTTCATATTTTAAATATTTATACTTTTCAAATAATATATACAAGCATATAATATTTTCTCACCTGTCAATATTTGTAAGCAATCTCCTGTCTCCACATCATATAAATTAGCGGTTCGATCCCAGGATGCGGTTATCACATGTTCACCTCCAGTTAACCAATCTGCAGCTACCACCACACCCTGGTGCCCCATGAGTTCGGAAAGTGGTGTCCGCAGTACTTCAGGTCTGTCGGTTTCTCCCATACTTTCTTCGCCACCACCTTCCAGCTCTTCTTCTGATGATTGACCACGCTGTAATTGTAGTTAAGGCTAATAAAATGGTCTTGCACTTCTGAATCTGTATTCTTGATGTTTTTCGTTTTGCATAGAAAACTAAACACCCAAGTAATAGACTTCATTAAGACTTTAAGCCTCGACTTGTTGTAGCTATCGCGGAATATGGTTAAAAGGAGTATTAAGAATATCCATAGCGCAAAACCACCTGCATCATGAGCATACCCCACCCCACATACACACCTTCACGTACATACCCTCACTTTTACACCATCACACAACATAGCCAAATCACTTAGTTAAATGTATAGAATAATTTTTATTGTTTATTCCCTTTTGTAAATGTTCGAACCTTTTTGGAAATATTATGTGTTCCATCTTTGGCTATATTTTTAGTGTAATTGTTTGTTTTTATATATAATTTTTATTAGCTTTAGGATAATGAAATAAATATATACGAAATTTCCCGCCTACATCCAGCCTTGTTAAAGTCAAAACAAACTTTGCAGTCCCTATTTGAACCTTTTAGCATTACGTGAAGTTTCCCGTTAAGTCGGATTTTATATGAATCCCTCTCAATTGTTGGACAAAAGTTTACAGAATTCGTAAATGGCTCAGTGGCTTTTCCTCTCTTTTGGTGTTTTCTTATTTATACAAAATGTATGAATTGACCAGGGAAATTTCCTTTTCCCAAAAGAAAAAGCTTACGCCACCATTTAAGTTGCCGCTTGAGTAGACACTTCAAATAGGCCGGGCGCCGCGCGAGTGCAACGGGTTAAAACATTACTACTTCTAATTAATATAACAAATGCTGGTTTGTCTTCGGCCCTTAGTTACAGTTAATGCATGTAAAACTCAGAATTTTTACAAACTATTTTTACCTTTTACAGTAATATGGCACCGTCATATATTAATGTAATACTGAAATATATTTACTGGTAGATCCCAATTTACTGCAGCCTGCCATACATGTGCGGTATTATCCCCACTGCTGGTCAGAGCAATATCCCTGGTGGGGTGGAATTTTAATGAGTTTACTGAACCAGCATGTCCAGTGTACTGGAGTAAACACTTCCCCCATTCAACACTCCATATACATGCTGTGTGATCTAAAATGAGATGTTAGTGCTTTAATTGAGGTCCAAAGTAAATTATTACTGCATTTGGAACAGGACAAAACATGCTTTATGAGACTGATAGCAAACCTCCAGAAATGGAGAGGCACCAAAAGAAGTTAGGCAAAAATACTAATATGAATTAGAGATTTAAAATTTTACAGCTTATTATTCTCCTTAATTCCTGTGTCTAGCAAACAAACAAAACTATTTTTTTTACAACTATTAGTGGTTGATAAATTCTTTAGGATTTAACTATTAAAATCACTATTTATTCATTCCAATCCAGTCCATGTAAATAACATGTAACTTGTAATAGCAATAAGCATAATTATTATAAACTTCATGCACAATGTAATTTAGAAACCTATAATAATAACATAATAATAAAATTTACCTGCTGAAGCAGTACCAATAAGAGCCTGTCCAGGTCTTGCCGAAGACACATCCCAAATACCATCTTTGTGTCCAGTAAACTCCCTTACAAGCTGGCAGTTGTATGTCGGGGCCTTAAAACTGGACACAATTTTACTTGTCTGTACTCTTAATTTATGACTTGTTTTCACCTTCTGAGAATTATTCTGTGATACTGAAAGTTCACGAGAACAATTATCCAACACTGGACAAGATTTAAAGGATTTCATTCTCATTTCTCACATATATTGTGATTTATATGTCAGTTAATACTCTGAGACAGAAAGCACAATGGTTTTATTAATCTTATCTAAATGGTACATACTATCTAAAGATTATTTGGTGTATTGACTTCAAATGTTTTTTATCTTTAAGTCTTTATTTTTAAGAAAATATATTAGGTTACGACTACTTTTTATATCACCTATAGTCTAGAAATACAATAATACAGAAGCTTTGTTTCCTGTTTGAAGTTATGAAATAAAATAATAAACTAAAGATAAACATTAAGATTTTTTAAAATGATTTATATGAATTATACAAGTTAACATAATACAGTAGTATACCATATATATAATAATAAAAAAATGGTGGTAGTGGTAAGGTGAATTTTTAATAACTAAATTATGTAAACACCATTTCTACATAATTAATTAAAAAAACAACAATATTTTTACTTACTTTTTGCTTTTGAGGATTTTCCTGTTGTCTCAAACTCAATGTAATCAGCATTCTGTTTATCGCCAACACAACTTTCTCGTTCAAGTTTTTCACTTAGAATATCTATTTTTTCTTGCACTGTAATATTAAGACATAAATATAATAAATAAAATTTAAAATTAAAACATTTTTGCTTGTTTACATTGAATTGTTACTACATAATTTTCAGATAAATATTAAAACACATGCAAGTTGAAGCATATAAAATTATAAATTAAAAATTTTACGTCAGGTTATAAAAATACATAACTATTTGTTTATATGAAAATAATTTATACACTATGAAAGTTGATAGATTAAATTTAATATAAATGAATTGCTGAAGCAATTTATTACGACTTACGATTTAAATTTTCTGAGTAGAGAAGGTCAAATTCTTTTTCAATCTGCGAAAACAGCTCGTGTAAGCGTGATCTAAAAACTGGTGGAATTGATGTTTCTGAATCCTCCATCTTCAGGTAATTTGAAAGACCTTCAGAACCCTCTGCGAGCGCCTGGAGTCTACGTTTACTGGATTTCATGTTTGGTAATAACTAGCTAGCTCTTGCTTAACACAGGAAGATTCGATCAACTTTTACGTTACATTGCACACCTTCTAGACCATCTGGGGCCTAACTATTCAAATAGGAAAATGAAAATGTGAAACCTACAGAATTAATAAAATAAAAATTTATAGTGTCGTTCGTTTTTATAAACTTTTACTAATGTTTACCAAAAATCAGAATTGATATTTGATTATATAGAATACAGATAGAGTTTTTTTCACCTATCATTAATTTTCCATAACCATAGGCCTTGTTTTTTACATACTCTGTACGAAATAATAACAGATAATTCACTTAAAATTATGACAGGGGTTTAGTCAAGATGCCTTAACAGTAGTGTATGTCGAAAGTCACAAACTATATTTGTATGAACATTTGTCGACACAGTTCGTACATTTACTAAGCCCCTGCCTTCTCGTTTTTGTTATAATAATATAACTTAACTAACTGTCGCTCAGTTCGCTGGGCCATAATCAATAGGGCGTAGTCGGCCCGCGAGAAGCTGGTGGTGGGGCCACATGACCTTTGAAACATGGGAGAATGTCAGATTCTCTAAACGAATACATACAAGAACTCCGCAATAGCAATACCTGCGAAATATCAGATTACCAACAAATAGTCCAATATTTTCTGTTTATGCATTTGTCTTATGTTTATGTTGCACGGTGCGTTGGGTCGCACGTGGCCTACGAGTTGGCGATGTAGCGGGTTAGGGGCTACATCACCTATGAATTAGTAGAATACGCCATTTCAAAAGTTGAAATGCTTTCAAATACTTAATCAAATGACTTCAGCTCCCAGCTTAATATCTTATGTTGAGGTTGTGTAGTGTGCTGGGCCGCGAGATGGAGTGCTGAAGGATTTGGAGCCACTTTACCTGAGAATTAGAAAAAAAACTGCTTATTCCCTTCGGAGGATAAATATTATGTGCAATGATGATTTCCTGTCCAAGTAGAAATGCTTTAACAAAAGTTGCGCAGTGCGTTTAGTTAATATTCTTTTTTGTAAAAAAAATGTTTTAGTCTTTCAAATTTTAGTTAGTTAGTTTTTATTTTTAGATAAAAATAAATTCAAAAGACGGCAAGGCTGATTTGGATTTATAACATATCGTGTCTAAAAATTTCAAAGGAGTGAGGTGGACAATATCCTCATCATTTAGCGTTGTTTTTGGTTAAAATATTTTCGATAGTTATCTGTCTAATTGTTTCATCAGGGGTCTAGCCATATTGGTGTCGAAAAGTATTCTACATACACTACCGCTTTTGCGTAATTGTATTGTCGAAAACGCTTCGTTCGTAGCCAAGAGACATGTCGATACATTACCGCAAAGTCGACAGCGTAGATGCGAGCTGCTGTTCGTAGCACCTTATTCCGTCATATTGTCTCTGGATTAAATGTATTCCTAATGTCACTTTTATAAACAAATAAAAGTTAAAACTTTACAATATTATTGTAAATTTGCAATTGGAAGCTACAAAAGGGACATTAGAATGTCAGCAAGGTCGGAACAATTTTCGATTTAAGTGGAATTTACGGAAGGTGCAAAGTGAATATATGAATTTTAATTGCATGTTTAAATTAATTATGGTTTGTTTCATGTTTTCTCAGAAATTTAAGGCTACAAATAAATACAATATTTTGAAATTGCATAATCGCGATATATAATAATTAGTAGTACTCATACTTTGATATTTTTAGGATTTGACCTCACAACTAATCTACAAAATGAAGAAGCAACATATTTTGTTACCGCTTAGAAGAAACAATAAAAATAGTACTGTGGATTGATAAATAAAAAGTGAAAATAAGGTTGACTAGAAGTTGATAAAGTCCAAGGAATTAAAAAACAATAGAAAAAAAACGTAGACTAGTGTGATCACTGAAATTAGATATAGTGTTCGCGTTGTCGTATAAACACTATATAAATAATAAAACTTGTGTGAACTCAAAGATGTATATATTTATCGTAAAAATAAACCGCGGCGTCGGCAGCGAGATGTACGTGTGTCGCTAAAGAAATCGTGGGCCGTACTGGTGGCGGAGCGCGCTGTGGAATGCGCGTGCCTCGCCCCCCGCCTGCCGCGGAGAACAATAGACACGGTCTATACGTAGAAGTTGGTAAGTACATTTTTAATACATAATTTAATTCTTAGTAATTTTTATTGATGTTTTATTTCAGCTACCAATGACGACGAGGACGCCACATCACTCCCCTGCCGAGACCGTTTCACGGTCGATAGTAGTCCGGAAACTTAACTAATCTTCCACTTCTAGTCTTTTGTTCAGGTGGCGGTGCATCGTGATTGGTGTGGAACGGCAGTGCGGTCATCGGTGGACGAATGGTCGTGTCGTATTCTCTGTTTTCTTTCGTAAGGTAAGCTGGTTTTATTCTGTCTATTGTTACTGTAACTTCTTTGCCTTTTATGTCTAATGAAAATGTTTTTGTATTTCTTTTCAGAACTTTATAAGGGCCGGTATATGGTGATTCAAGCGATCGTTTTGCGGGACCACGGCGAAGAAAAACAAACTGTGCAGTATGTATGTCATTCGGCAAATAGAATGTTTTACTGTTGTGGTTTGATGCAGGAGTTGGGGTTAATGCTGCCATATGATTTCTCAAGCGAGCTGTATAGTCTGCTGGATTTAGGTTCTGGTCAAGCGAAGTTGAGAAAAATTGTCCCGGTAGTCGTAGTGGTTCTCCATATACTAGCTCGGCGGCTGATGCCTGCAGATCTTCTTTCCAGGCAGCTCTTATTCCTAGTAGCACTAGGGGAAGTGTTTCAGTCCACTGTGGGTTGTTGTGACAGATGATGGCTGCTTTTAGTTGGCGATGTAATCTCTCCACCATTCCATTGCATTGCGGATGGTATGAGGTGGTGGGACGATGTTCTGCGCCGATCAGGTTGGTGATGCTTTGGAAGAGTTGTGATTGAAATTGTAAGCCTCTGTCTGTTGTTACAGTTTGTGGACATCCATGACGAGATACCCAGTTGGTAATGAACGCGGAAGCACAAGTTTCTGCTGTAATATCCGCTAGTGGATAGCCATCAGGCCAACGTGTGAAGCGGTCTATTGCTGTCAGGCAGTATCTAAAGCCATTAGAGTATGGTAATGGGCCTATAATGTCCAGGTGTACGTGGGCGAAACGTTCTGATGGTACTGGAAAGGTTGTAAATGGTGCGTTCGTATGTCTGTTGACTTTACTTCGTTGGCAGTCTACGCATTCCTTTGCCCAAGTTTTGCAATCGCGTCTTACTCCGGGCCACACAAATCTTTGAGCTACCATTTTAGCAGTGGTAGGGCCGCTTGGATGGCTGAGTTGATGTATGGTTTCAAAAACGCGTTTGCGATAGGCAGGTGTTATGTACGGTCTAGGCGATTTGGTAGAAAAATCGCAGTACAGCTGGTTTTCAGCAATCTGTTTCAGTTGTAGTGCTGTGTTTTTGGTTAGCAAAGCTTGCAATTCAGGGTCTTGAGCCTGATCTCTTGCAAGTGCGTCGTAATTTATAGTGACAATCTCTTCTACACGTGATAGGGCGTCAGCGACGATGTTGTCTTTCCCGGGGATGTATTTTAGATCGGTGGTGAATTGAGATATGTAGTCAAGATAGCGGAATTGTCTTGGAGAGCACTGGCTTCTGTTTGTTGTGAAGGCGTAGGTGATGGGCTTGTGGTCGGTGTAAATGCAAAAGTTTCTTGCTTCCAACATATATTTAAAGTGTTTGATACCTTCGTATATGGCCAGTAGCTCCCTATCGTATGGACTATATTTTTTTTTGCGATGTCGTCAGTTTACGAGAGAAAAATCCCAAGGGTTCCCAGTTGCCTTTTCGTTTTTGTTGCAAGACAGCGCCGATGGAGTCGTCTGAAGCATCTGTGAATAAGGCTAGATCCAGGTTGATTTCAGGGTGGACAAGAAGAGTGGCTTGAGATAGGCTGCGCTTGCACTCATTGAAAGCTGTTACAAGGTTAGTCATATCGATAGGTGCATTTCCTTTGATGTTACCTGTTAGGGCATCGTTCAGAGGAGCCTGTATCTTTGCTGCATCAGGGATGAATTTCCGGTAGTAGTTTATCATTCCCAGGAACCGTCGGAGTTGCTTTGCTGTTTTCGGCTGTGGGTAGTTGGTAATTGCTTCCACTTTCTCTTTGAGAGGGCGTATGCCTTCAGTCGAGACGCTGTAGCCGAGGAAAGTTACTTCGTTAATGCCGAATATGGACTTAGAGGTGTTTATTAAGATGCCATACTGGTTAAGTCGTTCGAAGACAGTTTTAAGGTGCTGAAGATGGTGTTCTCTGGTCTTCGAGAATACTAGGATGTCGTCAATATACCCATATGTAAATTCCAGGCCTTGAAGAACTTCATCGATGAATCTTTGGAAGGTTTGAGCAGCGTTTCTTAAACCAAAGGTCATAAACGGAAATTCGAACAGTCCGAATGGTGTAGTTATGGCTGTTTTAGGTATGTCCTCATTTGCTACAGGTATCTGATTGTAGGCCTTAATCAGGTCAATCTTTGAAAATATTTTAGCTCCAGACAGCTGGTAAACAAAGTCATTAATCTGTCTTATTGGATATCGATCAGGGATGGTTCTGGCATTAAGTGCTCTATAGTCACCGCATGGTCTCCAACCGTCGTCCTTCTTTTTGGCTAAATGTAAGGGAGACGACCATGGGCTCTCTGATCTACGAGCTGTTCCATTTGCGTACATCTCTTCAAACTCTTTTTCGCAATAAGCAGTCTATCTGGGGCTAAACGTCTGGGACGAGCTGCGACTGGTGGACCAGGGGTAGTACGTATATGATGCTTCGTTTGGTGCTTGGTTTCTTTTGGCTTTCCAGTAGGTTTCGTTACGTCTGGGTAGTTGCGAAGTAAGTCATGGAAGTCGGAGTTTCCAGCAACTGTTTTGATGGTCACCGTTTCCACAGAAATGTTGGCGCAGCGTGGCGCGTTGACGGACAAACTTGTGAGGCCGTCGATGAGGCGGTGACGACGACAGTCCACTAATAGGTTGTAGTGGCCCAAGAAGTCAACACCAATGATGGGTCGTGTGACGTCCGCAACTACGAATCTCCAGGTGAAGTCCCGGCGAAGTCCGAGGTCCAGGTGTAAGGATATGTAGCCATACGTAGCTATGATAGTGTTGTTGGCAGCGTATAACTCATATTTAGTTTTATGACGCTGGTCTCTGGTCGCCGACTTAGGAAAAACGCAAACGTCAGATCCCGTGTCTATCAAGTACTTCAGTTTAGTTTTCTTTTCGACGATGAAGAGGCGGTCATTAGGAGTATGCGTTAGGCAGTCGTTAGCCGCCACTACAGGCTGCCGTTCGCATTTAAAGTCTTGTAGGAACAGGGCGTGAGACATTTTATGGCGCCTTCACCGAATTTTCTGTGGTAGTAACACACGCTATTCATTTTGTTTTCCTTCCATCTTTGGGTGGAGCGTGAGTGAGATCTTGATCTGTTATACCTACGTTGTGGTGATCTGCTTGATCGGCTATTATTCATGCTCAGGAAAGCAACTTGCTTGGTTAATTCGTTAACTTGCCTGGCCAAGCTTTCTAAAACGGTGAGATAGTGGTCTGGAGGATTTCCAGCATGTTGGTTAGCTGAGGACGATGTAGCGGCGTAAACATTTGGTGGTATTTTAATTCCAACTTTGAAAATTTCATGTGCACCTTTTTCCATATTGTCCGTGTCCCCACCGTTTTCGCCTTGCATGGCAAAAGTGCTAAGACCGCGTGGCGTGTAGTTTTTTTCTTACTCTTATCACGTCGGGGTCACCAGTATAGTGTTCGCGTTGTCGTATAAACACTATATAAATAATAAAACTTGTGTGAACTCAAAAGATGTATATATTTATCGTAAAAATAAACCGCGGCGTCGGCAGCGAGATGTACGTGTGTCGCTAAAGAAATCGTGGGCCGTACTGGTGGCGGAGCGCGCTGTGGAATGCGCGTGCCTCGCCCCCCGCCTGCCGCGGAGAACAATAGACACGGTCTATACGTAGAAGTTGGTAAGTACATTTTTAATACATAATTTAATTCTTAGTAATTTTTATTGATGTTTTATTTCAGCTACCAATGACGACGAGGACGCCACATAGAGTTTGATTTAAGCTTTAATTAGGTTTGGTGTTTGTGCTTGAACATTTTTAATGTCAATTTGAAAGCAGATTTATATATAAGTGTAGATTTTATTAGTGATTTGCTACTAGTTGGAATTATCTCTGTTTATGTCCAACAAACAATTTCAGTTTAAGTTAGAGTCATAAAAGTTGATTGTTTATAATATATTTATACTTTTAGAAAGTGAGAATTGAAAAACAGCAAGTACCTACTCAATGAAATGAAAAGAGGAATTAATAAAAAATATAAAATAGAAACTTAGTCTGGTATGAAATTATAACCCTTAATCAACCTTTGATTCCATATTGATGCTCCAACATCTTAGATATAATAGATATAAATTTAAGTTTGATGCTGATTTTAAGTTAATATTTATGTCAATTAACTTTTGGTTATATCAGTGATTTGCTACTAGTTAATATGTAAATGCAAAATCTGTTTAAGTAAGAAATGAATAAACATTGTATGTTATGTATTTGTCAGTTTTATTTTTGGTAATTTACCTATGTCTTCTTTAGTAGGAAAAGCCATTAAAGTGGTTCACAATATTAGTTTATTTTACAAGAATATACAGATAATGCATATATGAATTACCCATACCTACTAATAGTTAGGAATATTAAACAAACAGGCAGCAAAATAAAAATGTTTCAGTTATGGTTATTTTTTATTAAAATAAGGCACCAAATATCTTCCTTAACATAATGCAGTCTACATAGAAAAATAAGCATATGTAACAACTTATTAAACAATACAGACATTACTACTGAACACACGCAGGTGCACCAAATTAAATGCATTACCTAATGATGTATTCATATATGTAGATAATTAACTAATGTAAGTGTTAATTTGCAGCAATGTCAATATCTTGTTTGTGTGCTGTTATATACAAAAAATTGTTCAATTCATAAAACCTAACGTTAGATGTTGTGATGATTTCATAAAATTACTATGATACCTACAGTTACTATGAATACATCCTGGGCGATTAAAAAAATAGTGATTGTTTCCTTAACACAACAATTGTAAATAATAATAGTTATTGTAAAGATATAATTCTTCCCAAAATCTACAAATGCAGTTTGTTTATAATAATATCTCATTAACATTCAAACTGCTGAACTTATTAAGATTAAATGTGGAAGAACATAGTTTCAGTTACTGTTTCCTGTTCTTGAGGTAATGTTACTTAACCAACCATTATTTCATACTCCACTTGTCTTATTTTTTACATTATTCATAAAATGCTTCGTTCCCCATTATCAAATTCATTTTCAGGTACATAATATAACACTTTAATTAATTAAAAGATAAGACTTTAATAAAACTTGTCCATTTGTGGTTTTTTTAATACTTTTAGTTGTCTTTTTCTGAAAATAAAATATTTTAGTTAGTACTTTGATCAATAGGTAACTTTAATATTAAAAGTCTTTACTTCATTCTATACTTAAAAATATACTTAATTTGTCACTTTGCTGCTTATTGTCAATTAAAGTTTTTAATAACCAAACAATGTCAGTAACTCCCAAAGGACTTGAATTAAAACTTCTCATTCATTAACAATATTATAATAACTTCTCTAGTATATTAACTTAGTAAATAATTAAAGAAAATATCTGCTTACCATTAAGTACTTAGTATTGCTCACTATATTTTATATTTCCAAAGTTCATGAAGTAAAAATCCACTTTATTTGATTAATTTAAATCAATATTATATCATTAGCTTCTATTATAATTACAATAAAATATATTTAGAACTTCTAATAATGTTCATTAGTGACTGCTTTCTCATCTGAAATATACAAATAATATGTACAATCATTTTACTTTGTGATTACATAATATAAGCAATATTAAATGGTATATGTATTTTTCAAATTAAAGAAAAATAAAAGATATCCAATATAACTAGGATTTACCTCTACTAATTTGCTGATTTTCTTGATATTTTCATATTTATCTGTGTCTATTATGTTATCCTCGCATTGATTCATAGAAAAACTAAAACTCTTAACTTAAAAATATTGACTCTAGTTTAAATTATTATAATTACACGAGAACGTTAAAAAAAGACAGATAACAAATTAAAACCATTTCGTTAAAATGTCCAATATATGACATGTTTTTAAAACGGTAGCCATTAAAGATGGCGATAGTTGTACTGAATTATTGCAAACAGCAGCTTTTGAGATCACGCTAAAACATGGCGGAGAAACGCCGTTTTTTCTACACTGCCGAAACATTAATTGGCCGTTGGCTACCGAATAGCGTAAGCGTTAATGTGTGTCTTTTCGTAGCACTGTCTTGGCGTCGCTTATTGTATCCCGACTCACGCCTTTAGGGCCTAGGCTACCGACTGTCGACACGAGCTGTCATTTTCATACAAATTTAGTTTTCGACTTTCTACATACACTACTGTTAAGCCATCTTGGCTAGACCCCCTGGTCAAAACCGCTTGCCGCTTTGTCTATGGTGAAATTAAACATGGCCACCGCTGCGTACAATTGACGAAAAACTGCCAGTGTGTCAACATATTATTCAATTTATGATTTTATATTAGGAAAATGTCTTTTTCTGATTTATATGCTAAATATAACTGTACTTATTGTCAAGAAGAAATAAATGGTGTTCGCGTACGATGTGCGGAATGTAAAGATTTTGATATTTGTTTGCAGGTAAAAGACCACGTCCTTGTCATTATTATAAAGTTTTGGCGCTAAATTTGAATTATAAATAATTGCCGGCAATAGAGAAATCCTAATACTTACTTATTTTTGTTACAGTGTTTTTCTCATGGTGCTGAAATTGGATCTCATAAAAATGACCATCCTTATCAGTTTATGGTGCGTTTTAATATTGTTTTTTGTAGAGGCTTGGGTTGTTACTAATAATTAATACTTTTAGGATGCTGGAGCATTTGGTATATTTTTGGGCCGTAACAGTTGGTCAGCAAATGAAGAAGTAAGATTATTGGATGCTATAGAACAATTTGGTTTTGGGAATTGGGAAGATATAGCTAAGCATATTGAAACCAGAACACCAGAAGGTATGTTTTGCTAGAAGCTAGTTTCTTAACTACTCAACCTTTATAATATTTCAATTTAGGACCCCATTTAAATTATAACAAACATATCTGATATTTCCATAATTTTAAATATAAATTTAATTTACTTTGTTAGTACCAGACATAATGCTAATAAATGTTATTAATTTTAGAAACTAAAGATGAATACATAGCAAGATATCTAGAAGGTAGTATTGGACGTGCCACATGGGGTAATGTAGAAAGTACTAGTCGACCATCATTGCACTGCCCTGACAAGGACCAAGGTCCACTCAGCCCCACAGCTGTATCTCGACTCCCACCATTAGCCATAACCACAGATGAGGCAGCTCAACTTGGATATATGTCAAATAGAGATGACTTTGAAAGGGTTAGTTTGCTACACTGATGAATACTTCTTATCACTTCAAAATTTTAAACAATAGAACATATTCTGTAAGTTTTATCAAGCATGGGCTACAACATATTTATATACTAATCTAAACTACCTATTATAATTAAAGGGATAATGTTTGTGAGGTTGTAGTGGGTAATCCTTGGATGCCATGTTATATGTTTGAGCCCTAGTCTATATATTAACCCAAACAATTAAAAGACTTTCATGTTAGTTTGATTTGCAAACTAAGTAGGAGAAAAAATATTCAAATGACGTTTTTTACAAATGCAGTCTTAACAATGAGAGGTACCTATATGATTGAGTTATAGAGAAAAGTTTTAGAGCTTGATAATGCTTACAAAGTTTAAGGGTCACCCATGCAAAGCCTGTGTGGATTGCTAGTATACTATAATTCTGCAGTAATTTTATTTTGCAATATTACAATAGCATCTTATTTAAACAGATTTTAATGTTATTGCATGTCATAAAAGACAATTATGATCCCAAAAAAAATGTCAAAAGTTTAAATAAAAAGAGCAATCATAACCTTTTTTTTAAATACAATATATTGTCTGTATAACTTAGTATATATTTAAATAATTGTGAAGAAACATTCCTTAACTTCAATACATTATGCCTTCCCTGATAAATGCATAGCCCAACACAAAAATATTTTTTTACTAGTAGTTCCAGAGCTGAGTACTTTAAAGAAAATGACTTCAGCTTTATAATCAATTTTTTATTGGCATTATAGGAACATGATCATGAAGCTGAACAGTTGATATCGACTTTGTCAATCAATTCAGAAGATGATGAGCTAGATGTTGGTAAGTTTTTAGACAATAGAACCAAAAGTACTTGTATTATATTGGTGTATTGAATATGCTGTTCCTATCTGGTATTCCCAAAAATATAGATTGATACTACTAGAATCATTTGGGAAATTGAAAGTTAGATATTACTTATAGAGTTTACAACAATAGGCACAGCAAAGAACTAAGCAGCCACACTAAACTTGTTTTGCCATATTTATCTTTTTCATGGTTATAGAAAATTTTATGATTGTATTTGCATTTCAGCTCTCAAATTATCTCAAGTAGATATATACACCCGGCGACTTCGTGAAAGGACGCGAAGAAAACGTCTCGTTCGAGACTATCAGCTGGTATCTGTGTTCTTTAATAACCAAAGAAACAAGCAAAAGACACTCGGGAAATTAGCCAAAGAGAAAAAGTAAGTAATTAACCAAACTGAATCCACTAAGCTATATTAGTAACTATTGCTATATATGATTATTTCACAAATGATTAAGTGGTTAAGAGAGAGAGATTACTTTAGTTTATTGTCAATTTTTCCGAAGCGTACGCAATGTAGGGATTTTTATTGGTATTTTTTTACACCTTGGGTTCCATTATCGAAGTTTTCATATGGATGTTTAATGATGTTATTGGAAAATATACTATCATCTTCATCAGGGATAATGAAGGATACTATCGGGGACAACGGTAAAGACTATTCCATGAAAATAAACAAATTTGATTAACTCACTTAGTTAAAAAAAATTGTTTATTTTTCGCTTTATTATCTTGGGTATTTCATTAAAAACTCACGCTTTATTTGCGTACCACTAGTTCTGTGTAATTTAAATCATCAAAGAGATCAAATAAATAGTAATATCAAAAAAAGGCGTTGTGGTGTGTTGGTCTCCCCGTGGCTGTTTAACTTATTCAAGAACATCTGTCTGAAAAATATTAAAGACAGTAAACGGGGATTAAACATGGACCAGTTACTAGTAAATTGTCTCCTATACGCTGACGACCAAGTGATATTGGTTTCTTTGTTGGATGAATTGCAGGTGTTGGTTACATTTATAAGTTCGTGTACTTAGAGTGTATGTTAACTCCGGATGGAAAGTATATGTATATCATAATAATATAGAAAGACTGGTGAATGCTGAGAATAGAGTAAATGGGGAATGGAATGCAACGTCCTTTAAAATAAAAATAAATGATTTCAGAGAATTTACAGAGCGCCTTCGTTGGACGGCACAGTTCTACGGTCGATCAGAACAAACAAGCGTAGTAAGCGGTCTTTGGCGCGAACGAGAGCTACGCGTGCGATTGGCTGAATTACACCGTTACAGATTAGCAGGCGTCACACGTTTAGAAGAATGCGCGCACTACGAGCAACACGCGTTGCATAGAAAACACGGACACGACGTGAGGCTTGCCCTGGTACATGTGCTTCGCTGCTTGTTATCTGTGGATTTGACTTTAGAATTAAGATTCAAAAGGTCTAGATACCAGGCCATAAACTCCAAAAAAAAAACATTAAGATTCAATGAGTACAAATTTCAAATATGAAACAAATTTTGTTTTTGACATCTACATTATGTTGGCTATTATATAAAAAAAGAAAATAGCTAGGTTGTGAATATTGTATCTGTCGTATTAAAACAATTCAATTTATGGTATGGATATTGCAAATCCAGCCAGCCTATTGATAGATATTGGTGTTTGTGATTATTATTATTATTCTTGATACCTTATAAAAAGTCTCCAATGTTTCCGATCCACAGATAACATTGTGTTTTCTATTTTATTTGCGTTTCATTGTTTTGTCTTAAGTTTTTTTTGTGCATGATTCATGCTTTGTCCAGCTTTGCGTCAGCGATTTCGTTGATAGCTATTAGACTAGACAAGTACCAAGAGTTAACTTACATTTACACTTTCATTAGTATGGTTCATACAGGACACACAAAAAGCAAAATTTTCTTTTGCGTCTTGTCTTGTGAGTTCGTCGTGTGTTGTGAGTTTGAATTCGTATACCGGTTGTTTTTGTCAGGGCAGCAGTGGGTGTCCGGACACACAGACAAAAGACTCGTCGACAGGGCTGCAGCTAAGAAAAAAGTGAGTTATATTATAAAATATCTATTTAGTAATTAGACATTTTTGTTTAAAATAATATTACAAAAATTTTAAACATTTAAATTCTCTGATTTTATTTAAATTTAAGAGTAGGTACTTTTCGAGGTCAAGAATAGACAATTTTAATAAAAAGGCCGTCCCTAAAACAGATGTTTTAAAAAGTTACCGTTTCCAGAGACGCCGAAAGCGCCTCAAATTCAACCATCCCAAAGTGCACACAGGACGGAAGTACCGGATGTGGATGCTGCAAAAAGAACTGCTCCAACGCCGCGCAGAAGCTGCTCAACACTAATGAGGCACAGGTAATCAGATTTTTTATGCTTGAAAACTCTTATATAACACTAAACATGTATTTTGTGTGAAAGTAAATTATTATTATAAGTTATGATTAGTTAAGATGTCCAATTGATTTTGTATTTTTTTCAGATTTGCAACACACTCAGCTTAGAGCCTACGCAATATATAACAATGAAGGGAATGCTTCTGCGAAGATCAGCCACGACTCACGGCGAGCTTGACCAGGCTCTTAAGCAATACTTGCACGCGGCTGGTTGGATACGCAATTAATCACAGTGAAAATAGCTCTGAAATATCACGGTCATGATAATCACAGATACAATAACAGTGGATTGCATTTCTACAGTAAAACAAGAATATGTAATTTAAAAAAAAAACAGTGCTCTTGGTGAAATAAAGAGTAAAGTGTTAAAGTGAAACTGAAGTTTGTTCTATTTTGTATTTACCATATATACATTTACTAAAGAAAGTGTTGTGTTGTGAAAAGTTCTTCATTGCAACGTTATATGTAAGTTCACTTGTTTTTTTAAGAAAATTGCCACTAAAAAGTTTACTAGTTAGTGCTAGGAGCTTTTGTCGGTTTAGCCAATTATATGTATATACTATATTGTAAATATGCATTCAATTGTAAATATATTCATATACTGTGTTTCATAACATTCATATTAAATACCAGAATCACCATGACTAAAGGCTATTTTTTAGTACCAAAATTATGTCTTATAAACACTCGTGTTATAAGACATAATTTCATAATTTTAAAAGCTACAAAGCAATGAAAGGTATATTAAACAAATATTTTAAAAAACACAGTTGCATAGCAAATAAAATCATTCAGTATTGCCTTTGTGTAGTTAAATAATAATAATTGAAGTCCACCATAATGGAAAGTATAAAATGAAATTGTAAATTTGATCATGTATTATATAGCATCACTAATGCGTCAGATTGCAAAGATTCACGAGTCGAGATTTAGCACTAAGCGTGTCAAAAACAATGAATGTTGACATATGAGAAACAGTAAGCACTTAGTCTCGACTTTGATTTTTATCCTTAGGGTTTATAGGTATGGTATGTATTGAATTACCAATTTTTAAGTATGGGCATTTTGTCTTTTTTTATATAAAAAGGTAATAACAGTATTTTAACTGCAAAAAATGGGCTGTTTATTGAAGATTACCTCATAAAAAGTTACATTCTTGAATATTAGTTGTGTATATATATGAGAGCCACAAGTATGCTGGTACCAAGGGAATAAATAATTTGCATAAATCAACTGCATGAGTAAAATTTTGGTCTCAAAGCATGCCATGTAACCATACAAATTTTTCATATGTAAAATAAAATTGTGGCTGTCAAAATTACAACACTGGTAAATTGAGTTTAACCAAAGATCCTTTCCACCTTATTTATCTTACCCGCACTTGTACCTTATTATACTGGTTACAAGATCATACATATTGTATAGAATACTCCTATGACTGTTGTATATAGTAATAAATTGATGATACTGCTTCTTTGTTGGAAGTTTTAAGTAATGTTATTATGTAAATAGAATTACCATTTTAATGTAAATAAAATTTAAACTTTTAAGTTAAAAAAGACAAAAAATAAGAGTGATTTTTACAGTCTGTCTTTGGGATTTAAGACTTAGCGTGAACTACCTTTTATATATGGGAAATATACTTAGCACCAAGTCCAGCCTAAGTTCTGTAATCAAAATTTCAGTTATAATTACTCCTTACAAAAAACAGTCTACATTTGTAAAAAAATTGTAATTTTAGTTAAGTATATCTTTATAATTTCTTTTTCTGCAACTTCATGATGATTCACGATGACATGTGACATTATTTATTGACTCATAGAAAATTTAACAGTTATGTTATAGTATTTTTTATTGTTGTGAATTGTTATAACATCAGAACGTTTTAGACTTTTCTTTATAAATGTCCCAACATTTTTCCCATAAACAAGTTATAACATTATTAACTTACGGAAACAGATTTGGAGAGGTTATTAATCATGTATGTAAACTAATTTTGTATTTATTGATTATCTTATTGATCTCTCTATTATTAAGTATGATATGGAGCAAGTTCTTTGGTAAAAAAAGTGGGTTTTTCAGACAATTCATATTGAGAATTATCTTTCTTTGTTAACTGTACCAAACAGCTTGTAAAATCCTCATACTGAGGCACCAAATTTGATGATAATGATGAAAAAAATAAAATATATTTGTAAATGTATGTTAGTATATTATTAAAGATATAATAAGGGATCTCTATATTGCTGTTAAACTTTTTTACTTGTCCCTGTCTTAACCTGGTAAAATAACTGAATGCTTTAGCTAAAAATTCAAGACAAGTGGGACACAAGGTGTTTTTTAGAAGTCTTATGTATCCTACCCTTAAATGCTTGCTCTGATGTAAATAACTTTACAGTAAGGTAAGCACGAATTGTATAATAATTTTGTAAAATATTGGAATACGTCATTGCCTCTGATACAATTTTTTGATTTGATTTTGACATCTCGAATGCATAAATTTGCAGACGTGCTATTCGAACTCTCTCTACTTTCCTTGTATTTGGTTACAATAAAATTGTATTGTTAATCTCTTTTTCGTGTTAAATCTATTTTCGTGCTGTGGTTTAGATTAGCTCGTATTACTGTTATTTCATTTTAAATCCGACCAATTTCTATGATTTTTAGGGTTTTACTAATTTAACTTTGTTAAGTATAGAAAAATCTTGTTTATATAGAAATAGTCGTTTAAACGAGATAAAGCCAATAATGATATAGATAGCAACGAAAACTAAATCATATAACTTAAGACTCTAAATATCCATTGTTTTGTCATTGCTACTCTTGTCACTATAAACATAATTGAATGGAACTAAATATTTGTATATTTGGGGAATATTATTAAAACATATATTTCTTCAACAGAATTCAAAATTGTTTCTGCTATATGCCAAAAATGCTTTATGTTCCATCTTTGTAAAGCATAATAATATTAGTCGGAATTGCGTGCTAAAGAATAAACTAATAAATATGATTTGAAGTCCATGTTCATTAATTCTAGTACAAGTGTATTATACATTGTTTTATATATTGACTCGAGGGTAATAAAATGTTTAATTTTAATTTGCGTTTTATTTTATTTACATAGATTGTGTCACGCTTTTAAAAGTTATCGTTTCGTATTCAAATTAGGTCTCGGCATATCTTCTAAATTGGCTGGAGTTGGTTTCGTGCGAAACCACGAATGTCTTAAGGCCTGTAAGTATAATATGATTAAATAAAGTTAAATTTGCGAATGAGCCTTATAATGTGCTTTTCTACCAATTTTGCCAAGCAGCAAACTGGCGTGAAAGGAATCTAGTCTGACAAAAAAATCTATACCTTAACATCTTAACCACCTTAATGATGGCTTGAAGTCTTCCACAGTGCGCTACACTAGGGATTTTCTTTTGCGAACTAGCGAAATGTGGAATGGTCTCCTGATGTTTAAATAGAGAGCAACCTCAAGGGCCGGCAACACACCTACTAAAATGGGCTGCGATGACTGCCCTTTATGGGCGACCCTTGCTCTCTATCATATACAAAAAAAAACATTCTTACCTCTTTAGCAGATATCCTTTTATTCTCATCATAAAGTAAAAAAGATTTAATAAAATTAACCGCATCTGGTTCGACTCCCGGCAAAATTTCTGTCCACGACATTGGTGGGCTTTCGGGAAACGTGATTTTATGATAATCCGGTAGATTTGAATGATCGGGCCATGAATCTTCGGTAGGTGTACCCAGGTGTTGTACCACTATTGCTAGTTGTTCTATGTCTGATTCACCCTAAAATTATCTCAATTGTAAAAATTTAAACAGGTAGGAAAAGTCTTATATTTTATAATATAAGACTTTATAATAGCTTCTGAACAATTTTTATTCGTTTGACGCAATATAAGTATTGTTACGTTAAAATTCGCTAAAGACATTTACCGTAATTTAAAAAAAACAATAGACATTATATGGACAGGAAGATGCAGAAAGCACTTGCCGCCTCAAATAAACACTTAGATTTTTTTTAAATGCAATACTTATTCGTTAACAACTTACAGCAAAGAGTGGCTTCTTAGTGATCATCTCCGCGATAATACAGCCTACTGCCCAGACATCGACATTTTCAGTATAATATCGTGCTCCGTACAATAATTCTGGTGCCCGGTACCACCTTAAAACGATTTAAGTTAAAAATATAATGTCTGCTTAGGAGCTCCCATCCCAAAACCCATTTTAAATTATATTATAGGCTAAAATTTAAGTTAGTTACCTACCTAGTTGCTACTTGATGAGAGTATGGTCGACCTCCATCTGGCCAAAATAATCGCGCGAGACCCAAATCTGCTATCTTCAAAACGCCTTCATGGTTTATAAGTAAGTTTGCCGGCTTAAGATCCTATGAAAAATAATTATTGTTAGTTCTCAAGGCAGTTAATGTTCCATTTTGATGTCGAAACTATTTTCATCCTGCAGAAAGCTGTGTAAAAAGGCTTACTATAAAGTTAACGATTATCTAGTTGATAAAAGGGTCTGGGACTAGTGCTAGACAGGCTACTTCTAATTAATTTGCAATATTTGTTTTAAAATAAGTGTTGTTTGATGATTTGCTATTTTAAAAGATTACCGAGAGTTTTTTACGCCGCCTTTTTCTCTTCTTTCCCGATGAGTAGGGATGTCTACCTATTCAAATTTAATGACGTGGAATAAGTGATACCTGTGTCTTATGTTCCTTAGTAAACATATTTTTTATTTCATGTGTAATTGTTGTGTATCAGGCTCGCTAAGCCAAAAATGTTACACATTAGTAGGTAAATGAATTTTTAACGGTTTCATGTAAAAATGGCCCTTAACAGTTCTAGTATATAATTAGCTTTTAATTGTGTTGGATGACGCTTAACGTATGTATGTTTTACATTAAATTAATTAAATCTATTTAATTATATAAAATAATTCACTCAATCTTTTTACGTACCCGATGCATAACATAATGTGCGTGCATATATCGTGTTCCTTTTAAAAGCATCTGCGCATACGCTTTTACTCTTGGTAGAGTCAACTCTTGTTGTCTATGATGCAGCATATCCCATAACCCTGAGGACATGTACTCGAGTACGAGAACTAGGCTCATACCTCGTGGAAACATGTCATAGAGTTTTATTACCTAAAAATTAAAATAGTGACATTTAAGGTATCTTTTAGAGAACTGTTACACGACATGGGGCCGACATTGATTTGATTGTTAAGGGGGTTATTGTATTAAAATTATTTGCAATGTGAATTTCAGGTTTAGATTATAAGTTTTAACAATTTCCTAGCGATTTCTTCCTAAAAACTATCATTTAAGTTAACAATTCAATTTTTTTAAAAAAAAAAAATTATGTATGTAATTATGTATATATTATTATGTTTTTAAGGGTAAGACAGACCTGATTGTGATTGGTTGGTCTATACTCTAGACTCTATGTCGATCTCAAACCCAAGAGTCGATCGCCTATTTCCGATGTAATATTGATAATAAAGCTGTAGAAATGTGCTTACTCCATACTTAATTGAATTATATAGTTAATAAACTTGATAAATAATCGAACGCAAACATACATATTTACACCGGAGCAGTTGCAGAGCCTTTATCTCTCGCATAACATTAACTGGTATTCCTTCGTCTATGTTTTTGATAAGAATCTTCTTTAGGGCCACCTCACGGCCGGTTGGGAGATGATTAGCCTTAAAGACTAGCCCATGGGCACCCTCACCTATTCTCCCTACTATTGAATAGCTCGTAATATCCCGATTCATTGTATAAAAAGAATTAAATGTTAGTTTATGTTTGTTTTGTTCATGTTGCTAAGGGAAACAAAGTCATAGACGATATAAGATCTTTAATTATAGATTAAAATTCAGAGTATAGAATATGGTGCAAGCTGTGTTACTTTCTGGAAACCGAATTAAAAAGAAAATATTTTATATTTTAATACGTACCTATAGACTTGTTTACGGCCGATACGATAAATGTATGTACTTCAGTAAATTCAGGTTGTACCTATGCAAATTAGGTCATATGATTATCAAACTTACAAATATAACATGAAGTAAAACATAATTTAAATTAATAAGAAACTATTTTATTATTAAACCACCATTGTAGCCAAACTTTGCCACGCAATTAATGGCTTTGAAAAGTGAAACATCAGAGAAATGGACACAAAATTCTTGCTCGGTCTGGTGTTTATTATTTAAACTAAACTAAAATAGCGCCCAAAAAAATTATGTCAAACTTAGTTTAAGATAATTACAAAATTAGAAAGCTATTATCCTACATTAAAAACTCATTGTTAAAACCCATTTTAAATAGAATCCAAATTAACAACAGAGACAAATTATTTCGACCTTCGAAACACTTGTTTAATTAATGTAGCTTGATTAAATAATTTTTCGAAAAAGGTGAATAAGAATATTGCTTTCAGTTACGTTCGGTTGTGTTATACAAAATGAGGGCTTGGAAAATTTGTTCGGTTATAATTGTTTCTTTATGCACCTACGTGCAAAGTGCATCTATTCTTGCACTATTTTCGTCCCTATCGTTTTCTGACCATCTCGTTTTCCGTGGATATGTTTCATTGCTTGCTCAACGTGGTCACTCAGTGGTTGTAATGACTCCATACCCTGGTCAATTCCCTCCACAAGAAATGGAAAGGATCGTCGAGTTGAACGTTGGGGCTGAATCAGGACCATTTTGGGATGAGTATAAGAAACTAATGACTGATACAGATGATTATTATAACCGCTTGAAAGATATCAATGAATTCACATTAAAATTAGCCATCGCACAGCTTAAGTCGAAGGCTATGTCATCGTTATTCATAAACCCTAACGTTAAGTTCGAATTGGTGATAACAGAGGCCGATGTTCCACTTTTGTATGCGATAGCAGAAAAATATGACGCACCACACGTTTCCATTACTACATCGATTGGAAAAGTTCACCAATACGAAAGTAAGGGCACGCCAATTCATCCCTTGCTGTATCCCGATGCAAATGTACTCACCTATAGAAACCTAACGGGGTGGCAGAAGATTGTGGAGTTCTATCGTCATTACCAAACTAGGAATGAATATTACTACAATCATCTTCCCCTTAGTGAAATTGCTGCGAAGAAAATGTTTGGCTTAAAACGTCCTCTTATTGAAGTCGAATATGACATTGATATCTTGTTGATTGCTGCTAACCCCACTTTGATTGGTAACAGACCAACGGTACCCGCAATTTCGTTTGTCGATCGACTGCATATTAAACCAGGTTTTCCGTTGCAGCAGGTAACTATTGCCATATTTACATCATGCTTTTATAGAACTACATTTCATAAGGACCTGTTGTTTCACTTGGCTTCTCGAGTTTAGAAATACATATGCTTTTTTAGGGTTTGAAGGAGATTCTTGATTCGGCTACTAAAGGTGTTGTTTACTTCAGTATTGGTGCTCTTCAAGAGCCAGAGCATCTTTCCACAAATATATTACAAACCTTGACGGATGCTTTTAGAGAACTACCATTTGTAGTATTATGGAAGATTGGAAACACGACTATGATTAATAGGCCAGACAACGTTATTTCTAACTTCTGGTTTCCACAGCAAGAAATTTTAGGTATGTTAGACATTTCTTTTCGTCTCGCATTAATTGAGACTCAATTTGATTTCATTAACATTATGTGGGTGTTAGAATATTCCATGATTACGATATTTACTTTAGTCAAGCGTTACAGTATGGAAATAATAAAATAATATTTAAAACGTATGCTTTTATAAGTTTATATTAGATTGTTAATGTTAGCATTTGAGAGGGAAGAGTTGGAAAATTTTAGAGAATTGTAATAATCACTTGTACATATTAATAATACGAAAATTTGACGCTTATTTTTAGCTCATCCAAACGTTAAAGCTTTTATAACACACGGAGGAGCTCGGTCGTTGGAAGAGGCTCTGTTTTATGAAGTTCCCATTATCGGTCTGCCAATAGTACGGTCTCATAAAGTGTTCATTGCTGAGATCACTCGTCATGGAGCAGGAGAAATATTAGACATCCACTCCTTAGAAAAAGATACAGTGAAGAAGGTTATAAGCGACGTCGCTAACAACGAAAAGTATGATATTTATTTTGATACGTCAGTTTAGAATTGAATCAAAATCAAATCTAATTTAAGAATAAATTCTCTAAGAACATAACATTATATTTTACCCATTTTATTAGATAAAATATATAATTATTTTATTTGTAAATATGTCGTAATTAAATCTCTAATAAAACGATTATGTTAATCATTTACCGTGAAATAAATGAATTGGATTTTATATAGGACAGTTTTTTAATAATGGTATTTTTTATTTACAGTTACAAAAAGGCCATGATAATATTGAAGAGCAAGGTTGTGACGCCCATGATATCTGGTCCTGAAAATGCCTTATGGTGGACAGAGTACGTATTACGAAATGGTGGAGCTAAGTACCTTCGTTCACCGGCTGTAGGTCTAACTTTTATTAAATATTATATGTTAGATATAGCCGCTATTATTCTGTCGATATGTACTGTATTACTCGTGGCTATATACTTAATTATAAGAATAATTTACAGACGGCTTCGTCAACGTTTTATTGCTAAATTTGAAAAAGATGGCAAGTTTAAGGAACTGTAATTTTTTAACAATATCAGTAGATACTATATTTTTTTGTGTGTGAGAACTACCTATCTACTTTTATATTTTAAATTAAGTTGAAAAAATATAAAATTTATTTTACCAGTGTATTACTTATATTAAAATTTAAAATTTATTTTACCAGTGTATTATTTATAATAAAATCAGTTTCATTTACTAATAATTATATATTATTTAGCAACAATTCAATCACAATATATTTATATCATACTTTACTATACGAAATATGATTCGTATAAAACTAAACATATAAAATATGTATATGTCACCGTAAAATTGTAAACACCGTTAGATTGTAATCTATCTCGCGAGATTGTAAACTGTCGAAATATTGTCAACTCAGTGTACTGCTTACAATTTAACGTATTATTATTCGGTAGATTGTAATCTATCGAAGTGAAACCGTCAAATTGTGAAACGGATCGCACCTCGCGCGCTGATTGGTTGAACGGAATATGCCCCGCGCCACCATATTTGTTTGTTAATTCGTTTGTTGTCGAATGTAAATTGATTGTTTTGATGAATGTAAATTGATGTCGTGTTGAAAGTAACTCACAGCTTTAGAATTAGTTATATGAAATTGTTGGGAAGTAAAATTAATCTGTGATTGACCAAAGAAGGTTGAATGATAACTAAGTTAGTATTGGAAATGAAATGAAAGAAAATTTAATTACTTTTTCAATTTTAATGTATGTTTGAAGAGAAAATATTGTTACGTTTCAGATTTTTTATTTTGATTAAAAAAAAATTACCATGTTGTCAGAATTATTGATCCTAAGTAATTAATAAATACTGGATATCACAATTCTTGAAGTGCATTCAGTTTATTTGACTGATACCCGTGTTTCATTCCTAACTCTATGGACATAGAACGGTCTACTATAAAGCCGACCAATCAGGGACAGCTTTCGGACAGTTAACAGTTTGACAATTTTAAGATTGTAATTTGACGGTTTCACTTCGATAGATTACAATATATCGAATAGTAATACGTTAAATTGTAAGCAGTACGTAGAGTTCACAATCTTTCGACAGTTTACAATCTTGCGAGATAGATTACAATCTAACGGTGTTTACAATTTTACGGTGACATATATATCAGAAAATTACTAGTGTTAAGTGTATGATTATATTAATAAGTAGTCTATGAAACCAGTGTGGGCTTATCTATGATTTGCTAGCAAAAAATTATGGATAAGTAATTTCCGTTCTCTCATCTAAAATATCAGATCAATTTTGTTCTGACGCATTTTAATGATGACTTTTATCAGTCAAAACAAAAATATATAACGTTTCCACGATATTCAGTAAAATATAACATATTACAACCATAACGGCGCTATATCTCAATTAAACATTTAAAACTACGCAATACGCATGCGCTAGAACAGTCGTTATCACAGATAATAAAACTACTAGAATAGCAAAAATAAAATATACACAATAAAAGTTGGGAATTATAGAAAATATTAATTTTTCTTTTCGTTTTATTGATATATTCCTTAATTTAAGTCTAGTGAAGTTATGCATGCATATACGTATCAACGATCCAGTAGTAGAGTTAAGTTGAACTAAGTTTTTTTAATCGGTTAAAAATTATAATAATTATAGGTCTACCAGGATCTGATGGCAAAAAGGGAAAAAAGAAATTGACGCTAGCAATACTGGGGAAATTGGAGTAAAACGTTTTGATACTTTTTTTTCCTTATAGCGGCTGATACATGCAAATATAAAAATGTATTCAATGAACAAGGATAATTTTTGAAAATGTGGCGAATGTGGGTTTGAAATTTAGATGAAAACTCCAATTACTCTGTTCATGAGTTTATTAATTAATTAAGAACTTGAAAATGGTTCCAAATACTGCACATCCATAAAAAAGTCTTCAACGCCGTATTTATAATAAACCTTTCCTCCTGCATCTCAATTAACCGATCTTGTTCTATGAATTGATTTTAAATTTTTATTACATGTTCACAATATTTTCACCATTCATCGATCCCTATTTGAGAGAAAGAAACAGTGTACAACTCATTTATCTTGTTTCTGATCAATTCTAAATCAAAACTATCCAAGTTTATTTGTAGTATAAGAAACCCCTGAAATAAACCTAAGTTTAGTATAAGTACATAATATAATACACACGAAAAATCCCATAAACCAAAGTATCAAGACGTGTCATTCCTACTAACCAGTCAACGCTTGCACGTGGCTCAATATCGATGATTGTGTATGATCTGCATCTTGTTGACCAAGTATTCTTTGATAAACATTGAAAACAATATGTCTTGCTTGCGGTCGAAGAGGTTTCTTCGACATTTTCATCACTTTTTAAAAGAAATTTGAAGCCAAACCAAAAACAATTCCTCGAAATTTCACTTGACAGATGAATTTTTTCTTTTATTGCCATATGCAAATCGCTAATTTTTAAAAAAAATTTTTGCCATCAGATTCTGGTAGACCTATATCCTTGGACACAGAGAAACTGAAGTGAAAAGTGAACACTTATGATCCGAAACCTCTTGGGTAGAAAACTCCACAGATGAGTAAGTAATTGTTATACTCTTTGGTAACCGTATTCTGTGCACTTAACAGTAAATAAAAAAAAATATTAAATTATATCAATATTATGTGTGTAATTAGTAGATTTATTTAAACTTTTTTAGTTATTGATATATCGGACCTCGCTTTAAAAGTATTATTAATTTCAACCAAATAAGTTTCAATAATAATAAGGATGTCAGCAGTAAGAACTTGTCCCGGTTTATATTGTGGTCGTACAGAGCTAGTAGATAATACTTGGAGTGATTGTGGTGCATGTCCTCGAGGCTTTCGTACAAATGCCTCCAGCTATTGCGTGGAGTGTACCGATGAGCCCACATTATACGACTGGCAATATCTTGGTTTTATGGTTCTCCTACCACTTGTGCTTCATTGGTTCTTTATTGATATGGTTGCAACCGGGAAAAAGTAAGTTACTGTTGGTCGTAATACCTGTTACAGCGATTCAAGCATGAACTGTGGTTTCTTCCCATTTATAAATAAGTTTAAAGAAATAAACATATTTACTATAACATATAATCAAGACATAACTTAAATATTTTAGAGTAACTTACAATTAATTAAGAATAACTTGATTCCAGAAAAATAACAACTGTCATGCAGCACTTTTGTGCACTATCCGAAATTCTCTGTGGGACTCTAGCTGCATTGTTGGTACTTCCTCCAGCAGGTTCCCTTGCTTTGTATGTGTGCACTCCAAAAGCCTTGTCCGACTGGTATACCTTGTTGCATAACCCTCAACCAGATTATAAGGAGACACTACATTGTACACAGGAAGCAGTGTATCCATTGTAAGTGTATTTTTTATCATTAATCAGTTTTGCTTGACTTAATTCATATTACTTTGTCTTAATACTAAAAAGATACAAAGAAGCTATGTAAAATTTAATTATATTATATGAGTGCTTCTTTTATGCATTTGCAGATGTAACTCCTATCACTTTAACAATTTTCATCGTGAAACATGAAATTTTTCTTCAAATAATTATTCCACATTGATAATTCTAAACATCCTTTGCAGATATACAATCATTTTGCTTATTTATGCATTCAGTTTACTCCTTACGGTAACTCTAAGGCCAATACTTCTCATTTGGCTGAAGAATAACTCTGGCAAAAAGGCTATATACTGTGCCCTTTATTTCTATCCCATTCTGGTTCTCACACACACAGTTGCTGCTGGATTGATATGTGAGTATAAATTTGGTGTCCACGTCAGCTTATAGAGAAGTCTATCCTAAGTGGAATTGTGCTAACACCTAGAACAACATTACAGTAATTGAAGATATGCATACTTACTTTAGCTCATTTGTTTTATTACATTAACTTGACATTTAAGTTGAGAATGTGTGGAAAGAGAACTGTCATGCGATTTGAGGTTGCCGCAGTATTAATTTACCTTTATGTTTATATAGTTTGGCAGTAATCATGTTGATACTTAATATAAAACATTTAAAGTATAAAGTTTTGTGAATAAATGAAATAAGACTTATATTACTTAGCATAGAGTTCACTTTTTTCATATGTAGTCGAATGTTTAATTAATTGGTAATATCTGATTTATTTTCAGATTGTGCATTCCCATATATTATTATAATAATATCAATGATGACTTCAGCATCTCACTTCTCAATCAAAATAGATCAATCTGCTCCAGCTCTTCTAATATCTTCGATAAAAAACACGAGAAATCTTATAATACTTGTAGGTCATTGGACCATACATGCATATGGCATTATTTCTCTTACTGGATTCAAAGAACTATGGTACCTTACACTGGTTCCGGCACCAGCTTTGTTTTATATACTAACAGCACAGTTTTCAGATCCCTTGAAAATTCATAATGATTGACTAGTACAAAGCACTTTAGAAAAAATGGTGCTATTTTGATGTATAACAAGTCAAGCAAGCGATGGACTTGATGAATGGCAATGATTAGTGAAATGTGAAGAAATAAAGGGAGAAGATTAAGGTCCAATTACATCAGGTTTCCTTATTCGTCATTCCAAATAACTTGATCTCTACATATATGTGAAAGTGCAATAATTACCAGATAGGATATTATTAAGACATTCTTGAAAGTCGAAGACATTCATGAGGTTTTATTATTAGCGTTTTTATGATCATAACTGAACCCGTGACTTTGTGGCTTTACAATTATTGTTATCTTATTTATGATATCTGATGTTATTATAAATTTAATTCTTAATTGATGGGATTATTTTTATGGTTTTTTACTTTGGAGTAGCCAGTTGAATGTGACACAAAAATGTTTTTTTTTATTCCTTAATAAATAGTTCTATAATTTCTGTCCAAAACCGTCATAATATATTTGAAATTTTTTGTTGCACCTAAGTTCCATAAGGTCTTAATTGTTCAGATTACACATTTAAAAAATTAATCTTATTGCACAGTACTTTTTCATCTATGTCTATTAAAATGTGCTTTGTTAAGATACAGATGCGTCTCTACATTTAAGTATGGATTTAACAAAGTAAATGAATTATGTTTTGTTAGTGGCATGTTCTTAAAGCTTTTATCTGTGGTATCTGCAGTATTGACGTCATAGACCAAGAAAAAAACCGCCAAGAATTAACTATAGGTCTCGGGCAGCACTCTCTACGCGCGCTATTTGAACTAAAGGATGAATTGCACTGTTTCAAACAGTATTCATGTGAATTACGAAATTTATTAACTGTATGGAGAACGTTGTTAAAGGTGACTGAGTCTATCTATGTGAAAATGGCTATCCAAGTGATAATTGTTAATAGAAAACAAAAATGTAAATATTGTGTAAATAAATGAAGATACAAATATGAGTTGTTTTGTTGTTACTGATTATTCCTAAATCTTAATAAATACTAAAGTAGCTTGTGCTAACAAATGTTCAACCTTCTCTTCAGTGTAAATATAATTTTACAGAAACAGATGAATGATTTGAAAACTGAGTAAAACAAAAATAGTGCTTGGAGTCCCTCCGCGCGGAAGAAGTGAAACTTCGTAATGTGGAAATGAAAATAGGAAGCATTCACTCTCGCTCTGTTTCTTTCTATTCCCCCTCCCCAAGTGAGTTAAACGTTTAACACAACCTTGGACGTCGCATTAGATGTTTCACTTCAATATACTAGTAATAATAATATATATATATATATATATACAGGGTGGCCAAAAAGTCGTGGATCAAACGCAAATAGGGGATAGATGAGGTCATCAGCGGCAAAAAATTGTTCTACGGGAGGTCTCTAAGGTCAACCCCTGCAGAGTTATGATTTATTTTGCGTTTTATAAGAAAATTGACTTTTTTTTACTAATTCTTATTAAGATTCGATAAAATCTACATCCTGTATATTTTTCATAATATCCACTAGATTGGTGCTGATGAGTTCTTGCTTAACACATACTATTTATAGTTGTTTATTGAGTGTATTGAAGATAATATTAAGTTATACGATATAACATTTTTTCAAATCATAAATTTTTGTTTACTTCAGACCCCTCTGTGAAAAAAAATTACTCTACCGAAAAGTGACCCTGTATTACAAGTTTTGGCGCATTTCATAGGGATTCTGAAAAGGTCTGACACATGGCCATGAGTCGCTCTAATATCTTTCTAGGACGAAAAAACAACAACGATTCGGACTTATGATAGATTATTTACCTACATGGGACCAGTACTGTGTGAATCGGACTAGATTCAAAAAATTAGACAGATGGCTGGAGGGTTACGTAGGAATTTGATTAGACGGTGCAGATTAAGTATTATGGTCAGAGTCAGGAATTTTGAGCATATTTTATTGTAAAATATTTTGTTTCATACAAACAACCATTGAAAAATAATTGTTTTAATACAATTATTATTTCACAATCTTTGTTTGTAATTCTTCCTAGAAAGATATTAGAGCGACTCATGGCCACGTGTAATACCTTTTCAGAATCCCTATTAAATGCGCCAAAACTTGTAGTACAGGGACACTTTTCGGTGGAGTAATTTTTTTTCACAGTGGGGTCCAAAGTAAAGAAAAATTTATGATTTGAAAAAATGTTATATCGTATCACTTAATATTATCTTGAATACACTCAATAAACAACTATAAATAGTATGTCGAACGCAAGAACTCATCAGTACCAATCTAGTGGATATTATGAGAAAGATACAGGATGTAGATATTTTCGAATTTTAAGAAGAATTAGTAAAAAAAAGTCAATTTTCATATAAAACCAAAATAAATCATAACTCTGCAGGGCTTGACCTTAGAGACCTCCCGTAGAACAATTTTTTGCCGCTGATGACCTCATCTATCCCCTATTTGCGTTTGATCCACGACTTTTTGGCCACCCTGTATATCTTAATATATATATTTCTTGTGTGCGTGTTTATGTGACTGAACTCCTCCTAAACGACTGGACCGATTTTGATGAAATTTTTTGTGTGTGTTCAAGGGGATCTGGGAATGGTTTAGATTCACAAATCAGCCCGGCAGATGGCACTGCAGTCGGTACTTTCATACTTTGCTTAATATCCTAATCGCTTTAAATATCATGCAGGACAACGTCTGTGGGGTCCACTAGTATATTATATATATATATATATATATATATATATATATATATATATATATATAATAGTAATAGTTGTGCTACAACCCTGTGTGGGCCACAGATTTTATGTTTTTTTGATAATTTTTATAGTATTCTGTGATTCGTTGTAGATTCCGGTTTCCTCACGATTATTTCTTTCAAATTATGTACAATCAATTCTGTACTTCAACAATCCATTCGTACTCAGCCGTGAGAGTTGAGAGTCACATCCTAAGATACTACGCCAATACTAATCAAAAATATACAGAAAATAGTTGACTCGAGTGGTAAAACGATACCCAGAGCTTTCAACTAAAAAGCTAGAAAAAACTTCTGCTGCCAGAGCATCTGGTTTTAACAAAGTTGCAGTCGAAAAATTCTTCAATTTCCACGGCAACGTGTACGATGAGACGGTAACGGTCGAGATATGCTTCAGTGCAGCTGGAAACTACATGCCACCTATGTTTATCTTTCCAAGAAAAAGGATAATCCAGAGCTGATGGTGAATTCACAAGCTGGTGCTTGGGGCACATGTGATTCGGGCTGGATTACTTCCGAGCTGTTCCTCGAAGGGTTTAAGAGATTTGTGATTTTCAGTGGAGCATCTAAAGAGAGACCCCTGCTTCTTTTACTGGATTGCACAGCACCCATACTAGATATTTATATATAGATATATATATACTATATAGATATTTTGATAAATTCATGATTATTTACAAGTTATTTTACTTCATATCCAACGCTATTTTAAGGCACGATTTATACAGATTTTACACTCAAGTTTTCATACTATACCAAAATAATGCATCATAATTACGCCAAATGCATGCTATTATATATGTATTTTAAAAAGAGACAAAAGCTAATTTGAAAGCTCGTCGTGCAATTTTTAAACTCTTGGTCTATATAAAAGTGGACATAAAACGAACTAAGAAATAGGTAAATTAAAAGTTTTCACGAATATTTTCTATTGAAATGCTCATTACATAGCATTTCTAAACGGCGTAAAACGTCTATGACAAGAGCCAATCAAACTAGTCGAAGTACTGGTATCCAAGTTAGGGCCGTATTAAACAGGTAAAGTTAGGCCAAGAGTCGAGTGAATGGCCAAACTTGGGAGTTCTAACTTAATTTAGCTTCGGATTAACGGAGTTGTCAACGAAAACTTACCGGTTATGAATAGAATTTACATAGTAATGAAAATTATTGTTTGCGTAATACGACGGTTTAGGTTATCCTGATTTTGATGAAAAGATTAGCCACTAATGCTTTTAGGAAATAAACCTATTAACATTGGATGCATGAACTCAAAATTTTAAGGTCACAAATATTTTAAAGTCATTGTTTTTTTTGTATCAAGGGGCAAACGAGAAGAGGCTTACATTGACAGAGGGCTCGCAAGTGCGTTGCCGGCCTTTAAACTTTGTGACCGACTTTGTGGGTACAAAAATTCATATTCGTTCAACCATTCTGGCGTGATTAATAAACTCCATTTTAACTTTCGCGTTTATAAATATTAGCACATAACGTTTGCATATTATGGGCATAATACAAAATACTATGAAAAACCATGTAAAATAAAAGAATTTGTTGATAGTAACTGCGAAATTCTTAAGATGCAGTCAAAATTCTAGATTTTAGCGAGCGCAAGCTGTTGAGCTATGAAACCCACGATTACATTTTCTTCATGATATGGTTTATTCAATACTTAGGGATGCCTCGAACCATGGGCTACGTACTGACATACGTTTTCAATGCCGAATTTAGCCTGAATCCTTGGGACAACAAAAAAGTGTTGGCCTTCCAAAATATTTTCCAAATAAAATGAAGAACTAATCGGTCGAGTTTTCCAATAACTAACTGTGAAACCAAGTATAAGCTCTTTTATTATTATTCTCTATTGTGTAGCCCCTCACTCTCCTCGGCTGAACACCAATGGCCTTTCTTTCTATGTGCGCATTGTAAGTTTTTGTTACTAGAATATTTCTTAGCCACGTAATATGTGAATCTGAAGCAGTATTTAACTTGTAAGCATGTCGGTGTTTGTCTGGTGCCGTCACTTGGCATTAATTCTGCTAAGTTGACTTCCAACTTGGGCTTGGAGACGTTAACTATCCATATTAATTAGCTCGCTTTGCAATTTTTATTTTATCGAGATCATAATATTGGCCATTGCATAAAACCTTATTTAAATATAATAAATGTATCTAGCAGACAAATATTGAGGTATTGCAGAAAAGTTATAAGTACACTTTTGTCTTACAACTATTAATTATTTAATTAATTACTTTAATACATATAACTGCAATGTGTTGCTGAAATGATTTTAGGTTTATTCTAAACGTAGTTTTTTAACAAAAGTAAAAAAAAAAACAACTTAAATTAAAGATAGGTGAAGACTCAGTAAAGTAATTAATAATAACTTGATATAATTATAGAAACAACATTTAGACTTTTTTTTAAAGTCCTTCAAAAGAATTAACTATGATTAACATTTGAAAATATCCTTACAAAAAATGCTTCTTGTAAAAATTCAAATTACAAGCCAAAACTCGCGTCTTTTTCCACAGACTAACAAACTATTACAATCAAATAAAACGTCAGTTTTGAGACATGACAGATATTTATAATTAGCAACCTAAAATAAATATATTTTATTATTATTACATACATAGTATGATTGTATTACTAGTCGATACGATAAAGACATCCCCTCCATTTTCATTAAAAAAGGATTTCTGTATAACATATTACGCGGTGTCGGGTGACAATGACGACACATGATGATGAGGATACGATAGTTTCCTTTGATTGTTATATTAAAACCTTGACAGGCGTCCATTTTGTATCTTAAACACATTACCCATAAATTGCCCGTTCACCCAGGCCACTGCTAATCTGAAAGCAGTTAGCAATTAGTGGTAGCGGGCAGTACGAGGTATGACCAGTTAATGTGAGAAGAGACCGCTAATGTTCAACTGTTTTATTGTATACTTATAGGGATAAAATTTATTACGTTTAAAATATATTTTCTCGGTATTGTCCGTACAATTAGTATAATGGCGCATTAATTTTCTGTTTTGATTATCACTGCTATAATATGTTTATATTATAATAGTTATATTATAATAGTTATATAATATATAGTATAGAGGAAATAATTAAATAAACTTCTCAATGATTTACAAGCGTCTCCGTGATTTTAAGGTTAATGCACTTGGCATAATTTTGTTTCCGGTCTTAGTTTCCGGCGAAAAGCCTTTAAATTGTCATTGGCAGAAATTTGTATGCCCTATACAACGTTGGAGGAAAATACAACAATTTAAGTACACCTGTGAAATATTAACGATTAAGTGATCATAGCGATAGGTTTAGACAGAATGTCCAGTTCCTGTGGATTTGGGTATCCATACAATGTTATTGCATTAATAAGAAAGTCGATAATTATTGAACAGTCCTGCAATGTCGTATCGTGAACTTACTAAAGTCAGGGGTTTTAATCTTTTACTTCCAATAGCGAAACCGATAGCGATTCTGATCTCAATAATGAGATTTTGTTCGCGTTATTCCAAAGTAGCGACATCAGCGCTACGAATATTGAGAGAACTACTTCGAGCTTGCATACAAAACATGGGGATTAGTATTTTTATAGGAAATACAGCGTACGGATGTAGGACTAGGTAATAATTGCTTCAAGCTGGTGGCTAAAATATCCTCGTTATTATTATATAATTTGATTTATATATAATTTTTCGTTTATATATAATTTGATTTATTGCCAAAAACAGGTCGCATAACAAATACGTATTCCAGGCTGCCGTAGTGAGAACTATATTTCAGGAGCCTGTTACATGTAATTTGTAGCAAATAATTAAATATTAAATGTAATAAAACATTATTTATGATAAGGCAAGTTCATATAAATTTATAATATTTTATTTTACTTATTCCATATAATTTAGTAAATTATCCACATCGTCATAGTGGCTGTAAGCCAGTCCTCGATAACACTTTTTATGCTGAAATTGCTAGGCGTTTGAATATGCGCAGTTTAAAATTATCTATACAAAAGTGGTGCTAGAAAGGTAATGTCGTTGCAATTTTTGATTTAAACAGAGGGGTGGGTACACGAACCCTTCAAGAGTATTTGTGTAGTGTAGCCACCGTCGCCAAGAGGAAAGCTTTCCGGTTAAATATGTATTAATAAAGTATATGTGTTCAAACTACAAAAAAAATATATATGAACTAGTGGAGCCCACAGACGTTGTCCTGCATGATATTTAAGATATTAAGCAAAGTATGAAAGTACCGACTGCAGTGCCATCTGCCGGGCTGATTTGTGAATCTAAACCATTCCCAGATCCCCTTGAACACACACAAAAAATTTCATCAAAATCGGTCCAGTCGTTTGAGAGAAGTTCAGTCACATACACACGCACACAAGAAATATATATATTAAGATGAACTTGCCGAAACTTAACAGGTATTGACAAAGTTCATGGATTCAACTACAGTCGTACTGTTAGAATTGGAGGTTTGCTAAGAAAAGAGCATGTATGATGCCGATTGAAAATTATCAGAAAAACTAAAGTCATGAATAGCCGCTGCTCTGCAATTCTGTAACTCACTTTTCGAACTCACACAGCGGTTAAGAATGCCAAATCATAAAACGACTGCTTCACGCAGTCGTGAAGCAGTCGTTTTATGATTTGGCAAGATGTGAAAACCGCTGTGTGAGTTCCAAAAGTGAGTTACAGAATAGCCGCTGCTCTTCTGGAGAATACCTAACTACAAAGATTCTTTACGCGAAAAACCAACGCAAATAAAACTGGCATTACAAACTAGTTAAACTTTATCGTCCAAGAAAATTTCAAGTTAGAAAATGTTCATACTAAATGTCGTCTAAGGAGAAATTAATATTATTAATGGCGCCTCCCGTCCCGAAGTTTAGCTCTTTCATAAATAATTCAGCATAATTATCACAATAATAAACCTTTGCAGTTATCCCTTAATTAGAATCTACTAAAAATTTCATACCTATGCGCAGTAGGGCCAGATTTTATGGTTAATTTTAAATATATTCTCCCATACATACAAATTAAAACCCCATGGAGCATTTAATTAATCTAATGCTCGTTTCAAATCAAAATGATGAGCTAATTTCAAATAGGGTGTATAATTTTTTTCGTTGGATTTTTTTGGTAACACCACAGAATATACTTTTTCCAAATTAACTTCCTAATCTTTGGTGAAGCGATCATGCAAGATTCAGACTTAGCTCTAACCTTGACTTTCGTACGTTAAAAAATGTGACCCTTAGGGGACTCTGATTTCGCTCGTGTTCATTTACTGACAGAATAGACTAGACTTATTTTTTTTTAATATTCCACAGAGCAAGAGTAGATGAATAGTGTATAATAGTGTATATAGAGTATAGTAGAGCATAGAGTTTTACTGTGTACCTACTCGAATAATGAAATAGATGTGTTTACTTACAAGAGGTAAATAAAAATAAATATTTAATTTATGTAATATCTTATAGTTCTATTATATAAGAATTATATTAAGTAGTTACAAATATAGAACACTTATTTAACTATTCATAAACAATAGAACGGCAACAGTATAAGAAAGAAAAACCAAAAAAATACAGAGTATAAAATTTCTGTA